GACAAAAAAATGTAATATGCATCTCGGCGAAAAACTGTCCATTGTCTTGCCTGATTGCTAACCTCGGCTAAGGCCTCGGCTATCAATTCGCGGACTCGACTATAATAGACAGTGTATCGTCCTTGGTACATAAATAACTATTTAACTAGTGAAATTGAAAATTATATGAAAATCATTTATAAATTATATAAAATAATAATAATATTTATTGTAGAGGTTTCAACAAGTTACATTATATATAATACAATAAACATGGAACTCCAAAAAGTAAAAAACTTGTGCGGAGTGATGAATAATAATAATTAATACCAAGGTTATTTTTTACATACATTAAATACGCGCATATATACTTGACTAAATTTAAATAGAATTATATTATTAGGCTATCATACATTTACACAAAATGGAAAATAAATATATAATGAAAAATGACATGTTACATAAGAACGACGGTTATAACGGTCATGTTTGTGATATTAATGGCATTCCCAACTCCTTTCCTAATGCCTCATATCTTAAATCCTTAGTTCAATAATATTGTGGATATTGCTTCGTGGTTCTGATGTTGTAAACTTTCTCAACTCTCTCTTAAAAGTAAATCTCAAAGGTATGCTTTTTAGAGCCGCCGGTAAGTAGTTATAAAGCTTTGGGCCAAGATAAATTGAACTTTTTTGTCCAATCGATTTAGTCATGAAAGGGGTTAGGTATGTCTGATTTTTATTTCTAGTATTATACTGATGTTCGTTAATTTTCAAGTGTACTTGGGAATGGTGCTGTTTCATGTTGCAGTGAAAGAAAAATATTTGTCTTGGATCCATAATTCTCAATTCCTTGAAAAGTTCATCAGATGGGTAGGTCATATCTTTTCTGAACATTATTTTCAGTATTTTTTTTTGTACAATTATAAGTTTATTGAGGAACGTTTTTCCGACACCACCCCATGATAATATTCCATACAAGATATGCGACTCCACTAGGGAATAATATAACGTTCTAAGCTGAGTCAAAGTTAAAATATCTCTCAAAACCTTGAATTTATACATGAGATGCTGTATTTTTCTAATCACGAAATAAATATGTTTATCCCATTTCAGGTGTTCATCGATCATTATTCCCAAATATTTGATTTCTGTACATGGTTGTATGCTGAGGTTCAGGTCTATATTTAGGCTTCCGAAATTTGGGGACGTAGCTTTATTAACACTTAGGGGTAGGTAGTATGAAATAATAAATTCAAACTTGAACTGACAAGTGACATGAACATTAACTGACACTGATATATGTACCAGATACATTTCTTCACGTCTAGGTATTGAGTGATGAGTCAGCATAGCTTTATGGAATGCCAATCTACTGATTTTTGTCCCATCGTACTTTTTTTGACAACTACCCTAGCAAAGTGTGTTTACGGATTCATCAAACACCTGAATTCTTGAATAACAATTAATGAGGAACATTTATTTGTTGTTTCATACATTCTCAGATTTCAATACTCTGAATTGGGTGAGTAAGTAGGTAATAATTGTATTTCCTCAGAAACAAAAGTGTAAGGAGAGGGAAAGGGAAAGGGAAGTCTGTACAATTATGGTAAATTTGTTGAAATCATTTACATTATGTGTTAACTTGGTAGAATTCATTCAGATTATAAAAAACATGTTGGAGGAGGATAGATTTCAATTTATGCTCGAATATTTTAATATTCTAATATATCACAGTGGGTCATTGAGTTAGGAAGGCATATGAATATTTCCGTGCCTGTATAGAAGTAGTATAATATTGTTCAACGAGCACGAAATGATAGAAGAACAGCGGCATTTTGGATTTCTTCGTCTTGTAGCCATCTGATTTTCTGTCAAGTAATGCTCATCTATTAGACGAAGCTGTCATTGCTTGAAATTCCATGGGCGATGAGTTGTTTTTTTTTTTCAAAAAATAACACAATGGAGTCATTGTGATATCAGATACGGAAATTAAATTGATGACATACAAAGTACCTCATTGATGTATCGAACACAGTGAAACAAGAGCAATCTTGTGTTATAGCCGTAGAAAAACATTATTTCGGTTTATATTCATGTTGAAATTTGGTAGAATTTATGAATCTTCATTTCTTGTATCGTAGCTGTGGATGTCAGAATGAGAAACCAAAGTATTGGTACTTGGCACTTTAACAAAGCACTCCAAAGAGTGTATATAGCATTTTGAGTAGATAAATACATGCAATTTGCTTTCACGATATCTTAAACGTTGTTCGTTCCATAATTCCATCATCACAACAAGTAGAAGATACGATAAATAGATCACAAAGTGGAAAATTCTGAATAATCTAATAGTTCAAATATGTTTTCCACTATACACGCTTTCATTAGGTATCAAAGTGTAACATTTTTGATGAATCTCGCTACTACATCAGCAGCAACAAACCAATTAAGGGCTTTCGATGTTCTATTACCAACAAGGTTAACTGAATCAGTGCAGATCAAACGAGAGTGAACAATCTAATTACTGAACAATATTTCCCGGACATGCCGTTGATTGAATACAGTGGCTGTAACGGAGTTTGCGTGGTGAGGTGACATTTAATAAAGCGGAGGAAATCACTAGGTGTCTGGTTCCTGTGGTGCTACAAAGGTAGCTTTGTTCATCATGTGATGGTGTTGAACTTAATCATGGATATAATCTATACAAATGACAATCATATAAGGTACGGAAGCCAATGATAGATAATTATTATACTGATAAAATAACGAGAATATTCACAAGGTGATAATGGCATTACTCGTGTATCTATATTCATGATAGTATTTGGCAGTTTCCTTGATTATATAGTTGAATACTCAAAGGCAGTACTGAACCAATTATCCATGAAATTGATATCTTGTGAGACATGGGAGAGTGTTGAGAGGTTATGGGTGGAGGTAGTCCTAGAAGTTCCGGGTTTCGAGACATCGCAACCGTCATTCAACTGGTTCGTTGTCGACGAAACCTGCAATAAATAGGATGCTAACAACACTTGAACCATTGAAAACAGACAGTAAAGCTGATCATCATCAAATTGATGAAAATGGACATTGTGGAAGAGGCAACTTTACATATTGTGGACCCCAAGGAAACCACGAAACACCGTTCTACGATAAAGACATTTTCATATGGAATCTTTATTAATAATTATTAACATCGCCGTTGTGAATGATACGATGATGCTTTGAATATAACTCGATTATTAGCGATTTAACACCGTCTCGGACATTGCAGGTGCCTCGGCTGATGTCCTCTACTATTATTAATAGCATAATAATCTCGTTATATCGATAGCTATCAATATAAATATATACAGGGTGCTTCAATATTCAGAATTCTGTTCACCCTGTATCTGTTTCAATTGAATGTCAGTAGATAGTGAATCGAAAGTTAAGATAGGGGCATGTGAGCCGTTTCAATTGATAATGAATAGTTTCGAAAAATCTCGATTTTGAATACCCTATATCTCTGTAATCATTCCTGCTAGACCCCAAGTGTGATGCATTGATGAAATCAGCTCTTTAGAAAGAATCTAAAAATGCAATAGAATACAGGGTGCTCCCTCCAAAATAACGAAGGTGCTAGTTGTTTCTGATAGAAGTGGCAACACTGTATCGATGAAAATATTTTAGACGAATAGAGAATGTTCAATTATCAAAGCATCTCAATTTTCAGAATGTTCTGTCTTTTCGTTCTTCAAATACTTACTTCTAATAGGCCATTCACCGTGGATCACCCGGTATATGGGTAAAAAAAAATACAGAAAACAAAAACTATATATTCTCAAAGTTTTCCCAAGTGTACAGAAGAAATTCTATGTCTACATAATAATTCAGTTAATTCAGATAATAGTTATTTGTTTAACCAAGTTTAACTAGGCAGCAAAGTAGTAGATTGACAGCCGAGGCTGAATTCATAGCCGAGCGTAGCGAGGCTAGGATTTCAGCTAAGGCAGTCAATCTACTTTGCTGCCGAGTTGAACATATAATTTTTTCTCCGATTGTTCATAATGATATAGGAGGATATTGTATTTGCAAATTATCACAATTCTCACAATCTCTTTATTTTTTTTGTAGTGTTCAATTAAAATAAAATTTGATAGAAATCGCAGTTGTTGGAATGGTTGGTTGCTATGGAAATGTCCATAATAATTATATAGAATATCGGTATATTTAAATTATTATATAATGGACAGTGATAGCGACCTGGAAGTACTTACTCCTCCAAAAATAAGGGAGGTGGCAAAAAATATAGAGTTGAATTTGTTGCCGGAGAAGTCTCGGATGAAATATGAAGGAAATTATAAACGATTTATGGATTATTAATTCTGCTGACACATATCAATCAGAAAAGTAACCATTTTGCTGCCTAGGCAGCAAAGTACCCACTAGGCAGGAAAAGTAATACTCTGCTGATTGATATGTGTCAGCAAAATTAATATTTGCTGCCAATCGGAGAAAAACAAACTATATAAGTACACCAGTGAACTTATATATTATTATACAATACCTACTTAGAGTTCACAGAAGTACACGATTGAACAGATATTGTATTATCAGGAAAACTCAATAGCTACAATAAAATCATTGCTCAAAACGTTGTTGAGGAAGCATATTTTATCATTTCCAACAAGTCATTCACATTCCTTATTCCTTCTAATTAATGAAACCATTAATCGATTAGGTGTACTCCAGAGGGGATGATATAATTATTGATACGATTTTCTAACTCTTGTATCAATTCAACACATTGAATGAACGAGATTTGTAATGTGTTACGGTTTAGAAATCAAAGTAGAACAAGTCTATCTGGAAGTAGCCCAGTACAAAGCTCATTCCTCTATATTCTTTCCAGATATTGATCCGGACTCTCACTTAAAAATTCCCTGACGACTGCCGTGCTACAGATGATTTCTCCATGAAATGAAACAAGAGGAAGCAAATAATAATTATATTGTACGCTTCTCATCCAATTAAATTCGGCAGAGATTTGGTATCATGCAGAGAATATAGAATAAAAGCCAGACAATTTATGATTTATGATGGAGCATCGTCATCACGATTATCTACCTCAATGTCGGATTTCAGGGGACGAATCTTGTACACCCGTTTCCAGATTTCGTAGAAACAAACGGTCGATTGGAATCTGTAGGATACGACAAGTGGCATCGACACGTGCGTGATGATGTTCCAGGTTAGGACTCCATAAAAGTCCATCTGGTTCGGGTGGGACACCGATTGGTTATTCTTCAACCTGTTGACAACCTGCAAAAAATGATTGGACAAAGGATTAGACTATTCGAATATCATTGTTGGGTATACTGATATGGAAGAGAGAACTGCTCACCCACATTCTTCGATCAATCATTATTTTTATTCTAAAATTGGAATAATCTCCAAATGTTCTGCCTGAATTGAAGACTTATATCGTTATATCTGACGTCTACTGGAAGCATCATCATATTTGTAGTAATTACCTAGTTATCGAGGTGTGATTCAAAAAATCCCTTTTCACCCATTCAAAAAATTTCAAGACTGATTTCATACTATCCTTCGCACAGATTTAACTCATTTTGACAATGATGCAATATCTATTCAAATATACAGGGTATACTGAAATAAATATATTTTTCAAATGAAACGCCCTGTATATTTTGATGAATTTGATATCCTAGGTATATAGAAGGATCTTTATCTATCAAAATATATAGCGCATTTCATATGAAGAAAATCTATATATTTCTGTATACCCTGTATATTTGAAGAGATATATGATTGAAACCAATATAGCATAAAGTGAAAAAATCAGTTTTGGATCTTCTTGAATGGATAGAAAACAAAGAAGATGAGGGGGGGTTCACATTGATAAAACTAGCCCTGTACACTTCAATGAACAGGTGAACTTACCTTTAGTCACAGTTTAAGGAATGGGTATACTGTGCTTTAGTGATTGTTTGCTAGTGGCGATGATGGCATCACGAACATTCGTCCTGAAGGAGTCGTGTTTTTTTAATCGATTTATTTTTAGATTTTTGCCAAATAAACAAGTTTTCGTGGGAAATAAAAAAATATCGAACACATTTGAAGGACTCGTGGTATTACCTTTGATGATTCACTTTTTATTGAGTAACAGATAATATATTACCCATAGAGATATGTTGATGACCAATAGAAACGTTATAAGTTGTCTTCCTGGCTTCCTTTTCATCTCAGTTTTCGTCGAACATCTTCGAGGCCAGGCATCTAGTATAAAAACCGTTTGACAGCAGCTCTGTACCAATGCTGATAATGGAGTAACAATTCTAGAATAGAAAGATGTATTTAATATAATTTGTCAAAAAATATGCATACGAAAAAGTTTGAGCAATAATTAATGTAGTCCCACCCTGTATCATACACTCCCGAATGAAAGTTCAGTTCTTGTACCAAATTGCATCATTTCATTACATGGCGTTTCGGAAATATTCAAGAAATATCATCTTCAGGAGCTCCTTGTTCATTGGAACTCATCTTTGGAGCAGAAATTCAATTCCTCCCATGTGTGTTCAATCAAACCTCACACGCGGGGGAGAATGGATACCCTTTTTTGCTCCCTTGCTATATAAATATCTATTCCTGACAATCAATGTCATCACAGATAATTTATTTTGGATTATATCATATCAATTTGCATCTCAGGAATATCAAAAGAACTGTTATATTAGATGGGGAACTGAAACTGAATGTCCCGAATTGTGTACTCGTCTTCAATGAACATGTCGCGATTGGACAGCCATTTCGGAAAATAAAAGTTCGAGAATTTCATGATCTCCAATTCGTTCAAGGAAGCTTCAACTGAGACAAACAAAAATTGAAAGTCACTTCTGGTTTGACCGGAAGTGACTCAAACTTTTTTATTTCAAATAGCACCTTGTATATTTTTTGCAATTTTTTATTTCTACTCATGATTACCGTTCCAACGATGTATCACATTTCGTATTTCAAATTTGATTTGATGGAGAAAGTGGCAATTGAAATTTCAAATTAAACGAATTGCAGTAGGCTACGATAATGTTGTGATCTTGATTTTGACTTCAATAATAATTTCAAATTATCAGAATTGTAGTAGATCATGTAATTTTCAAGTTTTCATCTTTCGAAATGGCTGGGATAATCTATTGAAACAGGTATACTGGGACACCCGGTATACCTACCTTCATGAATCGATATGTGGATATAAGGAAACTGAGAACAGCGGGCGATAAAGTGCACTTTACGGCCCGTGGGCCATAATAAGCCAGCGGGCGGTAAAGAGCAACTTAACGCCCGCAAAACCGGGCGATAAAGTGCACTTTACGGCTTGCTAGTGCATAAATGTCTTTAGAACATGCGTTACTTTTCGAGCACCACGGCCTAGTCAGAGTGGTACATCTGGAATCAGAGGAAAAATGGAAGCGTGGATATTGAATTTTCACGAAAACTATAGGATTGATGAAATTTCAAAATACCTCATGATAGTCCTGATTCCTGCTGTTCCTTTGTGTCTTCCCATCAGACAAGCTCCGATGATTTGAAACACGAAATACACAAAAACACCGCACTGTGTGATCAACAGGAGCACGTGTTCCAATTCTAGCGTTCTCTCTTTCTGAATGATCTCGATTTTTCTTAGAGCCTTCATCGAAAGTAGTACTGCAAGAGTCGCCGTCCAGAAGAGGATGGCTTCCCAAATGTTCACCTGTAGAAATATGCAATGAACAATGAATACAGGAAGCTCAAACTGGTCAACATTTATAACGTTGTGGTCCAAAATATAGCCTGAATTCAAAGTAGAATAACTCACGAATGCCCCTACCAATTGGAAATCGGTTTCCACCGATGATTAGCCTGATCTCTCGACAGTTTGTTGTGGCAGTATGAAACTTTTGTTATTTTAGATAACATTGCTACAGGGTGATGATTGAATGAGTGTAAAATTGCACCGTGGTCGTCACCTTACCGTTTGAACAGATAATTTTTAAATTTTGTTTCTCCACCTGTATCCTCTTGATTGATGCTTTCTCTCGAAACGTTCTCAGGATTTTCGAGTTCCAGAGCTTTGATAATCGTGTTATATGAATATTTATTCGAAATGATGCATTTTTTCGACGTGCACCTTGAACTTCAATCATCTCAGAAAAAGCCTTATCAAACAGTTGGTTCACAATGATCCCTTAGAACGACAAAGAAGTGAGTATAACGCATACAGCAGGCAGAACAATAAACTTCGACTTTGTCAATGTGCACACCTATAACTCTGCATTAATTGGCACATCAGTGCAGTTTGATTGCTGACTTGCTGAGGATGCTCGACTCTGTTCCTGGCGCGATCGCCAAAACTAAGAATTCAGTATTCCGTTTGTTCAACGGTAGTTGTAGACCAATATCTAAGATAGAATGTCCATACCACGTACGTAGCAAAACGGATCAGATAGTTGATCAGAAAAATGTATCTACTTCGAAATATTTTGGAAACGAAGAATCTAAGACTAGTATGTAATTCACTGATCGAATCTGTCCTGCGATACTGTATTGCAGCTTGTGGTGATTTGTTCTATAATTCTATGAACTTTCTGAATTCTGGAAATTATTGTGAAAAAATCTAGACTATTTGCAACCGAAGATCTATACAGAGAGACTGGAATTTCGAAAACAAGAGAATGTCACATCCATCATTGCCTGATTTGGATTCTCACAAACAAACAAAAATTTGAACCTAGTCAGTCATTTCCTACTACGATCCCAAGTCATTTATCCCATTGTATCAGGATGATTACCAAACTACTGCATTTGAAATAACATAATAAAATCAATTTCAGTTAGATCAGAGATCTCAGAAATTTTCAATTCAACCTTACAGTCGCTCTCCTCCTTCCCTCATTTCTTGTCACATACACAGAACGAAAAAGGTACGTTATATTAATAAAAAAGTACATCAAATCAGTGAACGTCAACATTAATTTTGGGTCGATGACGGGTGTCATTAATACAATGAACGGTCGTACGTAAATTTTCTTGATGATAAAGTTATGACTGCAGTACGTTGAATCAACGAATAATGGTCATGGATCTATGTTTGCCGGTTATTGATATCACGAATGGATTTACATTGGTTCATGGTTGTTGTACATTGAATCAATAAACAGCGAGCATGGATCTAAGATGATAAACATTGGTTTATGGTTGATGTACATTGTATCAATTAACAGTGAGCATGAATATGTAAGTGCCAGTTACGAAGGACAGACTCAGTTTATTACAGCTGAACATTGAATCAATAATCAGCTAGCATGGATCTATGATCGGCGTTTATTGATATTACGAACGATAGACATCACTTGATGATTTTCTTCATTGAATCAATGAAAAATAAGCATGAAACTATGTTCGCCAGTTATCGATGTAACGAACAAATTCTATTGGTATTCAACAGTGGAGTCGTCGTCGAAGATAATGTTGTCAACAGTATTGTCACTATCAGAAATAAGGGGACAATTTTTTCACGCATCAGAGTAATTAATTTCTAAAATTTTGAAAAACCCAAAATCGGCCCAAAATTATCTAGTACATCCACTAATTTGATGTGACCTGATGAATAATATAATAAACATTTACAAGGCAGTCGCAGAACACTGGTTTCCTTGATGAAATATCATTTTTCTTTATTTTTTGTTGAAATCTAACTAATTGTATTGAATAACAAATGTAATGAATATTTTTTAATGAAGTCAACTAAAAATGTTTCCGAAATGTCAAAAATACACTAAATGATCGAAGACTGATAAACTTGGACGATATTCAAAAAACAAATATTCGCTCAGCCATGGGCGTATAAAAAATGCGCTCACCTTATACATTTTTAGTTACTAGATCTGGTAACATACCTTAGGTTAGGTTACTAGATCTGGTAACATATCTTAGGTTAGGTTACTAGATCTGGTAACATATCATAGGTTGGGTTACCAGATCTGGTAACATATCTTAGGTTAGGTTACTAGATCTGGTAACATATCTTAGGTTAGGTTACTAGATCTGGTAACATATCTTAGGTTAGGTTACTAGATCTGGTAACATATCATAGGTTGGGTAACCAGATCTGGTAACATATCTTAGGTTAGGTTACTAGATCTGGTAACATATCTTAGGTTAGGTTACTAGATCTAGTAACATATCTTAGGTTAGGTTACTAGATCTGGTAACATATCTTAGGTTAGGTTACTAGATCTGGTAACATATCATAGGTTGGGTTACCAGATCTGGTAACATATCTTAGGTTAGGTTACTAGATCTGGTAACATAACTTAGGTTAGGTTACTAGATCTAGTAACATATCTTAGGTTAGGTTACTAGATCTGGTAACATATCTCAGGTTGGGTTACTAGATCTGGTAACATATCTTAGGTTAGGTTACTAGATCTGGTAACATATCTTAGGTTAGGTTACTAGATCTGGTAACATCTCAATCAATCTCTTTAATTGGAATGCCCAGTATATTTGTATATTTTCTGAATCTGCTTCAAATATTCTTGAAAATAGCAAAAATCGCAAAAATTCCTGAAAATAGCAAAAATCGCAAAAATTCCTGAAAATTGCAAAAATTTCAAAAAATTCCTGAGAATTGCAAAAATCGCAAAAATGCCTAAAAATTGCAAAAATTCCTGATAATTGCAAAAATTTCTGAAAATTGCAAAAATTCCGGAAAATTGTAAAAATTCAAAAAATTCCTGAAAATTGCAAAAATGCCTGAAAATTGCAAAAATTGCAAAAATTCCTGAAAATTGCAAAAATTTCTGAAAATTGCAAAAATCGCAAAAATGCCTTAAAATTATTAAATTCCTGAAAATTGCAAAAATCGCAATTAACAGGTCTCACCTTTCTCAAATATGTTAGGTTTTGTATCCCTTTGATGATCTGGCACAATTTCACAAATAGGTAGGAATTCTACGAGCCACAGAAACACAAAACACGACCCAGCCCTTTCAACTTCTCATTAACAACTGAACGAATAGAAATAAAATAAAACGGCAAATGAAAAATTCACCGCGTATTATGAAACCTTTTCATAGTAATAATGTTTGACGTGATTGATCCATGGGTAGGCAGCATTAATTTGGCACCTGTTTTGGAAGTTGATGTTTCATTTCATGAAATCAACGTTTAGTGTTCATTGAAACAATGAAAACCATTCATTATTTTATTATGTTTGTTGTTGATAGATCTATGACGAAAAGTTTATTGCTCCAATGATGAAAAACATAGATCAATAAACAACAAACGTTGATTCAATGATGAATAAAAAAAATGATTAACTTTTGATGTTTTTCGTTCAATGTTCAATGTTGGCTCGTTCATTGTTTCAGTGTCTTGCGGTATGAACCCATCATCAGAAATGATTGTAATATTCATCGATTCGTAATGTTCAAAAAATTGACGACTGCCGTTCATTAACTTTACGTACAAAATTATTTTCTGTGTATTATCTTCTCATATCTCTTCCTGTTCTATGGTATTTCTATTATATTTATATCATTAAGAAGATATATTATTATCATTCAATAATTTTCCCCACGATGGTTGGAAGAGAGCAACACAAACATCTTGGATGCTTAGATGCATCTTTTCCTTCCTGGCTAGTTTTTCAAAGAATAATTTATCTATGATTTAAAACTAGTAACTGTTGCTATTGCTGAATGCATTGAATTGAATTGAACCTATAGCTCCTACGACATCAACTGAAATTGATACATCGCCTAAGCAACAAAACAAAAAAAGTTATCCATCAACATACCCATATGAAAACCATCGATTGCTTGCTATGCTACGCTGACTGTGCGTATGGACATCGAACATCAACCAAGACCAAGATTGATCTGTCTTTGTCTTGGTCTCGAAAAATGAATGTAGTCTTGGTCTTGGTATTGGTCTTGATTGTTACAACTGAGCTATTGAGCTGCACTGAGAATCTTGGTTAATCTCAGTCAAAGTTGGTAAAAAGAATATTACTATTGAGTCCATTGGGTTCAACTCACCTGCAATAGAGCGACATCTGCCCTAACTCCCTCGTTGGGCACGAGCTCGAAAAACATGATGAGGCTGATGACGGTGACAGCGAGCAGCAGCACCCCGCCGAAGAGGCCTTTCTCTGCTTGCGCGCAATCTACGGAAAATTGACTTTGGCTCCTGCCGTAAATCGTGTTACAACCACTTTGTCTCGACAATTCGGCCGAGAGGTCTGCAGAAGGTTCTGAAAATTCGATTCGAACGGTAAACAACGTTTGGCCTCTTCCGCACGATTCGGAATTGGAGTTAAAAGCCCGAAGGAAATTTGATTACGTCGACTTCGAATCTTCGATGAGACTTGTTACAAGCAATTCGATTAGAATGGGAATGTTCTAAGGAGACTCTAAACAACGTTTGAGGGTTCTTTGAATCACTTATGTAAATTGTTGCTCAAATATATTATTATAGGGAAGATTCATTTGAAAGCTCCGGCGACAAAGTATTCTCGAAATAATAATTATGTTTGTGGAATTATCTTCATTTCGTTTTAATGAAATAGGGTGATTGTTTCTGAACTTGGGGCTTTCAACGCTCATAATACAGGGTGATTCACATAACAACCGACATAGGGCAGGGGCATGTAGGGGGTCCCAAAATATGGCAATTTAACGCAACACACCTCTATACCAAGTTATTTCCCTAAGGAGTTATAGGCATAGCACTAACAGCATGTAAACTTGCTCGTTAAAAGAAACCTTCCCGTTCATTTATTTAAAAACACTCAAACGACAATTACTTAATTGAACAACTCACTTGCCTCATTGTCAAGTTTGACGTTTATTTTCATAGCCAACTTTTGAATTTTCGATGATTTTAAATAACACACCTATAGAGCGCGAGTGTTTGATGAGAATGATGAGGTTTTTCGAAAAATTACTAGAGTAAGAAAAGTTTTAGAATTGAATTGCCCACAAAACAAAGCAAAGATTTTTGAAATCCATTGAGGGTTGACAAAATTATGTTGAAAATTGATGGTGCGCCACCCGGTATACCCCCTTTACAAATTCCAATTGAACTCTAGTTACTGTCAAGTAACGCCCTAAATACATCCACAGAGTGTAACAAATTTGGTTGCTTTAAGTTCAAGAATAACGAAGATATTGAATTTTTTCAAAATTTATAACTTCACTTTCAAAGCCTATATCTTCTTAGGGAAGCAACTTGGTAGAGGTAAGTTGCGTTAAATTGTCATATTTTGGGACCCCCTACATGCCCCTGCTCTATGTCGGTTCTTATGTGAATCACCCTGTATATCGAAAATTAATCAATTAAGATACTGAAAACTCTGAAACAAAATCTTGAATCAGACATTGTTCTTTTCTGAATGTTCTTCAAATATCATATCACCATTCCATCATCATTGCATTTCAGTATTTTCCCTGAAGAGGTTATTTCATCCATATATCATACTTGGGGTCTATCGAAAATGATTACAGAGATATTGGGTGTTCAAAATCATGATTTTCCAACTTTAGGATTTTTTGTATCGCAGCTATTTATTATCAGCCGTGTTGGCTCACAATAATGGCAATAAACATTCACTTTTTGCACTTGTTGCATAAATAACTATTACCACCGCACAATTTCAATCAATATCAACTTATAATACAGATAAATTATCAACCTAGAAATTTTCAACTTCCAATTGATTCTTGTTACAACAGGTAGATTATTGATATTGATTGACATATACTCAGCTTTACTGAATTCAATGATCCCAGTGTGTCAAGCATCAATTCTCTATATCGGTCTCGTGCGTTTTGGTGTTTTCAATCCAGAAGCAGTAATGAAAAATGGTTTTATTATGATATTAAATATTTATGTCGCTCATTCTAAAGCTCATATATATTCTGTCAGCTTTTCCTGATCGAAAAATTGACCTGAGTTTTATGGTGTATGAATAACATAGCAAGTGCTGCTCACTTATTGTTTTTTTTTTCTATTGAAATTATTTTATATGAGATATTAATCCAACTCAATAACCTTTCGATTACTGGATCCGAATGAGAAGAAAAAAAACTAGTGAATGATCAGGCAAATACCAGAACATCATCTACAGAAGTGCGGAAATAAATGTTAAAAACTTCACAAACGAGAAGATTTTCATCAAATTTGTATTCACACGATATATTTTGCTAACACATATAGCTTCTTCAGGTGGAATACTGGTGCAATATACTAAACTTACATTGGCTTGCCTAACATTTATATCCTACTTTTCCAACCTGTGGAATAAAGGTTCAATTAATCTTCAATTTTCAGAAAATAGGTACTTTATCTACATTGAATACTATGTACCGGATTTAATTAAAAGGGTTGGTGGCAATTACTACTAAGGAAATAATTCCAACAGCGGTGAATTATAGCGGTCTAGTTGATCGTTAAGTGAAATATCAGAAGTTCTGATCTTGTTGATTTCTAATGATTCAAAATGATTGAGTTTGATTCCTTCATTTTCCACGTGTATAATTCCGAAATCGTCATCAAAACTATGGTTTTCAAAAAATTGATCTTATGTTCATGAATGCGCTGATTAAACGTTTGACCTGTCTGACCGATATATATCTTAGGACAAAGATTCACAGTTGAGTTTGAATACCCCTGACTTTTGATATTCGTTATTTTTCCAACTCAACCTCCCGACTACTGAATTCGAATGATTAGAAAAAAAAACTATTCATCTACAAAAGTGCAGAAATAAATGTTATTATTCCTTCCCAACGTTTTATTTGTTTTATGCGCAATTTTAAGACCTGTCTTTATAAAAATTATGCAGTCTTGACGAAAATGTTTCCTTAACTTTTGGCTACTTTTTGGTGGTGCGCTAATTTTTTGGAGAAGTGTATATTCTGCTAATATAGATTTCACCACATCAGGAATCAATTGAGGTCAATGTCAATACATTTTTGATAACTCATCACTCATCACTCATTCACATTGAATTGAAAATGGTAGATAACGAGAGAAAAACAACTACTTCCCTGGCTATATGCCACTCGCAGAATATTGGATTACATCCTAACGAAATCTATGCAATATTCCGTAAAAACGAATAAAATCGCAAGTCTTTCTCTCCTAAACGCCGAGCTGCGCCTAAGTGGTTCAGGAATGCGTGAATACCTGCAGACCTGTTTCGAGCTCTCAGCTCTCATCAGTGCAGGGCTGTCCCAGATAGCATTCTTGACCGCTATCAGGTGCGAACCTGACCCAACCTAAACGCATCTCAGCATTTATAGCCCAATTTGAGTGTTTGGCTTTTTCCTAACTATAAATACATGTATTCCATCATATATTTTCACCTTCTGAGGCTTCGCTGCAATTGTTTTTCCACATAACGCAAAGAATGACCATGCACAGGATGTTGTATTCTACAGCACATGGTGCCAAATGCGGGGCAGCTCTGACCCTGATTGATTTCATGATGTCGGAATTCAGGCACTGCATTTTCTTCTCCTTGTAATGCATGAATATCTGCAATATCTTCAAATCGTCCACATGCAATGTTTGGTTATAACGTTCCGATTGATCTTGCATCAGTTTGGCAGAGAAGAATATATCGTGCTGGGTGAATTCAACCAGGACGTAGAACCAGTCGCTTAAATTGGTCGCTATCAAGTGCATCAGCCCGAATTTGGCAATCAGTTTACTCTTCTGGACATCCATAAACTGAAAACATGATTGAGGATAAGAAATATGAAAGACTGGAACCTTTGGCACGATAATACACTACACTGTTTAAACATCGTAGTGAAAGATAAGAAAGTTCGGACAATATTGGAGACACCAAACATCGTCTTCACCCAGTAAAAAATCTTCTGAATGGACATACCACATATAAGGTATCTAACTACTGAAATTCGGAAATCGATAAGAAAGTTCTACAGTATACTAAAGTTTTTGAGCACTTTATTGAACATTAGTACAGTCACTTATCAGTATGGCATAATAGTGTGAGGAGGAACAAACGAAAACAACAAGAAACCATTACACTTGATACAAAATTACATCTTTAAAATAATTTTCAACAGAGACAGATTTTCTGCCACTAGTCTATTATTTCTGTTTTGATCATTAGTATTGAACCAGATTGAACACCAAAAAACTATTGAAAAATCCTCAAAGCAATACTACACCCAACCTGGACTCAATTGGCTACTTAGCTCCTATATTTTATAATTTGATGCCAATAACCATTAGAAATATGACCAAATTGAACATATTCAAGAATCAATGTGAAAAATACATTGTAGGCCACCTAGAAACATTCAAAAATATCCTCTGATATCTCTCAAGCAGTAAGAAATCCTTCAATATTCAATGAATATTAGCAACAATTTCAATATAAATATCATATATCGAAGACTGGAACCTCAATCTTCTTCTGAAGATGTTAACATAGTTAGCGAAACACGTGTGTGCAATCTTGGGGCACATACAGATGTTGTAACACCTAGGTGCATTCAATTGATTGTATATTGGGTATTTGTGAATTAGGGGGGTTGCAGGGCTGTGTGCACGTGAATATATACCAAAGAATGGAAGATTTGTATTTCGTGCAAGATAATTTATTCAATATTCGTAGCAGAGCGTTTTCGACTGTTAATTCATCATCAGTGCGTACTCGTCAGGACGAATTTCTGCACGAAATACAATTCTTCCCTTCTTTGGTATTTGTGAATTGTATGAAATTTGTATATATTGTAATTGTTAATATATTATATCATATTATTTGTAATTGTGAATCTCAATCAAATAAATTGTTATTGAATGAATTATCAATATCAAAGTAAATCAACTGGTTTGCTTGCGTTCACAAAATTAATTCGATTGTCGTTTGGGATAGTGCATGCGTGTATGCCAAAGATTTTTAACCTCTGAGCTTTTTCAGCAGGATGCATCAAGATTATAGAACAATGGACATTCGACCAACAGCTCGTGGTACTCTTCATCTTCAGATGATAACAAATGTTCTTGATCATGTTATCTGCTGGAAATCCTCAAGTCCTATCAAAAAATTCGTGGTTTTGAAGGAGCCACTATAGATCAGTACCAAGAGAGGGCCAGGTAGCCGTGCGGACAGAGTGTCAATATTCTATAATTCGCATTCGCTTGCCGGTCGTGGGTTCGATTCCCAGCGGCTGCAGAAATTTTTCTGATGGCCCAAGAAAGTGTTTGGGATCACACGTTAAAAGGTAAGGCCCCCGTCATTCCTTGCTTTTTAGAACAATTAGATAAAGAATTCAATGATCATTTCATTTGTAGGAATATTTCAGTGGAAGAAGTTTAACTGGCAATAGCTTTTAAGATACAAACTATGCCCTTGATCCACTTGTGAAGAGGCGTTATGGCATATTCTAGAAAAATTAGACGAGAAAATAAGACAATGCTTCTCCTGTATTTCGTTTCAAAACTATCACAGACTCGCTACAGATTTAATTTGATGCGCAACTGATTCTGCGTAAATCAAGAAACGTTTCAACGATTTGGAACTCGAACAAACCCAATATAATATTCCAATTGCAAATAAAAAGTGATAAGCTTGATGGAATTGGAGTTCGAGTAAAGGAATCAAAGTCAATGCAATAACTTCGATCACAGAGAAAATTCGAATTCATTGCGTATTTGGAAAGGTATACTCACGTTATCATAAGAAAATATAAACAGCATTTGCAGAATGATGAATAATATTCTAGTAACAGGTTTCAAAATGTTGAATAGATCCCGACAAGATTCTGCTGATGAATATTCGAAATACTGTCCAACTTCCAGAGCAGAATATATGAAAGATCCAATCCCAAACCCTAAAAGAATTCTAATTCATTATCAACAATAGTGCAGTGAATATAGGAATTTTTGAAGTTCTTTGTAATTTACTAGGTATATATCAGCAACAGTTTTTTGTTCATGGATAATTGGAGATTATCAGATATTTCATTCCATCAGCTGACTTCATCACTTTTTTTGCAGAAGTAATAGACAAAATACATTTCGAGCATCTATCTAGTGAAATCACATAATTATATGTTTATGATGAATTGTATATACAGGGAGCTTCGTAATTTGTGCTACACACTTCAGGGGGAAATAGGGCGTCTCATGAAAAAAATTCTATAAACATAGGTCGTAGAAGGCTTCGTGAAACAGTGTAGTGTGTAGGTTGAATGATTGTCGATATTCGGTTCGAAACAAGAGTAAAACTCGAAATTTATATTTTTTACGGAAATTAGCAAAGTACTATATCTCGAAAACTATTGAAAGTACAAAATTGTAATTGAGCTGAAATTATTGCAAATTCTCTCTTTTCAAAACTGTAATTACATCTTCCATCTGAAAATGGATAGTTTATGACTCATAACGCAACATCTGAAAAAGTCCAAATATTTTTCCGTTTTTTATTTATTACGAAGCGAACACAGGTTTTTCGAAGTTGCAAACTTGGGTCCACACTACCCTTACTAACAGTAACAACATTTGAAAAATCAGAACTACATCACGCTCTGCGATTTTTCTCTGACTGGCGTGTAAGCTAACAAGGTGCGGACATAGAAGAATTTCATAAATATTTGTAGCTTTAACACCCTGTATCTCGCAAAACGATGCCTTTTACTCACGACTTTTGTTTATAGGAATTTTCTTGGGCCCTCTATCACCTCTCGAAGTGCGTCCCACATATTACGAAACACCCTGTATAAGCTGAATACTCTTTATGTTACTATAAGTCCTCATAACTGAAGATTTTATGTTATTCAGGGATTTGAACTTGTGAATTGAGGAGATCCGACATTTCTTTGATATTATACTCACCAATAACCCCCATTCTAAAATAGAAACTTCCATAGCGAATGTATGAATATGGTCTGTAACCCACAAGAGTGTCAATGAAATCATGTAGCTGACCTGAAATCCAATGGAAGTTCATGTTCAAATTTTAAATGTTTCTACTTAATTAAATTTTTTCACATCGCAAGTATTAGTATGGGTATTTACTTACTGTTATTTATTCGTTCATGTATAGATTTGACTTTCAGATGTACTATGTATATATATAGAAAAAATAAAATACTTCCACAATATAGATAAACGTAAAATACCTGGAAATAAAAATTTATGAATTTTCAAAGTTTTTTGAATGTGCTTATTTTGTATCGTTACCCCATAGGAATACTCGGATGTAGTTATTGCACCAGCTAATGGAAGAGCAATCCCGACTATTGTCAAAATCTTTCCATAAAAAGCAGACAGCATATGTGTGAAAACCTCTCTGGAAAAAATATATCATTCAATATATTGAAAATATTTCGATGACTATGGAACCTTTTAATGCCAAAACACGTGTTAAGTCGTTATAATAGAAAGTTATTTTTCCAAAAATGACATTAAAAGTGGCTTTTCTATGACAGTTAACAGGCATTGAAAGTGTATTTTGACTGCCTAGGCAGAAAAAGTGTGTTGTTTATGCAACGTTCCAACTAATTTGGCAGATTTTGGGATTTTTTTGACAAACAATCTAGAACCTTCGCCATAAATCAACAAAAATAATCTCATTGTAACAAACATCAATGAGGCTGTAAATGCTGAGAATTTGAATAAAAAATATTGAAAAGTAACAGAGAAAAAATATTCACAGACTGCCAAAGAAGGCAAACGTTTTTGCTCAAAATGCGAAAATAGACTGCTCTGAAAGTCTTCTTTTCGGCATTGTTTAAAAAAAAACATGTTTCGAGAAAAAGCAGCTGACTCATAATTATGCCAGAGTAAACCCGTTTTACGGTAATCAAAATTGACAATATCATTAGGTGGATATAAAATGATGGAGTTTTTAATAAACAAGTTACACAAAATTGGTTTTATTCATAAAATTTGGGGAAAAAATTATATGTTTCACATGGCATAAAATAAGAGTCAATGCCTCTGCTGGTTTCTTGTTCAAAATCAATCAGCATTATCAACTTTTTTGTAAAAAAGGACTTATTCCTTTTTCGGTAATTTTGCTGGAGTTTTTGTAATCGCAGTAGGCCAATGAATTGTGATCGTACATTCTTTTGCTCGACAAAGTAGTCAATTTCAAGTAGTCTAATATGATAGGAAAACATATATGGATATTCTTCCAATAAACGTGTAGTAAGGGCATATCAGATGATTTGCCCCAAAATTATTTATTTACTCATTTTTATTTATTTATTGAACAAATAACTTCCAGACAGGTGAACTAGGTGAACATATCATTATACAAAATATATCAACAACTGTAAATTGACAAACAAAGAATAATATTTGTAGAAAAAAAAATGGCATGTTCAATTTTATCCAGTTCGCGCAGAAATAATCAATTTTTTCAATTCATTTTTGGATGTACCTATATTTCTGCAATTTTTTATATTCTCAGGTAGTTTATTGAATTCAGTTAAGGCTGAATGAGTGAATCTTTTTTGTCCAATTATGGAGCTAGCGGCGTCAAGATGAAACAAGTTATATTGTCTTGTTTCATGATTATGAATTTCAGAATTCCGTATCAACAAAAATTCGACTTCAATTTTTCATTTATGATATTATATGATATTTTAAGAGTTTCAATTCTATATATTTCATCTAAAGAATACGTATTTGTTATTTCAAAGTAGAATTCACTAGCCTGTCAGTGACAATTTGTAATGAAAAATGTTCGGAGAAGAGAAATGAAGGTATTTAGAAAAAGTATCAAATGTTCACTTTGCTTTGGACGGTTCGGGAACGAATCTGCTCCCGTTTTCAACACAAAAAATTATATATATTTGAATAGCAAATCCGTATTTGGCTTGACTTTTCAGTTCTCAGTGACCATTGGTGACGTTGGCAATCAAATGAGTTACAGGATGTTTTCATTAATCAATCTTGAATTAACCCTTTTCATTTTCAGATTTCAATGTTCAATCTATATCAACTGAACAGGAAGCATAGCTATTGTCTCCGTTTAGAAGAATGCAAGCAGATTCCTTAATTCTTCTTTTCTGGTTGTTATCTTCTTTAATAAAGAAGATTTTGGTTGAATTCACGAAATGCTCATTGGAGCTTCATTGCATCCTACTCAAACATGGCCATATTAAGCTTTATCGCATTCGTCGATCTAGTTCCGGAACGAGTGACAATCGAATAGTGGGTTGAGAGCTTCAAAGAGCTGAAAATTCAGCGCAAACCACAATCGATATCGCCTTCGAGAAGGCAACAAAAGCCTAGGGATTAGCTCTTTGTTACACTTACTCTCCGCGTTGCGTCCTCTTTTTCTTCCGGGGCTCAGGCTCCGGGAAATACCGAATATCCATGGCGGGCAAGGAGCGATGCATCAGCCTCACGCTGAAACAGGAATACAGAGAGGAATATCAGGTTTTGTTTCAGATGAATATGAAATCGACAGGATGTCCCAGATATAGTGCCGGACTGGCCCATCCCAGACAGCACTGGATATTCCTAGGAGATTTTCTAAATATGCTGAAAAGGAGGAGTATATTTCGAATATCCATTGAAGATTCCTAGAATATACCGAGTTGCCATGAGAACCGGGCCGCTCTTATAAATTCTGAATCACTTGAAATAGAATCATGAAATTTGGACGGTTCGAAAAACATCTTTGCATTCGTTTCACTTGATAATTTAGGAGTTATCTTCTCTTCCAAACAAAATTTAAATATTAGTATTATTTCAATTGTTCATGTGAAGTAGGACAAATCAGATGATTTGCCCCAAAATGTCACTGTGTTTAGCAATTTTTTTTCATCAGGGAGCCTAAAAGAAAAACCCTGTGTGACACTTTGTTTGGAAAGTTTGAAGAGAAGAAATATAGATATATTGAAAAAATATCGAATTTTCACTTATCTTTGGTCGTTTCGGGAACGTATCTGCTCCCGTTCTCAACATAAAAGTGCAAAATATTTTTCTTCGAAAATTCTGTTCTCATAGTTTGACACTTCTCAGTGTCATACTGATATTGGCATATGGATGAGTGATTATGTTGGTATACTAATGAGTTACAGGATGTTTTCATCAATTGATCTTGAATCTGCCATTTACATGTTCAGTTTTCAATAGTACATATGAAAATGGTAGATTCTAGATCGATTAATGAAAACATCTTGTACCCAGTATGACACTAAATAGTTTCAAACTATAGGAACAGAATTTTCGAAGGAAAATATTTTACATTTTTATGATGAGAACGGGAACAGATTCTCTCCTGAAACGTCCAAAGATGAGTAAAAATTCGATATTTTCTTAATATATCTATATTTCTTCTCTTCAAACTTTTTTCCCAACAAATTGTCACTGATAAGCTATTGGATTTTTCTTTCTGGCTCCCTGATGGAAAAATTTGTTGAAAGCAGTGACATTTTGGGGCAAATCATCTGAATTTCGATAACAAATATCGTGTTTTTTCTTCTCGTCTATCTTTCTGTCAATTAATATTCAACAAGAATGTAGAAAAAATCAATTCACATGATACCAGTTGAAAGTTGACAGTCATCAGCCAGGTCGAAGTTTAAAATTCATTAGAACGTTTTTGTTCCATATTTTTTTATTGAACCGGTCAAAGTGTGCCGATTAAATTGAAGAGCAGTTTTTGAAGCATTTTGTCTGATCTTTCTGAATCTGATGGAATTTTTCGAGAAAAGTGGTCATAAAGTGAACTTTTTTGACATAACAATGAAACATGAAATTCTCCCAAGTCCAGACCTGGATATTTTTTTCATAATATGTTATCTTGAATAGTTTCAGTAGAGATACGTCGCTGCCAAATTTCAGTAGATTACGATAAATCATTTCTGTAATATCAGCCATCAAAGTTATAAAGCAATTTCACATAATACCCTGTATCTTCGTTATGGAGGGTCTGAAAATGTTTCCATATATATACATCAACTCGTCTTGATTTTCCCTATTAACCATTTGGCTATGTGAGTCTCCTCATGAAACACCATGTATATTCATGAAATATTTCATGAATGTTCCCATGTTTTCCAATTAAATGGTATTACATGAACACCAATCATTATTTTATGTACGGAGATTTCGAAACAGCAAGTGTTTATGATTTGCTTCTGAACAACGCTCTAAAACAAAAACACATCGCTTTCCCATTACAAATGAAAAAATATATCGCTATTATTTGGCAGCGAACTGATAGCAGTGACGTCGCATGGAACACATTCGAATGGGACAAAATAACATCCCTCTGACATCGCAACGACGTCAATATGACATAGAATGCGATATCGCAGGTCACAACATCGCTGCGATATGTCTGTGATGTAACAGTGTTTGCTGGGTGCAAGTGTTTAAAAATAAAATTCATAAAATAATGAATACCTAGATTTGTCTTTCAACAAAAGAAACCAACAAAATACTCTTGCTATAATAATTGAAATGAATAACGAAATCTATCGTAAAACAAGGAACTAGATACTAGATAAAAAAATATAAAAATAATAGTCATTTATCATAGTACAAGAGTTAATTCATGAAAAGTATCATTCTGTTACCTGTCAACAGAAATAAAATGTCAAATTCTTTCTGTCATAGAAGAATTTATACAAAATCAAAGGAAAATATAATTCCATGTTTCATGTTTCTGGCAATTTCTGAAGCTGGTTCTAATTTCCCAATCAACTTATCCGAAACAATATTGTTTCCATGTTCCCTATAAACCCCAATATCCCAAGGGGAGGTTTCGTGAGTAGAGGGGCCCTGTGAGATTCATCTCACCACATTACCAAACCAGTCCGGCACTGCCCAGATAGATTTCATTTCTGTTCAGTATACCCCAGTTAACACACGTTCGATGTCGAAACGTTGAATAGCGGTTTGAATAGTAGAAACAACGTTAATGGTTGAAAACCGAGATGAAAACGCTGATATGCAGTTTATAACAACCAAAGATTTAACACGTTATTCAGATTTATAAAGTGTCCAATGACAAGATAAGAAGACCAAGTAGCTGTAAATGCATCAAACACAGGGGGATAAGGGGGACATTTCGAATTTTCTCGTGAAATATCTTAAATAGTGGTTCGTTCACATTTTCATTATCAAATTCGTGATTTTCAGAAAAAAATACGTAAGTACCAAAACAAATTTTCGAAAAAAAAACCATCGCATGATAAGTGCAGTTTTACCAAAAATTTGTTCACCAACTAGTATAGGGCGATTGATGAATCGCCCTCTTTAATACACTAGTCAATTTTTTTGTGATGACAAAATAATACAAGTATCAAATTGTTTTTGTTCAGATAACGTCATTTGTACATGACATACTATATACCTTTTTACTAAATTTTGCTTTGGATCAAGAGACCACCTGGAGCACAATTTCAAGAATATATGCCTTTGTGGATGAAATATACAGTGTGTGCAATTTCAACTCACAACACCAGTTGACCAATTTTCCAAAACTGAAATTTCATGATATCGAAAATTGCCATTTATTAACAACTCTGATTCCGGAAACCAACTCAATCTTATATAAGGAAGATTCCAAAGGAAACCTGAAATCGGTAATATTTTCAACAGGAGAATGCAAAATCATTTCAATATGATTCAATCATTTGGGATTTTCTCTCCTCGTTTCTTATTCAATATTGAATATTCCGCAAGTGAATGTTTATTTATTCATTTATTTTTATTAATTTAATGTTACACTGTTCTACACGTTGAACCCAACTACAGAACAGGGAAATAAGTATAACTAGTAATACAGTTTTTCATATTTTGAAAAGTATATAAATATAGGCAAGACCTTAGCTGGAATAAAAAGATGTAATCGCAGGAGATAGAGCAATGAAAGATATCTGGCTGATTATTTGATGAATTATTGTATGAAGAACACATATTATGGAGAGGAGAATATTTCAAAATATTTGTTCATGGTGTCGGAAGATAGAATGTATTGAAAACTCTAGAAGTTCGTCTAGGCACAGTGAAACTCAGCTTCTGCAAAATAAGTGAGTCAGTGATAATGTTATTCACCACTTTGAAAAGGAACACTGTGGATTGACAATCACGACGGCAACTAAGGCTTTTCACAGCATGTCCAGCTAATAATGTATCATGAGGAAACCCGATTGGTGGATATACATTATCAGATCTATAGGAAAGAAGTTTTAGGAAACGACGTTGTACTGATTCAACTTTTTCTATAAACAGCTGATGAGACGGATTCCAAATCAAAGATGCGTATTCCAGTTTTGATCTGACGAAGGCATAATATAATGTTTTTGATGTTGCTGAATCAGAAAAATCTCTAGAGATCCACGCTATGAATCCATACATCCTGTTTGCAGTAGACAAAGTAGCTTCAATATGCGATGTGAATGAAAGTTTTGGGTCAAAGCTGACACCTTAATCGGTAAATGTGGGCGGACGTTGAAGTATTGTATCACTAATATCATACTGAAATAAAATGGGTTGATTTCTAAGTGTATATGTCATCACATTATATTTGCTAGCGTTCAAAGGTAATTTGTTACTGCAACACCATTGTTCAACGCGTTTCAGATTTGGAGATAGCCGTTCACAATCCTCAATATCATTTATCTGACAATATATCTTTAAATCGTCATCAAACAACTGACATCAATAACTTCGATAATGTCATTGATGAGGGCATTGAAAAATAGCGGACCTACTTGAGGGACACCCGAGGTTGCTTCATATTCGACAGACTTGAAACCATTGAACAGCCTATCAGTAAAATATGAAGCGAAAAGTTGGATAAGTGCCAAGGAAAATTCGTAACGGTATAGTTTCGATAATAATAGTAAATGATCAAGCCTGTCGAATCTGTATAATACAACATCAACTTGCAATCGTCTGTCAATGCTTTCAGAAATCATTGAGTAATATTGAAAAGGTTGGTGATTGTGGAACGCCCTTTCATGAAACCATATTGAAGTGGTGTGATATGACTGCTCAAATGCTGATATAACCTATCATAGAGGAGGATTTCAAAAACTTTGGCAAAGTTGCAAATAATGGATATGGGTCTGAAGTTACCGATGTCGAATTTATCGCCTTTTTTGTATATCGGACAAATTTTTGATAATTTCCATTAGTCGGAAATTGTGCAGGTTTTCAAGCAAATTTTGATCAATATAGATAATGGACGAGCCAAAACATATGCACAATCTCTCACAACCATTGCAGGGAGGTTATCAGGACCCGTGGTCATTTTCGGTTTAAGTTGCTTCAGAGCTGCCAACACTTCATTTTCGTCAAAACATTAATGTTCAAAACCTGTAAATACGGAGTGGAATCGGTAAAATCACTCTGTGAACTCATGGTATCCGCTTAAAAAAAATCTGCAGACCTATTACCAAGCAGTTTCAAGCAATATAATGGAATTTTCTATCAGTTTTGTTTCTATTGACAAACAATTGAATACCTATTAACTTGTCATTACGGATGCTTACGTCTACAAGATTGAAAAATTCTGAAAAATTCATGCATTTACCTGTTAGACATTTTGCTCACATCACAGTCACTTCAAGATATCGACGAATGAATCTTTACTAATAAAATAATATATCTTTGTTTGTTGTATCTGTGAGATTTGTCATGTGTTGTTTCACCACCTGAGTTTATTAATAGTCTGTTTCGTATTCAGTGTTAATAGTTTGAGAAAATCTGTGAAATAATGTCCCGATTTTGATCGTACTATGTATAGAATATTTTTATCTCCAATGTACCCGAATGATTCAATAAAAGATATATTCATCACAGAATCTATAAAACTCCAAAACTGAATGTCTAGAAATTCCTCAAAAACTGTTACTCGGTATATTAAAAAATAATTGAAGTTTCACCTAATTATAATCGAACCAACGACATGATGAATAATTATTACCTAATAAGTGTGCTAAGTAGTTGGCCGAATATAAACAGTATCAAATATTTGGATGATTACTGAGTATGATATAGTTCTATCTCAGAATATTATTTGTGTTTCAATAAAAAATTATAAAACTATTGAGTGATTATACACTTTCAAATATACCTGGCATAAACGACAGCTTTATTCTCAATTTCTTAGCAAGTTCAATATTGCTGCCATCATTTGTTTTTTCTTTTGATTGTTCATAATTGCTAATTTTGGTTCCGATATCTCAGAATAGTTTTCTACCTGATTCTACCTACAATTCGTATTCCGGTAGGTAATTCTGCAGATAAAAATAATAAAAAAAATTCCGTCAACATAATGAATCCGGAAATGATTCCTTACCGCTACTGACCTTTGAAAAAAGGTTCCTAAATGCACTCTTTCAATTATCAGTAGTAATACCACAAATGATTGCATTCTCGTGATAAGTATGCCAATAATATTCTGAACGAAATTGAATTGCTTCATTACGATTGTTGTTTTCTCGAACTGATCCAAAAGAGTTGAGAAATGGAAGACTTATGAGATGAATTCAATCACGAGTGTAATTTTATAAGACTATTTCACGAACAAAGTGGAAGGAAATCAAGCAGAAAACATCGATATCGAACGAATTGCATATTTGATCAAACCACTGTTAACATAACTATTGTTTAACTAAAATCATAAATGATACAACTATTATATTCGATGCTTTGTGTTTGAATATTATTCGAACTTATGCTTGTACTTGCAATAATAACTGTTATATCTTGATTGCTATCACTTCTCATGTTCTTCAATAAGTTTTTCGTGATGATGTGTACTAAGTTGGATGTATCTGCTTATGTTTGACGTTCAATTGTTACATACACATATCTGAAAATAACAAACTTGATCAGGCCAACGAGACTCTCCAGCGAGTTGTTGGTCCACTTGGCCATATTGAATACGATCAAAAACATGGTTTCCAATACTAGCAAAAATTCTAATTTATTCACATACTGCAATCTTTTTTCTACAACCGTATATAGTTTTTTTTTTGCCATGATGAAGGATTCCTTGCGATCGTTTGCTATTTAACTAAGTCAGCTTGATTAGATCGATCGAACTCTCGGTCAGATTTCTAGTACATCAGCATAAATTCGAGAAAGCAATGAAATTTCCTGTATGAAGGGGTGTATAGGATAATTGAAAGATAAAACTAGATAAACAAAATATGTAATATTATATTCTTTAAAAAAAGTACGATAGTATAAACCAGTTTATTTACAGTCATGTGTTCTAAGGAAAATAACTAGAACAAGGAGTTTTGATCTTGTAGGCAGTTTTCCAAATCTCGAATAGACAAATAGTTGAATGGAACCTATAAAAGATGGCCAAAGGCATGGAAACATGAGTGATGATCGTCCAGCCCCATCTTCCATAAAACTCCAGATGGCCAGGCCTAAACTCCGCCCGGTTCTTCTCCAGTGAGTTGATGGTCCACATGGCCATATTAGCCACGATCAAGAACGTTATCATCTGTCTGCCAGGCTGAATCTGGCCCTGCTTGATGTTTTTGCACCTACGCCACCAACCATCCAACACGAAGATGGTTTGGAATAATAGCAAAAATTTCGATTTCATTCGCGTACTAGAAAGAACTGTACACTCTTTCTTATGATGATTAGTGTGTTGCAATTTCCTCCCTACAACAGTAGCTTCTTTTTGCCTTAATCGTTTGCTATGAAACAAAGTCAGCTTGATTAGACCGATCGTACTCTTGGTCGAATTTCTAGAACATTAGCCTAAACATAAGAAAGCAATGACATTCTCTGTATGAAGGGGTATGCTGGGATAATCGAAAGATAAAAGTAGATAGACAAAATATGTATTATTATATTCTATAAAAAAGGACGGTAGTATAAACTAGCTTATTTACAGTCATTTGTTCTGAGGAAAATAACTAGAACAAGGAGTTTTGATCTTGTAGGCAGTTTTCCAAATCTCGAACAAACAGATAGTTGAATGGAACCTATAAAATATGGCCAAAGGCATAGAAACATGAGTGATGATCGTCCAGCCCCATCTTCCATAAAACTCCAAATGACCAGGCCTAAACTCCGCCCGGTTCTTCTCCAGTGAGTTGATGGTCCACATGGCCATATTAGCCACGATCAAGAACGTTATCATCTGTCTGCCGGGCTGAATCTGGCCCTGCTTGATGTTTTTGCACCTACGCCACCAACCATCCAACACGAAGATGGTTTGGAATAATAGCAAAAATTTCGATTTCATTCGCGTACTAGAAAGAACTGTACACTCTTTCTTATGATGATTAGTGTGTTGCAATTTCCTCCCTACAACAGTAGCTTCTTTTTGCCTTAATCATTTGCTATGAAACAAAGTCAGCTTGATTAGACCGATCGTACTCGTGGTCGAATTTCTAGACATTAGCCTAATCATAAGAAAGCACTGACATTCTCTGTATAAAGGGGTATATGCTGGGATAATCGAAAGATAAAAGTAGATAGACAAAATAGGTATTATTATATTCTATAAAAAAGGACGGTAGTATAAACTAGCTTATTTACAGTCATTTGTTCTAAGGAAAATAACTTGAACAAGGAGTTTTGATCTTGTAGGCAGTTTTCCAAATCTCGAATAGACAAATAGTTGAATGAAACCTATAAAAGATGGCCAAAGGCATGGAAACATGGGTGATGATCGTCCAGCCCCATCTTCCATAAAACTCCAGATGGCCAGGCCTAAACTCCGCCCGGTTCTTCTCCAGTGAGTTGATGGTCCACATGGCCATATTAGCCACGATCAAGAACGTTATCATCTGTCTGCCAGGCTGAATCTGGCCCTGGTTGATGTTTTTGCACCTTCGCCACCAACCGTCCAACACGAAGATGGTTTGGAATGATAGCAAAAATTTCGATTTCATTCGCGTACTAAAAAGAGCTGTACACTCTTTCTTATGATGATTAGTGTGTTGCAATTTCCTCCCTACAACAGTAGCTTCTTTTTGCCTTAATCGTTTGCTATGAAACAAAGTCAGCTTGATTAGACCGATCGTACTCCTGGTCGAATTTCTAGAACATTAGCCTAAACATAAGAAAGCAATGACATTCTCTGTAATTGCAATTTTTTACCAAAAACGGTAGCTTCTTTTTGCCTTAATCGTTTGCTATGAAACAAAGTCAGCTTGATTAGACCGATCGTACTCTGCATCAGATTTCTAGAACATTAGCATTAACATAAGGAAGCAATATAATTTCCTGTATGAAGGGGTATGCTAGGATAATTGAAAGATAAAAGTTCATAGACAAAATATGTATTATTATATTCTATAAAAAATAACGATATAGTATAAACTAGCTTATTAACAGTCATTTGTTCTAAGGAAAATAACTTGAACAAGGAGTTTTGATCTTGTAGGCAGTTTTCCAAATCTCGAACAAACAGATAGTTGAATGGAACCTATAAAATATGGCCAAAGGCATAGAAACATGGGTGATGATCGTCCATCCCCATCTTCCATAAAACTCCAGATGGCCAGGCCTAAACTCCGCCCGGTTCTTCTCCAGCGAATTAATGGTCCACATGGCCATATTAGCCACGATCAAGAACGTTATCATCTGTCTGCCGGGCTGAATCTGGCCCTGGTTGATGTTTTTGCACCTACGCCACCAACCATCCAACACGAAGATGGTTTGGACGCAGGTCTGTACGAAGGAGACTATCTCGGTAGCTAGCTCTATCTGGCTGTTGGGCTCTTTGGAAAAATAGCAGCCTATTATGGAGAACATGCAGTAGATGAACATGCCCGTTTGAGCGACCACTAGTAACGTGCAGTCCAAGCCTATACCAGTGTTGTTTCCTTCATGATCTACAATGGAAGTTGAAGGGTGGTATTAGAATAGTTCATAGGTCGCGTGCACGATGACCGACCCTGAGGGTGAAATATTGAAACACAAACTCGCTCTTCTGTGAAACATTGAAACACAACCTCACTTTTTCTATCTGTTTACAGAGGAATCAAAGGGTTGAAATAGTTTTTCGAAATATTTTGTCATACGAATCGTGTTTTTTGCGCTATTCATTAACTCAAGTATTCCTTCTCATTGTGCTGTTGTACAATGCACAAAAAATGCAGCGAGATACGAAAGAATATGATTTTCCAGGTAAATAAAAATCTCACATAGTTATCATTATGAAATGTTGTCATTCCTTATTAAAATTCCTTCTGCCTTCTGCCACTTCTGCAATACAAGCTGATACTGCTGATAGATTGAGAATGTCTACAACACACACAATTGATAGTAAATACCCCTTTTAACGACGGCAGTATTTATTAATATAACCGAAATACATAAAATAAGTATCTCTCTCACGCACAGATTCAACCTTTCGATCATTGACAACCGAATTAATTAATTATATATCAAAAGTGACATCCGCTCTCAAAATACCAATATACGAGATGTTGTCGATGATATTGAATAAAATACCTAACACTCGGCCCTTTCTGACACTATGAGTGTCCTCACTCATCCATCTCTCATTCATCATAAGAAAATAAATCAATTCGCAGATTGATTCTAACAACTACAACTATAACTAACAGTGCCAATAAAATAGCACAATTCTCAGCACGCAGGCCGGTTTAACTATAATCTAAAATTCGTCAAATCATTCCAATACAAAATCAAGTAAACGATTTGGCAATTTAGTAACACGCTTGGGCCTTTCTTTGGCCCGCACATCAACTTCACTACACTTGTCTTCTTCATTCCTCTTGTTCTTGTTTACTTTCTCTTCTTACCTGTAGTTGCTCGTCTTCGCTAACTACAGCGTGATAGTCTTCATTTTCTTCTATACCTCCGTTCTCTGCTTGTCGAAACTCATCTTCTCTTCCTGTACTTTCCTCATCTTCTGATTCTTCATGATTTGCATATGATTTCAATTGTGAAACGTGTGCAGTGGTAACGAACTTTCGACCAGAGTCCAGGCTATGTAAACGATACGTATCACTGGGTAATATTTCTATAACTCTATATGGTCCTTTATACTTTGGTTTCAACTTATTCGATTCACCCGGTATTGTTTTTGTACGGCGAACGAATACTATTTCTCCGACATCATAATTCAATCCAATGAATCGCTTTTTGTCGTACCGATCCTTGTACTTTTTCTGTTCTTCAACAATTCTTTCTCTTATTTCCGTTTGTATTTCTTCAGCTGGGGTCCACTCTATTTCTGCTACTCTTGCTGCCAATTTATCTTTTCCAAAACTAGGTAGATAACCATGGAGTACGATTAACTCTTTCTACCTGCCCGTTTGCTTGAGGTCAACGACTAGAATTGAGCGTATGGTGAATATTCAGACCTCTACAAAATTCACCAAAATCTTTCGAAGTGAAACATTTTCCTCGATCTGTAACCAACAATTTCGGAATTCCAAACAATCCGAAAAAGTTCTCAAACTCCTTGGTGTTGATTCTTGTTGATGTATCTTTCACAGCATACAACTTGACATATTTCGTTAATGCGCGTACAATTGACAAAACATAACAATCACCTCTTTTCGATTTCACTAAAATACCTAGATGATCGGCATGAATCCTTTCCAATGGTCTCTTTGGAGGAGATATTGGATGGAGTTCCCCTGGCTGCCTTTTTCTCTTTCTTCTGTAGTCTACTACAAGTCGAGCTTCTGTATCAGTGTCTGTTACGATACCGCACTCGCGCCATTCCTTTACAATGTCCCCTGTTTCAGTAGGTTCTGAAAGACTTGCACGATATGGCTTGCATACTAGCGGTTTACAATTGTCTACTATGTCCATACGAATTAGATCTGTGCAACCCAATTCTGACAAATTGAAAGAAAAGCAATCTCGATATTGATTGAAAAGGTTTACTAACCTGGCCCAAGTCTCTGGTTCGATACCTGATCCAATATTAATCATATCTTCAGTGATCAATTCCATTCCAGTGTCTACTCCACTGATGTGTGAAGGAATTCTTCCCAACTCCTGCTTTTTCTTGACTCGACAGCTAGAACCTCCTCGATTCTCCAGCGGAACGCAGACTTGTTCTTCTCCCATCGTCGCAGTCACAAGCATCACAGAGTTTGCTGGAATATCCACAACTTCATTCGCAACCAATGAAATTGATTCACCAGCTTCATCTTGAATCATCTCAGGAAATGGCAATTCATCCTTCCATAGGAACTTCAAGGTTTTGCCAACTCGGACATATCCCAAACAATCTTGTTCAGTAAAAGTGCGCCCTAGTATAACATCTATACTCTGAGCAGAATTTGGGACAACATGCATTGTCACGTTAGAGACTTTGATGTTATCGATTTCCAAAAATTCTCGTACGGCTTCTGAACTTTGAACAGATGTTCCTCCAAAACCAGACAAAACTATCGAATCATTTTCCACAGAATGATTCCCTTTGGTAACTGCATCTTCGGTGATAGTGCATACTGCACTACCAGTATCAATCAGCGCTTGATGTGGTATACCGTTTACTTTGACTTCGCGTATGAATCGTGAGAGAGAATCTGTGGTACATTCCCTTCCCGAGACTATGTTAACGGACGCGTTCCCACCCATGTTTGACGTTTCTGTGACAGTTGCATTTGCTTGAAATTTTGTGCAATTCTTTTTGAAATGACCAGGTTGAAAACATCCATAGCAGAGTTGTTGTTTAGGTTTGTCGCATTTTGTTCTCAAATGACCCTTACAACCACAGTTATAACAAACTACCTCATGCTCTTTGTTCTCATTTGTTATTGGTCTACTCCTATCGTCGTTAACATATCTAGATTTTCTCATACGTTCATACACTTGTTCAAGAAGTAATAAATCTTGCCACAAATCATCAACCGTCAAATGATTTTTGATTATCAAATTTCCCGCTATATCTTCCTTATGCAATCCCTTCAAAATTTCACATTTTTGCTCTGCGAATGGTAGATTCAATTCTGATAAAAGTCTCACCTTATCATGAAAATAACTAGATATACTTTCCGCAGGCTTTTGTATCCTACAACGCATTCTATCCCAGCGATCCGCGGTAGAAATTGTTTGAATGAATGTTGATCTGAATTGAGATTCAAAATTTTCCCATCTAGCAATTCCCCTACCAACTCTATCAAACCACGCTACTGCCGGACCCCTCAAGTATGCGCGAGCAATATTAATTTTGGAAATGTCATCTAAATTTTGCAAAGTACTACTCAAATTGATCGTATCTAACCATTCTTTTGCTCTAAATCGCTCCCTGTCCCCATCAAAATGCCATAACACCGATGGTACTTGCGACACAACACACTGTGTATTACTGTTATTCAAAATATTCAACTGAGCTGTCATCAATTCTGTCATTTTGAACATCATATTTTGGAAATCTACCCCATGACTAATATTACTACTTGCTGCTGGAGTTGTGCTCTCCGCATCATCAACCACTCCATTTGCCAGAATATTGGAATCAGAATCAGGATGTATCATTTTATCAGCCAAGACTACTTCAACTTATCTATAGACGCTTACCTACACCTCGAAACATGTACCAAACCAAACCCAACCTAATCAACGACTCAGCCTCTCTTCGTCTTGATTCTTCTGTCTGATCTCTAAAATGCACCTTCCTTTCGAACAGATACAACGTCTCAATAGAAATTTTTGGCCGCGAAATCGAACACCACTTCTGAAGTGATAGTAAATACCCCTTTTAACGACGGCAGTATTTATTAATATAACCGAAATACATAAAATAAGTATCTCTCTCACGCACAGATTCAACCTTTCGATCATTGACAACCGAATTAATTAATTATATATCAAAAGTGACATCCGCTCTCAAAATACCAATATACGGGATGTTGTCGATGATATTGAATAAAATACCTAACACAATCAAATTTCGTCAGCATGTTAGACTAGTCCTTTCGTTTGATTGCATGAATCCAATCTTCTTGCATTATTTTAGAAATTTCACGTGTATTGCTATTAGTTCCTATTGCAGAAGGAATTCCGATGAGAAATCAGAGAAATTACCAAATTTCAAGAATGAAAACTATGTTACGTGAGTGACTATAGTACGTACCTACATTTAAATCATAATGTACCAACCGGATTCCTTCGTCTCTCGCTGCATTTTATGTGCATTGTACAACAGCACAATGTGATGGCATGCTTGAATTAAAAAATAGCCAAAAAACATTATTCATGTGCCAAAATAATTGTGAAAAACTATTTCAATCATTTGTAAACAAATAAGAAGACTGAGGTTGTGTTTTATTGTTTCACCTCCAGGGTCGGCCATCTGACAGGCACGCAAACCATTGGCAATGGGTTGCGTGCAAGAACTGTCAGATGACCGACGCTGGAGGCAAAACATTGAAACACAACGTCAGTTAACTTATTTGTTTACAAGTGATTGAAATAGTTTTTCACAATTATGTTGACATACGAATCGTATTTTTCCGCTATTCATTAATTCACTCATGTCATCACATTATGCTGTTGTGAAATGCACAAAAACTGCAGCGGAAGACGAAGTAATCCGGTTGGTACAATATGATTTAAAAGTAAGTTCCTACTATATAGTCACTCACATATAGTATTCATTTTTGAAATTTAGTAATTTCTCTGATTTCTCATCGGAATTCTTTCTGAGATAGAAGTTAATAGAAATACATCTGAAATTTCTAAAATAATGCCAGAAAATTGGATTCATGCAATCAATCGGGAGGACTGGTCTAACATGCTGACGATCGTGTGTGTTGTAGACATTTTCAATGTATTAGCAGTATTAGCTTGTATTGCAGAAGTGACAGAAGGCAGAAGGAATTTTAATAAGGAATGACAACATTTCATAATGATAACTATGTGAGATTACTATTTACCTGAAAAATCATATTCTTTAGTCTCTTGCTGCATTTTTTGTGCATTGTACAACAGCACAATGCGAAGGCATGCTCGAATTAATGAATAGCGCAAAAAACACGATTCGTATGCCAAAATATTGTGAAAAACTATTTCAATCCTTTGATTCCTCTGTGACCAAGTACAAATGAGGTTGTGTTTCAATATTTTGCCCCCAGGGCGGGGTCGGTCATCGTGCACGAGACCTATCAGAATATGTCAAATTTTTTGGAGGTTAGTTTGCCCAAATTCGAATTGACGCGATCGTAGTTCTACCATACAAAAATTTGAAAGTAGTATAGTATCTTCACACAACATAGTAAAAAAACAGTGACATTCTTTCGGTTCGAAAACTGAGACTGAACTGATCAAAGCGAAACTAAACGTGATCAAACTGAATTTCTGCATCATTGATCCAGTTAACATGTTGTAGATAAAATAAGAAGTTGAAGTTATGATTGAGTCATTTAACTATTTATAATTCTGGAATTTATAATGAAAAGCATCGAGTAAACAAATGGACAGAAAACTGACAGAACTTGATAACTGAACGATGTAACATCAAATTGATTCATTATGTAGATTCTGAAAGTGATAGGAGTTTGAGTTGAATCCTCATTAATATTTATGCTTACCAATTTTTCGGTCGTATTTCAGATTTCTCAGCTTCAGAATTGCTATCAGGACAGCTGAAGTTGTTACAACATAAAGGATTAGCTCCACAATGTTTACTTCGAATATGGCAATCTGTTCCGATTTCGTGTTATTGTTGGTCAAAACGAAAAACATTATCAGGGAAATTATTGTCAGAACGATGACCTGAAAAGTAGATATCAATAATAAAGATTCAGGTATTGAGATAGATTCTTCCATGAACTCGTAACGTTACTACAACATGAAATCAACTTGAATAATCATAATATTCAGGTTTCCTGACAAATTTCAAAATCTATCCCAATTGTAGGTCATGGATCACCAGAAATACATTCTGATATAAATTCAGTTCAAATGGAAGGTTTCTGAAACATGAAACTGGCATATTCTTCACTAGCTTTTCTCACAAAATGTCCGGAATGAGTTTATCAAAGTTCAAGAAACAAAATGGTAGTTCCCCTTACAATTTTGATTGTTTCGTAATCATATAGACTTTGATTACTTCACTTTTCACTGTAGTCCGTATGAAAAGGTCGCCTAGCAACCCTCGAAATTTTGATTGTGTAAATTAACGACAATGATAGATTGTGTTATTAGGATCGAAAGTGACACTTTGTTTGACAAACGAATTTCGTTTGCATTTGCGAGTCGAACAAAGTACCTCTTGATCAGAATGAAACATGCTATTTTTTCTGCAACCGAAAGACATAACTAAAATAAATATGTGAATTAACCACCAATTCGCCGCACCATATGTATGCAATGCAACAAATAATCCGTGTGGTGAAAATATTCTACCATTAACATTAACATATCAGCTTTATTCAATTTTCAAGAATGTTCGAATTTTAGTTTCAATATAAATACAGAGTGACTCCATTTGTGTATGGACCAGGTGTCATCCCTAATAGCAAATAACGCGACAGTGCCAGGTCATTTAACAACGAGTCTGAAAGTTGTTGTTCGATGGCCAGGTATAGGAAGAAGACGTGGAAAATGTTAGGTTAGTGAGCATAGTGTGCTCACCGGGTCGGTGATTAGCCTCAGTAGCAGGGAAAGACGGTCGTCAAAGAAACAGGGGAGAAGAGAAAGAACAATGATAATAATGATCATTTATTCCTCTCCATACTCCACTGTGTTTGGCTCGGTAATCAAATGATGGTGAACAATATCGTTGTGTGAGACAGAAAACTATTGCTGGCCTTGATTATTCAAGAACAAGTTATCCATCCCGAGAATAGCGAATGAAATACAGATCAAGAAAGTATATGAATCTCGAAGGCTTTTCTGATGAAAACAGAAAATACTTGACTATAATAAGGTGTATTTATATCTCCAGCATGGGAATCAAATGCCAAATCTGCCGAAATCGGAAACAAATCAGGTATGCGTCCCAACCCAAAAAATCAACCGTAACAATTTTGTTTATTTTTGATGACCTCTAGTACATCATTTTCAGTTCCTAGGAGCTGAAGTTCAACTTTTGTGTCGGTTACAGAAAAAATATGTTCATCATTGATGATACGTTTTCAAGGTTAAAAGGCTTCCATAATTCTCCAAAATTCTTCATAGTAGGTATACCTTTGACATCTTTCAGTTACCAAATAGGATGAATCGTTCGATATAAAGACATTATCTGCATCTCATATTTTTTCGAGAAAAGCACCGTTTTCGATGAGCATATCCGTGTGATAGTCTGTTTATTTTGCTTGATTATGATTCGCCTGCAGTAGCGGGTTATCTACTAACACCATCTAGTGACTCTAGTAGCGGAGATACAGAGGGTAGAAGGTCAGGATATTTGTATTGAAGCTACAATTCGAACATCCTTGAAAATCCACAGTACTTTTTTCAATCAATCACTTCGAAGAAAGAAAAGGGAGAAAAAAAAAGTTGGGTGATGTCAGGGTTCCAACCCACAACCTTTGGTATATCCTGCCGGCACGCTACCCACTGGAAACTTATTATAAGTAAATTATTGGAGAATTTCCTAAATGACGAAGCTCATCAAATTGGTACGTCACACCGACGTGATTTTTTGATGTCATAGATACGTCACTGCAACGTCATAGGAGTAACGGTTTCAAAGTAGGTATACCTGAACAATAATTTTTATATATACATAGCTTGTTGGTTTCCGAGATATACAGTGTGTCAAAGTTTTTTAGAAAAAAGTTTCTCTACTACTTTTCGGGTATATTAATAATTAGAATAAAACTTGCATGTTGATTCGCTTTCATGAGTTATACTTCTGTTTCACATGATAATATATAAGTATCCATGGTTTAGAGAAGGTCTGGGAAAAATGGACGTCGACAGAACGTCCCTGCAACGTCATGAAACTGACGTCTTCTTTTACCCATCTAAGTGACGTTCACTCGACGTCGAAACGATGACGTGATTATCACGTCATAGAAAGTACGTCATAGTGACGTCATAAATTGGTGTGTGACGTCTCTGACGAAAAATCACCAATCAGGGACGTCACAGTGACGTGATCATTCGTCATCTGGTTCCCTGGGTAGGGGTCATTAATGAACGATTTCATATACATTAAACTTAGTCGTTAATACGAGGTCGACGGAAAACATTATTATTATATCCTCTCCGCAGTTTCCTTACCATAATTCCTGCGAACAAGCCTTTATGCGAATTGGAGCAATCAATCGTGTAATGGTGATCGGAATTGACCAATCGATTACCCAAAAGATCTGGAAAAACAAAACACTATAGCCGTAACACTTCACAGGCGAACAAAGTTATATCCGACTCACTGAACTGGAAGTTCGTAGCAACTTTATTGTTGGGCGCCAAGTTCCTGAAATTGACTTTCCTGTCTCCCTCTCTATCCTCCGACTGCATTTTCACGTCTTTCCACATCTCGAAGAGGATGACGGCGCAAATGAGGCTGTACTCGATGGTGCAGGGGAACAAGAACGGACTCGAGTTGGAGACCAGAGAGGTCATCACGTGACCCGTGCAGTGTTGGGTCGAATTCGATGATGTTTCATCTGGAAATTTGATCTGAATAGAAACTGGGTCAGCTCAAAGAGATGTACTATGTGGAAACAGAATGGAATAAAATTAAGATGTGAAAACTTCACAAACTATAAGATTTCCACAAAATTCTCAAACACACGACATGTTTCGCTAACACAGTAGCTTCGTCAGGTGATATACTGGTACAATGAACTGAACCATCCTTTGTTTCCCTACATTCCCAACCTGAAGGTTTAGTTACCTGTGGACAGGTGCGATAAACCTTCTTTTTCGGAAATTAGGCACAACATCTACATTGAAATGCGGTGTACCGGATTAACTTGAAAGGGTAAATAGCAAATACATATTATTACCTACTGAAGAAATAAATTCAACAGTGGTGAACTATTGAGGTATAATTGATTAATTTTGGGTTTGTTGATTTCTGATGATTCAAAATAATTGAGTTTCATTCGTTTATTTTCTACGTGTAGAATTTCGAAATTTTCATCAAAACTATGGTTTTCTTCTAATATACAGAGTGGGCCTTTGAAAACGAAACAGAGGCTCTGTAGGTCGCCAAAACCGGATTATGAAAAGAATCTGAAACACGTCATCTACATTTTCGAGGGGGACATCGTCCTACAATATTTTCAGCCCTGCGGCCTTGCCGCTGCTAACGAAAAGAAGCAACAACTTTGTTATTTCAAAAGGAACACCTTGTATTTTATTGCATTTTTAGATTCTCCCGGAAAATCTGATTTCATCAATGCATCACACTTGGGGTCTAGCTGTAATGGTTTCAGGGATATAAAGTGTTCAAAATCGAGATTTTTCAACTTTAACATTTTTTTGTGTCGAAACTAATCATTATTGGTCAAAACGACTCCCATGTCCCTATCTCAACTTGTGATTCACTATCTACTTACATTTAATTGGAACAGATACAGGGTGATCAGAATTCTGAATCTTGAACCACCCTGTATTTGTTTCAAATAAATGTCAGTAGATAGTAAATCACAAGTTGAGATAGGAACATGAGAGCCGTTTCGACCAATAATGAATAGTTTCGACACAAAAAAATTTTAAAGTTGAAAAATCTCGATTTTGAACACTTTATATCCCTGAAACCATTTTAGCTAGACCCCAAGTGTGATGCATTGATGAATTCAGCTCTTCGGAGAGAATCTAAGAATGCAATAAAATACAAGGTGTTCCATTTGAAATAACAAAGTTGTTGCTTCTTTTCGTTAGAAGCGGCAACGCCGCAGGGCTGAAAATATTTTAGAAAGATGTCCCCCTCGAAAATGTAGTTGACCTGTTCAGTTTTTTTTGATAATCCGGTTCTGGCGACCTACAGAGCCTCTGTTTCGTTTTCAAAGGCCCACTCTGTATAGTTGGCGTATGTTGAATTTGTTTTCTTCTTCAAAAAATTCATCTTAGGATCATGAATGAACTGTCTGACTGATATATACCTTAGAACAAGATACACAGTTGAGTTTGAACTCAAGTAAATCATGGCTCTCAATTCATGAAAAGTTGATATTTCAGTGGTGGTTTGGATAGGCTTGATTTATTTAATTCACACCGAGAAATCGCCTTCGTGTCATACAGGGCGTGCTGAAATTATTATTATATCCGTTGTTATATTCAATATATTACATATACATAATCATCAACTTCTCTCAATAGAGCCGCTTTTTGTGAATTAGTTAATTTTAGATAGCTGCATGAAAATATCAAACTCATGACAGTTCGGTGACATTAATGATTAATTCAGTAATTCTTATTGACAGTGTTTAAAGAAATCTCTCAGAATGAAGGCAAATATCGATTATTCAAACGAAGTTCTTATGAAGTGATTCATTACACACGGACAATGTGATCAAATAATTGCCAGAACCAAATGTATCCTGAATTGACACCAATGAACGGGAGGAAGTTTGTAAGATTACAAAATAATGTTATCAACTATGGCTCAGAGTTAAAAGCGCCTCCAACATTACCAAAACCTGTTACTTCGAATGAAGACAATATATTGTTGACGTTTTGGCATATTTTCATGCATATCCAGGAGCATTCATTCTTAGATGCGAAAACGTCTAACCTACCATCGACCGTGAGTTACCCTGTATATCCATTTTTTCATGTTTATAATATATCTGAGATATTCCTTCTCAATACCATGTTACCAATTGAAAAAAAATTCAATTTCGTGACAAACATATAATCTACAAATTGTGAGTCAAAGAAAAGGTGTATTGTTTTATATACAAGTATCCAGTAGAAAGTTCATGGAATATGATAAAATAAGTAAGTATAAAGTAAAGCTTTCCTATAATTACAGTAGATATATATTTCCATCTTTTTTTATGATATTATGACTGCAACAAATTATCAGGAGTTTCATGATGAAAAACTAGAAATTTTCTGAAATCTCGAAATATTTTAGTAGAATTCAGGCAGGTACAGATATTTTTCTAAAAATCCATTCAAAATATACGAGTTTGTAGCGGCAGTAGCATGCAGATTGTGAAATTAACACCCTGTATACGAAGTTCACCTATTCATATTTTGCCAACATTGTCTTACCTGATAGATGCATAATCTCATGTTTAGTTTCTTCTACCAGAACGTTGAGCCATTCACATACATTTGTTGCTACCATATGCATGAGGCCAAACCTAGCAACTATTTTTTGTTTATTGAAATCCACATTCTGAAAACAAAAAAAATCCTTCGAGTTCATCCATGTTTATCTAATGATACGGGATTACAAATTATTGAGTTCCAATTAAAAATTGAATCTTCTCAGTTAGAACATTATTAATCCAATCAAATCGAATCAAATCAAATGTAGATCAAGTTCCGGAGGCATTCTCAAAATCTTTCAATTGATTATTAATTTACCTTGCTATTCAAAAACATGAATTGGACTTGAACCAGTGTAAGTAGCATTCTTGTTGCAGGTGTAATAGCTTGAAGAATGGTAGTTTCACATTCAGGATTGTCCTTCAGATCGAAGTATCGACCAAATTCTAATCCTGAATACACCATACTTCCAATGCCGAAAGCTGGAACAAGAAACACAAAATTAAATGACAGAGTCAAATAGTTATTCATACACCAAGGTAGTAAAGAATATCATTAATACCCAGGGACCAAGATTATATCCCCAGGCTCCAGCCGAGGGGTATGAGGTCCCTTGGTAATGATATTCTTCATTACCAAGGTGTATATTAAATTTTTTTCACCACATGCAATATACACTCAGTTCCAAAAAAAGTGATGCACTTGATTTGACCTATCTTTTAAAATAAAAATAGTAGGCCGATTTTTTTTTCCATTTGGTGGTAGGTAATGTATTTGTCTTTGAAAAAAAATAAAGAGGTGAACATTTTATCAAAGGCTCCTTGATGGTGGTGGAATAACTAGAACCATGATTTATCCTTAATTTTTGACTCACCCTGTGTGTTAATTGAGTTAAGGTATACAAAGTGCTTACACCCTATACACCCTATACGGAAGAGGCTTCTTTTGCGAGCATTTTGTTTTTTTTATTCATTGATTTATCTCTAAAATTTTCCGAATTACAGCTTTTTTTGCTGGATCCTTGCAGTTTACCAACTTTCTGAATTCATCGAGAAACAATTTTCTAATGAAATAAACTGATACCAATAATTTTAAAAAACATTTTCATTAAATACAAAATTATAAATTGGGATGACTGCTTAATACCGTGTATTGCCTCCTCTAGCAACTCTAAGAACTTCAAATCTACGAGGCATACTGGAAATTAAGTTGCTTATCGTTTCCATTGGTAAACGATCCCATTCTTCCACTAATGCATCTGCCATTTCTGCGAGACTTTCCGGAGACCTCTCGCGAGAACGTACCCTTCTGCCTAATTCATCCCACAAATTGTTCTATAGGATTCATATCGGGGCTTCTCGCAGGCCATTGTAATGTGGTAATACCAGTAGCTTCTAAGAAGTTTCGCACTATTGCTGCGATGTGTGGTCAGGCATTATCCTGCATCAATATAAAATTATTGCCCACTAACTCTGCATAAGGTAAGACAAACTGCTCTAAAATGTCAACGTAAATTTGGGCATTCATAGACTGCCTCACCGGATAAACATGGAGGGGTGTCTTTCCATTAATTGAAATCCTTTCCCACACCATAACGGACCCACCATTGAAACTTTCGCATTCTGTTATTAAATTTTGATTAAACCGTTCACGAGTTCTTCTCCACACTCTTTCTCTTCCATCCACCATGTTAAGGCAAAACCTTGACTCATCCGTAAACAAGACATTCAGGAATATTCCACTGTCCATAATTTTCAACAAAATTTCTTCTAGCAGCACGATGTTCGGGCAATAATTTGGAACCTTGTGCAGGTCTCCTAGCTTTTAAATTAACTTCTTTTAGACGTCTACATACCGTCTGCTTATTACTTACTGCAACATCACGAATTTGGCGAAGATCTTGCTGAACATTTACCGCAGTATTTGATTGATTCCGTAAAATCCGCAATCTCAAGAACCGATCATCTCTTGGAGAAGTTTTTCGGGGGCGACCAGAACCGACCCTCCGAGCGGTGCTTCCTGTTTGTTCTTACTTGCGGATTACTCTACGAGCAGTTGCTTCATGAACTCCCACTGCACGAGCGGCGTAATGTTTACTACGCCCATCGTTTACTAACGCAACTAATCTTGCTACCCGTTCAGGATTTATTTGAGGCATTTAATGTAATTTTAGTCAATAAAACAAGACACTTAATTAATGACACAACGACAAATGGCCAAATATGGAGGCATACAACAAATTAGTTGCTATGGCAACGGCATTTGTTTTTTTAAAGACAATGTGATCCTACCAGACTGATCCTTCAATAAATTCAATTTGTGGGATAAGTGTAAGGTATCAGCAAAAAAGCTGTAATTCGGATAATTTTATAGATAAATCAATGAATAAAAAAACAAAATGCTCGCAAAAGAAGCCTCTTTAGTATAGGGTGCAAGCACTTTGTATACCATCACTCAATTAACACACAGGGTGAGTCAAATATCAAGAATAAATCATAGTTCGAGTTATTCCACCATCATCAAGGAAGCTTTAAAAAAATGTTCACCTCTTGATTCTTTTTAAAGACAAATGCATTACCTACCAACAAATAGAAAAGAATAAAAATTGGCCTACAATTTTTGTTTTTTTTTTTTTTGTTCAAGAAGATAGGTCAAATATCAAGTGCGTCACTTTTTTTGGAACTGAGTGTATTTCAATCATTATCGTTCTGTGAAACTGAAATATGGATCTTTTGTATTCATTTCAATAATTTTTTTTTCTTATTTCGACATATCTTCTGCTGTGTGAGAATCGAAGTGAAGAACTGATTGGTCTCGATTTTTTGAAGTTTTCTGAATCATATTTCCTCGACTGTTTTTGAAGGTATCGATGTGTAAATAGCCATCAATTTCATCTTATCTACTGTGAGGAAATCTAGATGAAGAGTTGATTGGTCTTGCCAATCGTGCCGTTTTTTGTAATGATCATTAAAAATCACATGCCGAAGTTTGTCGATGTCTGGACCGTTTTTTTTTTCATTTCTTGAATAGAATCATCACTCGGATACCTTCCAATTTCATATTTCATGCCAATTTTTTGTTCGATTTTTAGGTGCTAAAATCATAAATAATGCCACGGTAATTTTCAAAGGGCTAAAAATTTACCGCGAGTAAAAAATGGCGCCACGACTCCGTAAGTAGGTGCAGACCATAACACAGCTGGCATGTGTTGAAATGCGATTGGCAACTTCAGAAATATTAAATTTCCCAATTCAGTATTGGTTATTAAAATGCAATCGTCCCGAAATGTTCCCTTATGATTTGTGGGTTATTGCTTATAATGAATTTGTGTAAATAATAATCATATTTATTCACACTAGAGGACATCTGAATCGATGAACGTAACAACACGGTGCACGACTTGTGGGCGTAGTTCTCATCAGCATATTCAGCACAATATTGCCAAGTCTCCAACATTCACATGATATTTTGTTATGGAGGATAAAAAATATTTGGACATGCTGGTTGCTCCAAAAAGTCAAGAATAAACCATAATATCATGAGTTCCTTCTATTATGTTTCATTCAACGACAGATAACTTGATTATAATAGGTGACTTGACAGCCCTGCTTCATGAGTGGAAATGGAAGATTATCTGACCAATAGTAGTAGTAGTAGTAGTAGTATTGTGGGGAGGCTGTAGCCAGGCAAGTAGGCCCCCATGGGCCCTTTTTGCCAACCCCTGCTCTCCACATATCTACACATCCCTCTTTTAGTTGTCCTTTTCGAACCTTCCCGTCCTTCTGATGAAGGTCAGGATGTCCGTCCACTCTAATTCGACCAAATCTTCCTGTTGTAGTTTATCTACTCCAAAGATTTCGAATCTCATCCTTCCATACGCCTCACACTCTCCGAGGAAGTGGAGTGATGTCTCCTCATCTCCTCCGCATTCACGGCAAGTGGGACTATCTTCCACACCTATGAGTGATAGGTGTCTGCGTAACCTGTTATGCCCTGTCAGTATCCCTATAAGAAGGCGCAGGACTTGGCGATCCCTGCCCAGCAACCAAGCCTTCCTTGGCTTGCTTGGACCGGCCACCAGGTCTCTCGATTGCCTGCAGCCGCCTATACGCCTCCAATATACTTCTAGTGCCTCGTCCGCCCATTTGTTAAGGGCAGACGAAGTTTGGCTTCTTGTTATGCCCAGTGCAGGCTCCGGCCCCCAGAACGGTGTCGCGGATCCGATTCTAGCCAGCTCGTCGGCCACCTCGTTCCCGGGCACCCCCCTGTGCCCCGGAACCCATACTAGTTCGACTTCCTTCTGTTCAGCTAGTTTCTCAAGAGCATCGCCACATTTCTGCACCAAGGCTGAGCTTGGTTTAGGATGGCAGACAGCCCTGAGAGCCGCCTGACTATCTGAGCAGATGTAAATCTTCTGCTCTGGTCCCTCTTTCACCTCATGCCTCTCGGCTACTGCCAGAATGGCAAAGACCTCGGCCTGGAAAACTGTGGTATACTTTCCAAGAGCGTAGCTCTCCCTTATGCCTAATCCTTCTAGGTAAATTCCTGCGCCTGAGTCCTGTTTGTCAGTTAGGCGCGATCCGTCCGTATAACATACTAGACTCCCCGGGTGGAATTTCACTCTGTTCTCTTCCCATTGTTCCCTGCTTGGAATAGTGAGGGTGAACCTTCTATTCCATCTCAGCCTATTTTGGGCGTTCTTCACTCTTAGGGTGGAGATAGGGATCTCCTGCTCCACCCATGTCGCAATTCCCGCCTGACCTGTCACTGCTCCTCCGTTAGCCCAACTCCCAGAGTCCCGCATCCTCCCCTGACCAATAACGAAACAGCATAAAAACTGACGTCACCATTTATTCGGCGTATCGCCAAATGGCGGCCATGAAGGTTCGTTTGAAATGAGCTCTGAAATTCTGCCTAACGGCACATTGGAGTAATTGAATGCTAATAATCCATTATCAGTCCAGTCACCTCTTATTCCGACTTCCGGGAAATAGATTTAGAACTTCGAAGTAGCGATTTACCCACTAGCAAACCTCATTCTGAATCACTCTTCATCAATCGCTTGCCAACAGTTTCACACCGACTTTCGGCAATCCAAAGTGGCAAAGTGTTGGTATATGTGTGTTAAATTTGATCCACGGTCAATTGATTCGGATCTTTAATCGTTAATAATCGCATATTACCAATTAAAATAGCCGGCATTCGAACAATAATAGTTATTGTAAATCCCACGATAACCGCGTTCGCTTCGCTATTCTGCATTGCCCTGCTGTAATAATCCTGCAGTTGATCCTGTAATTAAACGCACCGAATGTAGCGATGTGCCATATCGATTGACTCCTGCACTAGATAATGTAGGTTCAGGCCCCTGTTAGATCATGCTCTTTTGAATGCACAATTCTCTATGCAGCTTTCACAGAATGGAAAAGTAATATTCTCAGATATGATTATGAACATGAAAAATGGATTTACAGTGTGTCCACCTTAAGGACCCCTGTAAAAGTGTTATTATCTGGCCGATTTCGAAAAATGTTTTTTTGTTGGATAGGTATTCGAAATGTCCATTCAACAAGAGAATGATTTTATTCTTGGACTGTTATCGTGGCCAACTGCGACCAGCTTTATTGACCCATATTTCAGAAAGTACTATTAGGGATTGTTTTAAAAAAATGATGAAGGATTCTGAATCACGATCACGATATTATTTATTTTTTGAATTCGTCATCAGAAACTGTAGTACTGTGGTATTTTTGGTATAAATTCATTACACATCATCATTGAGGACTAATTCGAACATATCTGTACCGAATTTTATTATTCAAATATACGATATGAATGAGATAAAAATAAAAAAGAATAAGTAGGTAATATTTTATTATCATTTCAAAACAATAATAATTTGATTTTTTGGACACCCTGTGTTTGATGGTAATGAAAATCGGTACAGATACCTATGTGTCAAGTGATCCTGATTCATGATTATTTTTCGAGTGAAGAATTATTATGATAAAAAATATTGATACATATCCTTTTTAATTTGTTCCTCAGACACATTGTATATTCGAATGATGAAAATTGGTACAGATATATTTGAAAGTAATCCTTAATGATAATTTGTCATTGGTTCTTTCCAAAAATACGACAGTAGTACATTTTCCGATCACCTATTCAAAAAAAATAATAATTCGTTTTTTCGGACACCCTGTGTTTTTTTATGATGATCGGCAAAGGTATGTTCCAATTGATCCTCATTCAGATTCTATCATTATTTTTTTCGAAAAAAATTCCCTAATAGTACTGTCTGAAATATATATGGGTCATTAAAATTAGTCGCAGTTGGCCGTGATAACAGTCCAAGAATCCAAGAATAAAATCACTCTCTTGTTGGATGGACATTTCGAATACCTATCCAACAAAAAAATGTTTTTCGAAATCGGTCGTAAAATAACGATTTTACAGGGGTGGAACCATTTATCGATGTTTTTTAAACTTAGGAACTGGAAATAATGTTCGGACTGAATCACCCTTATGTTGTTGATAAGTTTGCCATCTCTCAGAATCACACCTATACATAGGTACTTTGTCAACTGAGAAAGAAAATATTAGGAGTGATGAATAAAAAGAAATTGATGTCTCACATCTATAAGTGATTCAATGAAAGAAATGATGATAAAGAAATATAATATGGAAAAAGAAAGTATACCTATTGCTCCCAGTCGTAAATAGAAACTGCCGAATTTTCTTGAAGCTGAAGGGGTAATTGTTCTGATCACATCTGTTTTTTCCATATCTGGAAAGTGGAACAAATATGAGGTGATAGTTGGAAATAAATCAGTATTTTAGTACGGAAAATCAGCATATTTTCATATTCTGAAAACGTTCTAAAATTGTTTCAAAATTTTGGTTACATCAGTGATTTCAGTTCAAAATTCCAGGTTCATAAAGTGTTACTCTTCCTTCGCAAAAAATGGAATGAAGGTGAACATCAACGAAATTATAATGAATTTAAGATTTAAACGGATTTCAAATTAAGAATATATTGGTGTTGTAGTTCAAATATTTGTTTGAATTTTTTAGTTTCTTGCATGAGCACCTACATTACATTTCATAGTTTTATATCATTGAAGTTTGAAATTCATTCAAGTTTTGAATTTTGCTTGCATGAATCCACCTCAACTCCTGAATCTTTATGACCAATTGAGTTACAACAATCATCACTACTTCAATGAAATTAGTGCGATGAAAATCATCTACCGATGATTTATGATTGCCAGTAATATGTCATGAATGAAAAACTGTTATCCATTTCTACTTGAAACTCCGTTATCTTGATCATCATCGGATAATATTGTGATAGTTTATTGAAGTTCAATCTCAATGGAAATTCCAAGTCCAAATCATCCAATTACGTCAATAACAAAATCCAGGAGAGTTTTCAATCACTTCTTGACATTGACATAAAATGCTTCATTATTTCATGACAAGCATGTTTCTTGGTGAGAACGTAACTTCGATTATCATACAATTTCATCTCCTACTCGTACTTATAACTTCCCTAGCAGCAGAATTATTACCGTTAATTTTTTTTAAGGTCGTGAATGTTTCTTTTGATAGAAAATCAACTCGAGTCGAAGAAGAAGTATAACATTGAAAATTTCATAAATTTATTTTCTAGCAATTAGAAAGCTACTTTTTGATATAATATTTCTGACCATGTTTTTTACTGTCAGAATTTTAATAATGAATGAAATGAGTTCAACAAACTTGCTTAAATACTTATGTGTATACAGGGTGATTCAGGTTTCAAGGCAAAAACTGAAATGGAAGGTGGATCTCATCATTTTGATCAGAAAAGTTTATATAAACATTACTCCGATCTCGTTCAATAGCGGAGCTACAGGGTATGTAAAAGCTTTTCTATTAGTGGAAATATCTCGCTTACTTTTCAATATATCATTTTGAAATTCGGTTCGATCAATACTTCCTAGAAGATCATCATTTCAAACCATCTGAAGATTTTTTTCTGTAATACGCCTTATTTGGCATCTTTCAGTAATCAAATTATGTGGATCGTTCAATTTAGAGGTTTTTTTTGCTCCCTAAGTTTTTTGGAGAAACGAACCGTTTTTGAGATAAATAAGAATATATATACGTTCTGAAACATGTTAATTTTGCCTATATGTTTCGCTAAAATTGTATTTAATTGAAGGGAAACCTTGACTTTCTACACTCTGTATTTCTTTTACTGATCCAGATTGGATTCGTGATTGCAATTTTAGTGAGTACATTCCATTGCATTTTCAACGAATTTTGTCAAAGAATAAAATTTAAGTGAAACATAGGCAAAATTAACATGTTTTAGAACGTATATGCTTATTTATCTCAAAAACGGTTCGTTTCACGAGAAAAAATTGGGAACAAAAAAATCTCTAAATTGAACGATCCACACAATTTGATCACCGAAAGATGCCAGAGGCGTACTACGAAAAAGTTTAGGGGCGATAAAGAAGCCTCTACCCCCAAAAACGTATCACCCTGTAGATTTTGTAAATCTTTAAATGGCTTGAAATGATGATCTTCTAGGAAGTATTGACCACCCCAAATTACAAAACGATATCTTGAAAAGTAAGCGAGATATTTCAATTAATAGAAAATAATAATTGAACTTTGACCCCCTGTAGCTCCGCTAATAAACGAGATCGGACTAATGTTTATATGAACTTTTTTGATTACAATGATGGGATCTATCTCCCATTTCAGTTTATGCCTTAAAACCTGTATCACCCTGTGAATGCTGAAAAGTGAGTGAAGTTTTCACTGAAAATTGATCGCATACTCACTATAACTATTGATAATTTCCACCACAGCTTTCTCTCTGAATAGTGTTGCGTAAATATACGCTACAAATGCTATACTCCCAATATACAAATAGAGATAGAATCCTCTAGAGCTGAACGATTTAACTTCTGAAGATATAATTTGAATAGTGGGAAAAGCCATTCCCAACACAACCAGCAGCTTTGCATAAAGAGCGGATAAAATTATCGTGAGTGCATCACTGGAAATGAAAAAGTTATCTAAGTTGAACGAGAAATTAAACTTCATGGTAACTTACTCTCCTAAACGCAAATTTTTGCGTCGTTTCTCAAGTATCCTGACGTCCTTTTCTGATTTTTTCAATTCGGACTCTTCATTGTGATCAGTAAACAATCTGAAAAATATCCAGAAAAATACATCAGATATACAGCCCAATTAGCAATTCGTCTCCTACAAAATTCCTTATACGCTATACAACAAATTTTATGCAACTGTTGTAATCGAATGCAGTCCTTATAAAAGATATAATTGAAAATAGTGTATTATGTAACAAGTGTTATAAACGTCATTTTAATAACCAGTGTTTCATAAACGAATGACTAGAAGAGTTTATAAACGAGTTAGATACTATACGTTTTCAACGAACTCATAATTCCTCTCTTCGACAAGATCCCATAACTCCGAAATAGTTATTTAACCAACTAGTGTATTAATGAGGGCGATTAATGATCGAGATATTTTAACGAGCGACGCGAGCGCGTTAATGTTCGAGATCATTAATCGCCTTTTAATATACAATTTGGTTACAAAATTTTTCCGTCGATTATATTTCTCATTTCTCATGCAAAGAAGAAAACATGGTTCGCGAATTCATCATTCATCCGGAAACTGCTAAGAATCACCCAGTAGCCTTGTTACTGACATTAGTGACATTTGACATTTGTCGAAATGATCAACATAGAAAATAAATTCCTTGTGTTAGAAAACAGGGATTAAAATCGTGTCAGAAACTTGAAAAGGCGAACCCGTTAACAGAAAATCTTCGATGAAATCCATATTTTCGATTTAAATGCAGATTCCGTAAGTTATAGCATAAACCATGAATGCACGCGGTGTATGTTTGGTTGCCTATAAAACAATCGTGCATTAATCTCGGAAAATGGTCGACTTCCAACTCAGGAAATGCTGATAAATAATCATAAATGGAATAAGGAGTGCGCATCCAAAAGTGACAACTCAATTTCCCGCCAATCAAAAGTTATCCAAAATATCTTGGGTTGTTATTCCTGAATATTTGTTTTTCTTCTGAAAGAAAATATGGATACTGACCCGTTCTTCTAAAAAACACTAGGATGTCACCTCAACTCTGTTGCCTCTATGTTTGCCAAAAGATCAAAGGAGTGACCCAGTTTCTGTTATGCAAGGAACAGTGATTACTTTCTAAATACTGTGGAGATATAATGGATGTGGGTATCATTCCAGTTTCTGCCACTAAACTTCAAAAATCTGGTTATGTATCAGGAAATAGATGTCAGTAATGACAGAAGACATGTATTGTATCGCCCTAGAATCTTAATTTTTTTATAACTGAATCCACTTAAGACTCTTGAGTCTTGAATGTTTAAATATGTTGAATCTTAAATGCTAAAAGTTTTTATAAAGTCACCTTGCTTACTAAATACTTTTTTAGTTGCGGGTTATGGCCAGCTGATATACCGGGTGTCCCAACAGTGCGTATTTGCTCGATATTTCGATAATGCTGTAAAATATAAAAAAAAGTATTATATAAAAGTTTTATGGCACCACGAAGGCCACATTTTGAAAATAGTTCCTGATTCACAGGGTGTTGCATTGTTCCGTAATAACAAAAAATATGTATTTTTCAAATGGAACAACCCGTTTATTTTTATGTAATTAAAACGCGGATAATTGAAGATATCTCATAGTTCAGATCAGAAAATGTATCGAACAGGGTGGAAGACCTTTGAAAATGATTATTGTCGTTCCTTTTGTTTTGAAATTAAAATAGTATGCAGGTATTTCTTGCAATTCCCTAAGAATAATTTGAAAAACACAAATAATCAAGAAACTGTTAGGAATAACATATAACATGATGGTATCCTCAGATAGGTCATGTCATGTAGAAAGAGAAGACGAACTTATATACAGGGTGTCCCATTTGGAAAAATCGCATAACTTGAATCGTAGTGGACGAGAATAAAAGGAATAGTTGAAGCACCCTGTATGAATATCGATGAAGCTCAGAGTATTACACGCTACTTTGGTATTCTTTACGTCAATCCACCAGGCGGAATTCAGATTTTCGAAGGAATAGCTCAATCACAGTTATTTCATTCAGAGCCTGCATCACTCCCGATTTTTTCGAAAAAATTAATAACTTGGCAACGGTGCATTGTGGCGAAAAAAAAATTTAGTGCTGAGTAGGCAACGGAGGGACCATTTCAAGTGCATGAAAATTAACGGGTTGTTCTATTTGAAAAATACATATTTTTTGTTATTACGGAAAAATGCAACACCCTGTGCATCAGGGACTATTTTTAAATGTGGCCTTTGTGGTGCCATAAAACTGTTATACGAAACTCATTTTTATATATTACAGCATTATCGAGATATCGAGCAAATACGCACTGTTGGGACACCCGGTATATCTAGGTCATCAGACTTAAAAAAATTTAAAATACTTTGGAGAACATTTCAGAATTCTAGGATATTTCATTTTATATTCTGAGTCTATGATAATACATTAAAATAGTGTTCTTCGAATCAAAAATCAGTGAGAGAGCTCCGTTCAATGAAAACATTCCTTGGTACAATTAAATAGGTAATTAAATCTTGGAAACGAATGTTTTTCAGCTGATTACAAAAATAAATGATCAAATTACAAATTCCTGGCGCTGAACGCTCCGAACAAACACAGAATGCCTAATTAGTGTATATTATTTCTGTGTTCAGTGAATGACACAGAACACGAGACAACGTAAAAACAAAAAGTTTCTCATTTTTTTTTAACTCACTCGACAAATTGGACTATGTCAAACTCCTCTGGATCGCCCATTTTATAACACAAGTAATTCAATGAATACCATTTATTCACAACTCATATCCACAATAACTAATAATACACTGAAAATGAAACATCTTCTTCTATATGGATCATCACGTGCTATGTTGACTTTGGATTTGCATTTTCCTCAAATGCTGGACCGAATTCAAGGACGACATGATATATATCGTCACATTCGCTCACTTTAACGGTTAAAATCAAACACATAATTTCATGAGTCAATGTATCATGATTGCTAGAAAAAATTATAATCACCGAAAGACTAGTTGTAATGAATGAAAGGTAAGAGGTAGGTATCACATTCACAATCGACGAGTTTTAAATAAAGGATCAAATTGACTTCGAAACATTTTTAATGAAAGAGTAAGTACATAGATGGAAACCCAAAGTCATCTCCACGACATTTATTAGAATGATCAAATGTCAATCTTAAAGGAACATGTTGTTTCGGGCTCATATAAGCCCATCATCAGCCAATAGAAAGTATCATATCGTTCTAGAAAAATTGGTATTGACTCAGGATATAGATGCAAGAATTACTTGGTAGGTATACTTACATGGAAATGAAAAGAGTAGACATATTAATAGTATAGTTAATAACGAGGGGTATGAATTAATAAAATATTATTATATTAACAAAAATAATGTATTATAAGCAATAATCCACAACAGATGAGGGACTATGCTTTGAGACAATTGATTTTTTATGTCTAATTAGGGTTATAACCAATACAGAATTGAGAATTCATGAATTATTGAATAGCTAATATTTCTGAGGTTCCAATCGTATTTCAACAGCACCTTGAAATCGAACGAAAAATCCTGAATAATTATGAAATTGAAAGGTATTTGAATAATGATTCTATTTAAGAAATAAAAAAAAATCCACACGCCTGTTCCCCAACTTTCCAATGAAAAAACAAATATGTAGAACGGAGGTAGTTATTGATATCATTTTCGAAAGATCATCACAAATGTCTTGACACGTGTAGGTAATTCATTGAAAACATGTCAAACAATAATTTGAATTGAACACAAAGTAACAAAAGTAATCAGTGTATATCAAAACACTATCAATTGAAAAAGAGAATGAACTGTGTAGGAACAGTTGAAATAAACGTCGCTAATATACAGCGTGTGTCACTTTGAACGGCACTCCCTGTATATCTCAGCTATTATTCGTGAGATCCTTACCAAATTTGGATCGATATGATCAGTTATTCAGAGTTAAACATCATTTTGGACAGTGCAGAATGTTTTTATTCAAATAAAAATTGGTTTATTTTTCATTGAATCATATTACGAGTTTTTTCGCAAAAAAAACTTTATATTATTGTTTCTCACGCTTTTGAATCTCCATAAGCAAAAAATCACTCCATTCCAAATTGACAGGATTTTTTTCTTTCTGCCTCGAAAAGATATTGAATTCAAATTGAATACAGATTTTGGCGAACTCAATAGTTGGTAGAAAATTATGGTTCTTAATAAATGTACCATAAGATTTACCTATTTTTGTTAAACGCACTGTTTCTCAGTTAATAATAATATTTTGCGTTCAAAATATGCGGTTGTTCTAAAAACTTCCATAGAAATTATATGAAAATTATATACGTATGTTATTTTACGGTAGTTTAAAACCATCAAGAACAATATTATGAGGTTCGTTTTTCTGTAAAAAAATTTTACTCAAATGATTGCATGAAAAATATACCCCTTTTTGTTTAAAAAAAACGTAGGACACCGTCCAAAATTGATGATTATTCATCCAAGTCCAAATTTGTTTAGAATCTCACGAATAATAGCTGAGATATACAGGGAGTGCCGTTCAAAGTGACACACGCTGTATATTAGCGACGTTTATATCAACTGTTCCTACACCAACCAATTTTGATCTTCATATCTCTTCATCTGAAGTTTCAGCTTCAAAATGAGATTCCAAAAACGGGTTGACAATAAAAAAAGTTATGACTGCAAAACCAGGAAGTTAATTTTTTGAGATCACTCTGAAAAATGTCCCTTGGTAATGAGATCATCTTCATGCCTCTACTGTCGAAGTTGAAGAAAAAAGTTTTAGTTCATTTGGGATCCTCTTGAAAATTCCGAAATTTTTCACAGTTTCAGGTGACCCCCTGTAGCTGAAGGACTGGGCTAGCGAACAGTGTGATCCGAATTCGAATTGTTCAAAGCAGAAAAAAGTTGTTCGTATAAAAATCATAAAAGTTTCCTATATGAAGACATATCAATTTGTCCCCTCCAGTTTCTGATTAATATTCATTGCGTAGTATGGAAGCAGAGTACATCATGTATTGCAGTTAGTAATTCTGTTGTGAGCTGTATTGAGGCAGAGATAAGTTTTTTTTTTTTTTTCATCGCTTGGAGAGCACGAAAGGGAATCCCTATAATGTTCAAAGAACATCGTGCGTTCCTAGGGAGGATAAGGATAGGAGGTAGGTATTGGAATTTTTTTTGAACTTCTGGAGATTATTTGTTTTTGGGAATACTTCCTCAGGCAATGAATTCCAGAGACTAGCCGTTCTATGGATGAAGGAGTTTTGATAAAGTGCTGTTCGACATTTTTCGAGGTTGACAACGAAAGGATGTGCTGACTGGGCTTGTCAAGTTCGTCTGACTGGCATTGCTAGTGAAGGGATGATAGCAGAGATTTCCGAAGCACATTTCCCGTGGAAGTATCGATAGAAAAGTGAAAGGTCGCCGACCTTTCTACGGTGTTCCAATGATGTCAAAGACTGAGTGAGTGTGGCGTAACCCACCAGGCGGATGGCTCTTCTCTGGATGGAATCTAAGAGCATCAGCGTATGCTTTGGTGCTGAACCCCATATGTGGGAACAGTATTCTAGAACAGGCCGTATCTGAGCTTTGTAGATCATGAGAAGCTGTTGAGGTGTGAAGTAGCTTTTCGCACGGAACAAGAATCCGAGTTTTTGTGAGGCAGCTTTTGCGATGGATCTGACATGATTATCCCATGAAAGAGTGTTGCTGATGGAAATACCGAGCAAAGATATGGTAGGCTTGGTGGAGATGGTGGTGCCAGACATTACAATGTCGGGCATACTGAGTTCCGTCTTTCTAGAGAAAATACAGGCTTGAGTTTTGGTGGCGTTGAATTCAACTAGGTTGTTGGTTCCCCAGGCTGTGATTTCAGCAAGGTCCTCATTGACAGCATTGACCTGCCTGCACCGTGAGTTCTTAGTTTCCTGGGAAGAGATGGGAATTCTGGATGAGAACGCAGTAGGGAGGGTACTATCATCTGCGAAGTTGTGGATGGGGCAAGTTGTTATTCCCAACAGATCATTGATATGCAGAAGGAATAATGTTGGTGCCAAAATTGATCCTTGTGGAACGCCGGAATTGATGCCAATGGTATCAGACGATACACCGTCCACCACCGCATGAAGCGATCTGCCTGAAAGAAAACTCGATAAGAGATGGCATAGCTGAGGTGGTAAGCCGTATGATGGTAGTTTGTGAAGGAGTCCTTTGTGCCAAACACGCTCAAATGCTTTCGATATGTCCAACGCGACAGCTAAAGATTCCCCCTGTTTTTCTAATGAAGCTTGCCATAAATGGGTGACGTAGGCAAGTAGATCTCCAGTAGATCTTCGGTGGCGAAAGCCATATTGTCTATCATTGATGATTCCTGAGCTCTCCAGATATTTGATGAGCTCAATGTTGATGGCTTTCTCTATCACTTTGGAGATCACTGATAACAGGGCAATGGGCCTGTAGTTGTTGGGCAGGTTCTTGTTCCCTTTTTCGGGGATTGGTTGGACTCTAGCTGTCTTCCAGCATGATGGAAAAATACCCGACCTGTACGAGACGGTGAACAACTTGCAGAGAATCGGTGTTAGTTCTGGTGCACATTTTTTGAGGATAATGGGTGGGATTCCATCAGGACCGTTAGCCTTATTCGTTTTGAGACCAAGCAAAATTCGTCTGATAGTGCGTTGACGGAAGACGATTTCGGGCATTCGACTCTCAACCGGTGGAATGTCTGGCGGCACTTTTCCTTGGGAATCTAAAGTAGAGTTTGCTGCGATCATCTCTGCAAAGATATTTGCATTCTCCTGCGATGTTGTTGCTAATGTGCCGTCGGATTTGGACAGTGGTGGAAATGAACTATTAGTGAAATTTCTTCCGACCGCTTTAGCAAGGGACCAAAACGAACGGGAGCCATTGGGACAATCTATGAGTTTCGATCTTATCTTGGCATTGTATGTTTCTTTCGAAGCATCTATTGTTTGGCTGCAGTTATTCCTGGCATCAACGTATTCTGCTCTAGTCGCGGGGTTAGGGTTTTTGCGCCAGCGATGGTAGGCTGTTTGTTTCAAGGCAACAGTTCTAGAAAGTTACTAATCTCTGTATGATTGAGGATACCTACCGTTAACCATCCTACGGACGGAATCAAACATCAAACATTTTCTTGAAAGGTGTCATTCGAGTATCATTAGATAACGTTCGAATTTTGAAACCAGTCTGCGTTAACTACAGGCAAATAGATGCTATTGGCAGTCCATGTGAGCATAGCGAGGGCTAAGAATCTTCTAAGGATAGAATATTATCTATAAGAAAGAATTGATAGACAAGGATACTTATTATTATTAAACGACAACAAATAACAATCATTTGAGTATTGGCTCCAAGACGCTTTCATGAATAATGATCAGTTTCAGGCCAGAAAATAAAAGACCCCTTCCGAGAGTAATGGCCTCTTGGAACACGTTTCAACATAACCAAAATACAAAATGAGATTGTAATGTTTGAACAACACCTACCTCATTATGTACCTCCGCTGATTCATCACTGCTTGCGCTGCCGACAGAGCTATAGCTTGGGACGGCCTCCTTAGCGCTGCTATGATGGCAGAAGGTCTTCTAGATGACAGTCTGCTATTGTCTGGCTCGGAACACCTTCGGGAGCTACTCTCCTCATCGTTGATGATGATGCTTGGAACGGAGAGCTGGGAGGCGAGCAAGGATTCCTCGGCGTTTCGGGAGAAGGAATGGAGATCACTTGAAAATAATAATTTCCTCAAATACTGTCTGTAGGTGCCGGGATTGGCGCAGTGGAAGAGCGTCCGTCTCACGACCGCAAGGTCGTGGGTTCGATTTCCAGCACGAGCAAGGGACTTTTTTCAATATTTTATTTACGAATTAAATATTGTAAAGTTTCGGAGCATCGGCTGGGGATAGTCCTGCACGATTCGCTGTTGCGTTCCAGTTAACAGTGCTGCTCCTAAAGTGGCGCATGGAGTTAGTAACAAAGCCTACACAGAACACGCAGAAAGATATGATGATGTGGTTGTGAGCATCAGAGGAGAAGTAGGACGGTGTATGTAGGTGGGTGTGGAAAAACTACCAGCTGAGCGTGAGAGCGGGCCAGCTGCTTAGTAGACCTCGGTCTCGGGGGTTAACGAGGATAGTTAGCAGGCCTGCCACTGCGCATATGGTAGTGAGTACATTACTAGCCTACAAAACACAGCCGAAAAACTCTGAAAGAGAGCTGATGGGCGGTGCCTGAAAAGGATGTTAGCCATAGCTCTCTTGAGCGAACCACATCAGCCATTGAAAACACTTGGGGTTGGCAAAAAGGTCCCATTAGGGACTAGTTGCTGACGTGGAAACGTCCCCCACCAGTACCAGTAGTCGTGGAGGTGGTACATTCATTATTCCAGATTTTGAGGGATTTTCTCTTCTCGTTTCTATAAAATAAAAATATGAATCCTATTTCAATATACGTGTAGTTAGGACAAATCAGTTGATTTGCCCCATAATGTCACTGCGTTTAAAGAATTTTTTCATCAGAGAGCCTAAAAGTATTGTCAGTGACAATTTGTATTGAAAAAGGTTTGGAGAAGAGAAATAAAGGTATATAGAAAAATCATTGGAAAAGAAGATAACAATCAGAAGAGAAAAATCAAGGAATCTGGAATCTCTTGATATAGATAGAACATGGTATTTACTACTGAAATCTGAAAATTAATGAAAACATCCTGTAACTCATTTGGTGTTGCCAATCTTCCAACTTTTACGAGAAATCATTAAATCTCCATTAGAAGTATTTTAATTAAACCTCATCAATCAAATATTCACATACATACGGATGAAAATCGGCTCTGGAAGTTTGATCGATAGTTTCACTTAGTGTTACCTGGAAGTTTGATCGATAGTTTCACTAAGTGTTACCTGTTTCATTAGGTCGTGAAATGATTGAAATCAGCAAGTCACAAGTGCAATGGGCAGCAATGTATCAGAAGTGACAACCATGTGACAAGCAGAACGATCATATCTTATATTTTCCTGTTGGATGTCAACTATCCAACAATTCGTTCGCGAAATGTCCAAAGATAAGTAAAAATTTGATATTTTTTCTATATACCTTTATTCCTCTTCTATAAAACCTTTTTCGATACAAATTGTCACTGACAAGCTAGTGAATTTTTCTTTCAGGCTCTCTGATAGGAAGATTCTTTAAACACAGTGACATTTTGGGACAAATCATCTGATTTGTCCTTACTACACGTATATTGAAATAATATTCATATTTTAATTTTATAGAGACGAGGAAAGAACATTCCTAAAAATCTGGAATGATGAATAATTTTCTTCTTTATAAGCTTTTAATATTGCATCTAGGTGGCCATGATCAGACGTAAACTTATCTAAGGATCTCAGGTGATGACTAGTATGATAGATAGGAAGAGCACAAGTAGACAAAATTTCATTTCGTGGCTGAAAAATAGTTATTTATTATACAAGGGAAAAATAGTAGATTGTTTTATTAGGATCAGAAGTGACAATTTGTTTGACAAGCGAATATTGCATTTGCGAGGCGGAGCGTCCAGCGAAGCCGAACTAAAGCAAAATTTGCGAGTCAAACAAAGTCACTTTTAATCCGAATGAATAAACATGCAATTTTTTTCTTCATAATATATGAAGTAACCACCAATGGTGGACGACGTCGAGCAGCCGATGAATTGTCTCTGATTTTCGACTCCGAGCGCGGGGCTCAGGACTCAGTTACTGAGCTAGAGTCTGCTCGGAGAAAAGCCCGCATCAAAGCTGCAGAAGTGAGAAAGCTCCTGCAGCTTCACATGGATAAGCCCATGCATTCGGTCTACTTCAAGACCATTGAAGACCGGGGCTTATCCAAAGAACTGACTTTCGCTTTTCTCAAGTCAGGCGGGCTTAAATCGGAAACAGAGGGGTTTCAGTCGTGAGCTAGACTATGTCAGCCCTTCAAAGAATGACGTTGAGTTTTGGGACACCCTGGGAATTGAGTACTCATCTTTGAAATTATAGGACTAACAAATGTTTATATTGATCAACAAATTCTGGGAGATTTGAATGGAATTTTTGACAACAAAAAAGTTAGATTTTTTACAGTGTATCAATGTTTGACAAAAAATACTCTCCTAGATCTCTAACATTCGATCCAAGATACCAGGAGATCGCACAATCTCATGACCAAGTAATCAGGAAAGAGCACTGAATATAATTAAGAAGTAATTTCAAATTTGCTTCCACTACTGAGGCCCTAAACAACAGCAAAGCACCTTACCGTACCTGTTTTCCTCCTGCACAGTATCCATTAAAAAGTCTTAATTATATTCCTTCCCGGGTGTATCATGAGCTTTCTTTATTAAAAGTTTAGGAAAAATACGGAAGAAACTTCTCACGCTATCCTCTCCCGGAATTATTGTGTTTGTAATTTACGGAAATGGAAAAGCAGCTATACGAGTCGATGTATTAATAGTTTCGGAGATTATGGAAGTTGTGAGTTTAACACTCGCGAGGACGACTGAGACTGATTTATTCTTGAAGTTAAACAAATTCTGTTTCGCATTTTTCGCTTCCAGCAGAATTTATGCTAATCAGTTGAATTCTGATGATGTTTGTTTTATTAATTCAAACCACTTCGCATTCACAATAATATTATCTTTAATTTCAGCATGAAAACGGAAGGTCATCTTTCACAAAAAATAATATCTCTCCATCAAGGGTTGAAGAAAAATAAATTTCAGATTGTAGATCATAGGTGGGTTTAGACGCAGACTATAGGAAATATCTCAATCACTGTTGATTGTCTTCTAGCTTGAGAATTCTGATAACATCTAGGAATCTCCTGACGTAAGAATAAGTTTTCCACCTCAACAACAAACGTCAGGTTAACCTGTTCTAGGTTTGCATGGCGGAATATACGTAATGGAAGAGCACATATTATTAGTGCAAAGAATATGTGTCGTCATGTGAGGAAGGTTAGCGCGGCTGAGTATTAATTAATATGGAATTCATAGTCAATGTCATATTTATTGAGATAGGAAGACCATAGTTCATAATTAATGGAGATACTTTGAAAATGGTAAGAAGTGGAAAAAATATAGTAGGATAAAACCCATTGGGAGAGGAAGAATATAACAAAGATGAAAGCGAAAATAATCAACTGACGATCTGAGGTCGGGGGTGAGTTTTCAAAAAGTAATGAAAATATCTCTAACTATCATATCCACACTTTTTGCACATAACCTAAAAATTTTTGTGGAAATTTCAAATAACCAAGTTTTTGATTTTTCATTTTTATTTTTTCTCCTATGAATTCGAAGAAAACCCACCTCATTATGTCTCAAATACACTGTAATTTTGTTATTTGAATTATATATTTTTTCACCCCATTTCGACTTAATTTTGAAAAAGCACCTTAATTTTCAATCGAAAAAAGCCTATCGGTCATGCTGCAAACTTTATTCTCTTGGGATATCAGTGCCATTCCGTGCTCGTTAAACAATATACTATTTTGAGTTTCATTCGTGAATATCATATTATGTTATGATTGAAAACTAACTAATACTTTAATGTTCCTGAAATTTCAATAATAAACCTCGGTTACTAGAAAGTAAAATCAACTCCAACCGAAATATAGTGCGTGTTATTTAACTAAACTTCATTTGAAACTATGTATAGACATTGTGATATCAGTTATTATGGTTGAAAATGAATTGATGTTTCTAATGTTGCTGAGATTTTAGTGATAGACCTTATTACTTAATAATAAGACGTAAAATCAACTTCAATAGTAGAAATATATTGCGTCATATTCAACTAAACTCATCGAAAATATGTTTTTTCAAGTTTTAATCGAATTTAAAACTATGAAGACATTGGATTTCAGATGAAAGAGTACATTACACATCAAGGGACAAAAATACAAGATTTTTCCAAAGGTTTCTTTTATGTTCTGGTTCCCACGAGAAGGGATATCCTGTAATGTTCAGAGAACATCGTGAGAACCAAGGAAAATAAGGTAGGAATATTGGTGTTCTTCTTGAATTTCTGGAGATTATATGCCTCTGGGAACACCTCCCTTGGCAATGTGTTCCAGAGCCTCGCTGGTCGGTGGATGAACGAGTCTTACGAAAGAGATGTTCTGCATGTCTCCAAAGTGACCACGAAGGGGTGCGAAGCCTCAACTCGACGGGTCAATCTCGCGGTGACTGCCAAGGAAGGAACAATTGTTGATGTTTCAGAAGAACATTCTCCATGGAAATACCTATAAAATAGAGCGAGATCGCCCACTTTTCTACGGTGTTCCATAGAAGTGGGTGAGTTTGTGAGCGAGACATCACCCACGAGACAAATTGCCCTTTTTTGGACAGAATCCAACAGTTTCATGGTCTGTGTGGGTGCTGCACTCCAAATATGGTAACATTATTCCAGGATAGGTCGGATCTGTGCCTTATAGATCATAAGCAGCTGACTGGAAGTGAAATAGCTCCTGTCCCGAAACAAAAAAGTTTTTGGAATGCACTTTTAGCAATTCATCTCACGTGATTTTCCCAAGAAAGGTTATTGCTGATAGTAATACCAAGCATCGAAATGGATGTCTCCAAAGATATGGTTACTCCTGACAAGCTTATTTATGTTCGGCCTAGTGAGATCGGCTTTTGTTTTGTTTGCATTGAAATCTACCAAGTTCTTGGATCCCCATTCTAGAGTTGTTGCCAAGTCCATATTTATGTTGTCAACATTTCTTCCTCGCTCGTTTTTGATTTGATTGGAGCCCTGGAAGAGAAAGCGGTATGGAGGGTACTATCATCCGCGAAGCTGTGTACTGGACATGAAGTTGCTTCCAACAAATCGTTGATATGGAGTAGAAATAGTGTTGGTGCTAGAATTGATACTTGCGGAACACCAGCATTCATGATAAGAGAGTCAGATGAAACTTCGTCGACCACTACATGGAGAGACCTGTTTGAGAGAAAACTAGCTAGCAGAGAACATAGCTGAGGAGGCAAGCCGTAAGATGGGAGCTTGGCGAGGAGTCCGTGGTACCAGACTCGATTGAATGCCTTGGAGATATCGAGTGCCACGGCTAAGGTTTCACCATATTTTTCAATAGATTTTGCTGCCATATATGTGAGACGTAAGCGAGCAGGTCACCAGTTGATCTCAGATGACGGAAGCCATATTGCCTATCGTTGTTAATACCTGAATTATGTTCCAGGTATTTCATGAGCTCGATATTGATAGCTTTCTCCATGATCTTTGAAGTAATATAGATAGCAGTGCGATCGGTCTGTAGTTGCTAGGTAGGGTCCTTTTGTCTTTTTTGGGAATTGATTGTACTCTTGCAATTTCCAAAAATATAGAACTTTAATCTATTTCTTAGTAAGTAATAATTTGTATTCGCTATCAACCCTTTCAAGTTAATCCAGTATACCGTATTTTAATGTAGATATTGTGCCTAATTTCCGGAAATGAAGGTTTATGGAACCTGTCCACAGATAACTAATTCTTCCGGTTGGGAAAGTAGGATATATAAGCAAGCCAAGGTTAGTTTAGTTCATCGTATCACCTGAAGAAGCTACTGTGTTAGCGAAACATGTCGTTGTTCGAGAATTTTGTGGAAATCTTATCGTTTGTGAAGTTTTTACATTTGCCATGGATTTCCATCAAGTATCGGCCGAGTCAATTCAAAATATTCATCTTCTATAAGTTCTACCTCACATTTCATATGCTAGCTAGAGTGACGATATATATCTCGTCTGTCACCTCAGCACCTCAAAATCTCCGCAGTCCTCATAAATCGTCTCTCTCTGCAGACGAAGGAGCACAAGTGCTAGTATTGATTTTGGCAGCAGAGACGAGATAGGTAAGTCAATTACCAGTCAATTTCTAGTAAAACATCGTATCTGCCGTTCGATAACGCGTTTAATCGAACATTTCAGTGGCGCCTAATACAAACCGTATCCGAACGCCGGAAATGAGATGGCGTTATGGACAATTTGCTGGAAAATTGATTCGTCGAATGTTATTAATAATCTATGATTTGGCGTTCGCTTTCACCAAGTGCTCGCACACATCAGGGCATAAACGCCTATCAACACGTTCGATGACATGATTGTGGACATTTGGAAAAAAGGAACGTTCCAGAAATGTCTTACGGATATCTAAAACCTTTCCATGTAAGTCTCTCGATCGGAAGTTTCAGAAACGTTCCAGAGAATATGTAAATGACCTATCTTTGTGAAGTTTCATGGAACGTTTCAACAACATCATCGTCCCAGAAACGTTCCAGAGAATATATAAATGACCTCTACCTTAGTGAAGTTTCATGGAAGCATGTCAGTGGTGATTATCATACCATGTACGAGGAAACTTTTTCACGTGTCGAACCAAATTCGAACGTCATTTTGACGTTATTTCGACGTCACAGTTTGGTGAGTGAACGACGTCAATAAACGTGAGAAATATGACGTCATTGGGCTGTGACTTATATTCACGTCATTTATCACGTCATACGAACGTCAACTCCTGACGTCACCTTGGTCATTCTACTGACGTAAAAAGACATCACTGAAAAGTGATCAGGTTGCCTGGGACGTGCTTATTGTACGTAAAAAGAGCTATACCTACTTACTGAGGCTGTACCTCGTGTGTTCTTGATGCCTACTTTCTATGGTGGCCGTATAGTTAGAACATATAACATATCAGTGGAAAGTATGCAGATTTTAAGAAGATCGATAAAATCGAAAAAAAAGTTATAAGGAAAGTATAAAGTAAGTGAGTAAGTAAGTAATCTTTATTGGCCATATAAAAATACAAAGTACATATATATTATTATGATTCTACAAAAACATTATATGACACCTTGCATCAGAAAGAATGTCAATATTCGAGGAGGCAATTCTTGGGCACATTCTAAGAAGCAAGTTTCATATCAACGTATAACCTAAACGTCCCCTTTGAAGATACAGGGGGTGGTGAAAGTTCTCAAAAATTAATATAGCCTACTACAATGAAAAGCTATATAATTATTATTATATTATTATTCTGAAATTCGGTCTAAAAAATGAAATCTACTTCTCTGCATTGTGATATTGTCATATTAATGATATTGCTATAATCATGTAGTGAAAAGCTTTTTATTTCTTCAAGCGAAAACCGTGCATCAGATTGAAAAAATTGTGGTGATCAAATCATTTGCTTAGAAATGATGGGGAATTTCAGGAATTATTTCAATTTCGAGATTAATCAGTGGCGTACCAACAAAATATATGTCTGCCAAAATAGGATGTGAAATTCCATTCGAACGCCACTGGTAGCAACCAAAAAAAAAAAAGGTGTTACACTATAACTGATGCCCCTTGAGACATAGTACATGATGTATGCCAAATTTCATTGGAATATCTGACGTGGTATAATTAACAGATATTAATAAAAAACTAGTAATTTTTGAGAACTTTACCACTATGTATTTCAAAAGTTAGGACGTTTATTTAGGTCATACACGTTCATATGAAACTTTCTGCTTAGAATGGGTCCAAGAATCGCCTCCCCAAATATTGACATTTAATTATGAGACACCCTGTATATACAGGGTGACATAGAGAAAAAGTACATTGCATAGTGCCACATAATAGAGGACAAGGCCTTCGGTTAAAAGATCTACGATATACAGGGCGTCCCTAGACCAGTGGGACAGTTGAATATCTCCTGAACCAATAGAAATTTTCAGAATATTATAATTCCACATTATATCGCATTATGAGTGCTAACTTCAGGAATGACTATATTTTATACGAGGTGCGCAAGAAAGGTTCACATGATCGAACATCATTTTTTTCAAATGGAACACCCTGTATTTCATTGCATTTTCATATTCTCCTTAAAGAGCTGGATTCACTGACCTAGCACACTTGGGGTCTAGCGGGAATGATTTCCGAGATATAGGGTGTGGAAAATCGCGATTTTTCATTTTTGGGAATTTTTTGTGTCGAAACTATTCATTATTGGTCAAAACGGCTTACATGTCCATATCTTAACTTTTGATTTACTATTTACTCGTATTCAATTGAAACAAATACAGGGTGGTGTAGAATTCTGACTGAAACTGTTAATTCGACACCACCCTGTATTTGTTTCAATTAAATACTAGTAAATAGTGAATCAAAAGTTAAAATATGGACATGTAAGCCGTTTTGACCAATAATGAATAGTTTCGACACAAAAAATTCCCAAAAATGAAAAATCGCGATTTTCCACACCCTATATCTCGGAAATCATTCCCGCTAGACCCCAAGTGTGCTAGGTCAGTGAATCCAGCTCTTTAAGGAGAATATGAAAATGCAATGAAATACAGGGTGTTCCATTTGAAAAAAATGATGTTCGATCATGTGAACCTTTCTTGCGCACCTCGTATAAAATATAGTCATTCCTGAAGTTAGCACTCATAATGCGATATGATGTGAGATTATAATATTCTGAAAATGCCTATTGGTTCAGAAAATATTTAACTGTCCCACTGGTCTAGGGACACCCTGTATATAATGTTTTGTTCCAATTAATCATATTTTTCATCTTACCAATAAAATGTAATTGTTGAAGTATTCATCATTGTTTCTGCAAAAGTTACTTTGGCGCTTTTTGAATAATTTGCGTGCAGTGTCGACTTTCAGATGGATTTCGTACTGGAACCATTGCTTCTAGCGACTTGGACATAGTATATACCTTTCTTAAGTATAAAAAAAGGGACTACAAATTTTTTGCGTCGAAAATGACATACAGTGTATCGCATAAAAGTTAAGACCGATTCAATATATAGGGATGGAACCCTGTATGTAGCGCCCTCTATCAGTTATCACAAAACTAAGATCATATTTGAATTCAGCATGATGAAAAACCCCTGTATACCACATTTCATCTATTTCTTGCGTCTCTGGCTAAAGATATCCAAAGAAAACAAAAAAAAAATTAAATTCACACATTCATTAAACACCCCGTATCTTTTAACCGAAGGCCTTGCGGACCCATGTTCATCGAAACTTTTTTTCCTTTTTCAGTATTCTCTATTGTGTAGCACTATGCAATGTACTTTTTTCTATGTCACCCTGTAGATATAGCACCATAAGATTAGAAATTGATATAATCAATGACGGAATTTTATCCTGTGCTCACATTGATTTTTCATGAGTATAGGTAAATAAAGACGCGCGAATACAAGTATATACATGTAACAGAAATTAGTTCCAATTTATGTCATTAGCATATCAATGGAGCTGATATACGTTCGTCTTTTTCACACCAGCAGCTCTAATTGCATATATAGAAAATCAAATAAAAACCGACGCTGTTATTTCGACAAAAGAAACGGAATGTTTATATAATTTATACAGGGTGTTGAGAAATTCGAACCTGCAAAACACACTCCTTATTTATGAACGTTCTCAAATATGGTTAGCTCGAGAAATATTGTACCTCTGTTAAATCAGGTTAAATATAACGTATTATATCAATCAACGCTAATATGTTACTCAAAACATCTTAACATTCTAATTATTTTCTAGGGAGTACTGAGGTTTATGTCTATTTTTTCTGGAATCATCAAGAGAATCATCTGAATGATCTTTAGAAAATGACAGAGGAGATCTATCCCTGAATATAACTGGAAAGAAATTCTAAATTGAGAAAATCTAATAATCACGAATCTGCTGAAAGATAACTGGACTTCATAGGTTACTGAGGAGGGTTCGAAATCCGGAATGAGTTGGTTCGATAATGAAGTCCTATATCCTGTTTGTGAGAGATATAATTTCCATATCACTGATACGAATTTACTTCTCCTTCACATTTCAATTTCCATTTCAATACTGAACCCAGACACAGCACTGAATATTCTATGAATATCCTGACAACGTTCAAATATACTGCAACTAGATGCGCTACTGCTCAGTGGAATGTGCTGCTTAGATCAGAGCCTATAGCAGACGCATGTGTGAAGACTGGCTCATACAGTGTTTGGCAGGCAGCCGAATTAAGAGCGAGTGTATATATATAGCCCTTGTTCAAGTCATTTGTGCTCGTGTTTATTGAATTGTGATCATAATACTTATAACATCAGAAGTGGCAAAGGTGGGTTGACACCTAGGCCTGGTGGCAAGGTGGGTTGACACCTAGGCCTAATGGCAAGGTGGGTTAACAATTGTACTCTCTGACAAGCTCTAAATGACATAAAATTTAGTCAGGATGAAGCCGAGAGCGTCCAAATCTCAGGACGGCCGTGTTATTAGCGTCTAGCAACTAGATGCGCTACTGCTCAGTGGAATGTGCTTCGAACAGAGCCTATGATAGACATGTGTGAAGACTGGCTCATACAGTGTTTGGCAGGCAGCCGAATTAAGAGCAAGTGTAACCCTCGTCCAAGTCATTTGTGCTCGTGTTTATTGAATTGTGATCATAATATAACATAAACTCATTTTATTTTAGAATATCCCTTCAGAATGTTCTCAGAATGATCATAGAATATTCTCATTCTGCAAACAATATTCTATGAACATTCTATTTGAATTAATTTCTATATATAGAGTTAATCAAATAATGTATGGAACTATCCATATATCTCGGTATAACCAGTCGTTAGATCTTTCTGAATGTTTATACATGGTGAATTGGAAATGTGGCGGTTCGAAAAATGATAGCGCCAATGTTACCACGTTGTCAGTTTTCCCGGAATTATTATCAATAACTTCCTTATTTCAAATAGAACACCCTATATATTTTTTGGTGCTCAATAAAAGTAGTGGAGATGACTTTGGGTTTTTGATCTATGAACTACACCACTCCACTTTAAGTTACCATGGACTTCTTACAAAGATTAATATGAATGTTATAGTGATTTCATTTTATGGTGGTAGCAGGATATAGATTTTCCATCCATTTTTCTATGGATTGTTCAAGCGAAAATTATAACATATATTACAAGGTTCGTTGGAATTCATACTGACAAGTAGAGTAGCGTGAAGTAAAGTAAAATAGGGTGTAGTGAAGAAATTTAAAACGTCATTTTGTCATGTTGAATTAACTGATTAAATGCTGATTATGATCAGGGTTCATAAATAAATACACACTTTTACTGAAAACAACTCTATATATAAATTATATTTTCACATAAAAAAATATCACCTATTTTGCCAAAATGGAATAACAAAAATTACATAATAGAAATAATCAACAAACACCATTAAGCAAGTCCCAATATTGAATTCAACAGCTGTAAAGTAATGTTCTGAGAATTAACCAAATAAAATATCCTAATATTTGCCATAATTCATTATGTTTTCAGTTATTAACCTATTTGACCTATTCCAAAACAGTTTTTGATAATATAAGGCAACTTCAAAATTAGTATTACTTCATGAGAGCATGTACGACTGCTTTCGCGTTCAAGGCTTTCAGGTCTGTGTAGGTTTGTCCAGTCCCAACAAACACGATTGGTTGACCCGTAATATAGGTCATTGATATGGCGGCACCAACCTGAAAAGGGTACATAACATCAGAATATGACATATTTTAGCAATAGTACTTTTCCAAAGGAAGGAATGCTCGAAGTCATCTCCACAAATTTCAATGGTGTTCCTACACAATCATAAGGGAGGGACATGTTTCGGTCTTATACAAGACCACCTTCAGCCTAAATTGAAAGTTTTGGAGTTGAATTGGGCTGAAGATGGTCTTTTATAAGACCGAAACCCCATCAAAATTTGTGGAGAATACTTCGAGCATTCCTTCCTTCCCTTCAAAAATGTCACTCCACTTTGAGCAATATGGACTTCTACCAAAGATGAATAGTACTTTTGTTACCATACAAATTTTATGAAGGCCATATACGACACATATTATTGTACAATATTCTGTAAAAGAATCAAGATTGCAACTCAAACGACCATCTATCATCGATTGACATATGAAATACATCCCTCGACTGCGACCCTAGATGGGTCTATTGTGGCTCATCCCTAGAGGTTACAGTTCACTGTACAATCCACTTCTTTTCACAAAGTCCATGGTTGAATGAGGTGAGATTTGTCCAAAATCAATTGGTTCTAAATTGGTAAAGCCAAATATGTCGAACCATACTATCTCTAAGCAAGAGCAAGAACATAGTATGTGTTTAGCCGTTTCATCTTCCACACAGCAGAACCGACAGTCCCTTTGTTGGTTCAGACCCATCCTTCCTAGGTGGTGTCTTAGACGACAGTGTCCCGTAAGCAGTCCTGTCAGAATTCGCAGGTTACCCCTACTCTATTCTCGGATCTGCCCAGTCTTTTTTTTAGTTGGTTCAGGCAGGAACGCCTTCGAATGGGTTAATCCTGGTAATTCAGGCCAGTGCGTGAGTCCTTCTCCTCCGCCCAGTCCGAGATAGTTGTTTTGGCCGCACTTGCGGAGACCCCAAAGTATGGTTCTGGATCTATGAACACAGATTCGGTTACCTGTTTGGCGGAGATGTCGGCTTTCTAGTTGCCCTCCCCCTAATGTACAGTCACCGACAGCAGATTGGCTCTGTCCTTAACTCCCAGGCATTCTAGGGATTCAATATAGCTCCATACAAGCTTGGAATTTATCTTGTTGGAGCTCAGTGCTTTAAGAGCAGCCTGACTGTCTGAAACAATACTGATGTTTTTGTTCACTAGAGGTCTATTCGTCAAATCTTCATCAATCAAGAGGGGTACTTTACGTGTCTGGTCTGTGGGAATTGGATTGATCCTCTTACCCACTCGTCTCTCTTCGAAAAGAGGACTTTGAAAGACTTTTTTACGTGTGTCTGAGTGGCCAACATGTCGGGAACCATTCCTAGAGTTTGGTGATTTTTTATTTCACCCAGTATCCCGGAGTGGTCCAGCAGTCGCCCTCCTCTGATTTGATTTTCCAATGACAGGAATCTATAGGAAACCATTCTGGCTTCCCTCTTCAAGACATTGTGGAGGAAAGTGAGGTTCAGGAGGTTTTCCATCGGGGCCGTTGGAGTGGAGGACATCGCTCCTGTAATAGCCATGTTTGCCAGCCGCTGAAGACCAGCGAGTATTGCCCTGGCTGTCCTTACAGATCTTTAGTCCAGACTACCGAGACTACATTCGTCTGGTGAATCCAGTAAATCTGTTTGGGGTTTATTCCAGAGGCAAAATCTGGCTTTGTTGATTTTTTCCTATATGTGGAACTTTACGACCAATTCTTATATTGACGGAGAAGAAGATATCGTAGGAAGGGGACAAATGACAGGTAAAGAAGAAGTGTATTTATTAGTTCTACCAACTCTGATCTCACATTTCAGTGGCGTGTTTCAGTAGATGTTTCGGCGGGCAATAAAATTAACAATGTTTGTCTTGAATGAAGTTCATCGTGGTTACTTTTTGTTTTTAAAAATCCGCTTTCTGCTATAGAAATCAAAATTCACTGTTTTGTTGACTGGTAATGACTGGTTTAGGTCTTACATAAGTGACAGAAAACAAGTAGTGAAATCAAATGAAAAACTATCACACAATAGGGAAATCTTATGGGGTGTTCCACAAGGATCAGTTCTGGGCCCGATTCTTTTTTTTATATATCTAAACGACCTGGTTGCTCTTTCAATTCAAGGAATTTTTACGATCTTTACGGATGACACAACGCTCCTTTGGCATGGAAAATATACTGATCGCATGAAAGATACTATATCTGGGGTCTTGGATGTTGTTAAAAAATGGTGTGACGCAAATTACTAGAGCTTTAACATCAAAAAAAAATTTACTCACCTTCAACTCTAATATCGACAATTTGTACATGAATAGGCATTTTATTGAGAATAAAAACCAATCCAAATTCCTGGGAATCTTTATTGATAATAGGTTAAAATTTGACCAGCATATTTCAGCTTCAACAAAAAAATTTGCATCAGGATGTTATGCACTACGAATTGTTTCAAATGAACGTGTGAACTTGTTTCAAATAGTGTGATTCTGTGTATTTGTGTTTTGATTTTAAATTTTTTCATATTTTTTCAAGAGTTATTCAGACTATATTTTGTACAAGCTTTGTCAATAAGAAATTATTTTTCTTTGACAATAAAGTATATACAGGGTGTCTGTAAAAGGTTGGGACATGGCTCGGCTGTGGACTCCTGGGTTGAAGACAAGTTGATTTAGGCCAACTTACCTATATCCAAAATCGTTTCGTTGAGTTGGTATAAGGCGTTGAAGTTTTTTTGGAAAAACATAATTTTACTCATAAACATAGTAGGCTGAGATCGATTTTCATAATTTTTGGCATGGCATGTTCTGTGACTGTGAGTCACGTTTTGAGATGTTTTTGATCATCAAGTGTTTCAAACAACCATGTTGCCGTACAAATTTGGTGATAACTTTTCAGAGCTCAGACTGGGAACTTCCAGTTTTTTTTTCCCGGAAGATATTCCTTTCAGAAATATGTTTTGTATCGTGTTAATTTTTAAGTCTCGAGGTTCATCTGCAAATAAATAATTACTGATGTGATGATTGAAAATTAATCTGATTAGTCGGACTGTTTATTGATCATGGCTACAATGTATTCTTATTGTAAACAAACTGATATGTTGCTGGTCCTCGCGGGCTTTACAAGGAATCTCGCGTTACAAACTTAGCGATAACTATTCAGGATCCAAGGTGAGCACTTTAATGCTTTGTACCAACTCAACGAAACGATTTTGGATATAGGTAAGTTGGCTAAAATCAACTTATTTTTATCACAGGAGTCTACAGTTAAGCCATGTCCCAACCAGATTATTTTTCTAAAAAATGCATAAGATGCCTCAGATCAGAAATTATTTATTTGCAAATGAACCTCGAGACTTTTCAAAAATTAACAAGAATCAAAAAATATTTCTGAAGGGGATATCTTCCTGGAAAAAAAATGGAAGTTTCCAGCACGACCTCTGAAGAGTTATCACCAAATTTGTACGGCAACATGGTTGTTTGAAACACTTGCAGGTCACTGATGATGATCAAAACCATCTCAAAACAACTTAAAGTCACAGAACATGCCATGCCAAAAATTATGAAAATCGATCCCAGCCTACTGTTTTAATAAGCAAAATTATGTTTTCCAGAAAAATGCAACGCCTTGTACCAACTCGACGAAACGATTTTCAATATAGGTAAGTTGGCCTAAATCAACTTGTTTTAATCCCAGGAGTCCACAGCCGAGCCATGTCCCAACCTTTTACAGACACCCTGTATTCATCTTATTTGTTACGTACTGTTTTGTACGCGCTGTTTTGTGATATATCCCTTACTGAAATTCGACAGATCCGTTTACCTTGTCATCGATGGTGTCGAACTTGGTGAGCACGATGCCGTCGATGAGATGCGGCTCGGCGTTGGAGGAGTAGTCGGCCAGCGCCTGGTTGAACTTGACCAGCTGGTCCACGGCCTCGTTGCCGACCAGCGCCTCGCCGACGAACAGCACCAGGTCGGGCTCGTTGACCTTGATCAGCTTGGTGAGGGCTCTCATCAGCGGTTCGTTGTCCTTCACAGAGAGAAGACAGTAAAGATGGCAAACTATAGAGAGCTCATCGTTAATTTTGGGTATATCATGATTCCCAAACACGACAACATGGTTTATTTGACAAGTGAGGTACGTAGTAGGTATCAGATTAGTATAGATGTAGTTTTCATTAGGTTTTAGATTAGTATAGGGGTCAGATAATTTATACGACGCTATAAAAGCAGATGATATTTTATCATTGCTCATGTAAGATGGAAGTAGAGGCCATGGCACCATATCATGAGCATATTTTTATATTGAAACTATCATTGGGCACCAAAGATGTGTACATACGACGCTATGAAAGTTCAGAGAACTGGAGATTTTTCCCACAAACTACGTACTTAGCCCACTCGACTATCTTGGTTTTTCCACACAAACTACGTACCTAGCCCACTCGACTGCCAATAGGGACTGAAGAAACAAAAACAAAAAAAAAGTTAAAAATTTGCCAACATATTTCTTCTTTGTGGGAAATCAAGACAGTCGAGTGAGCTAGGTACGTAGTTTATGGGCAAAAAATTAAGACAGTCGAGTGAGCTAGGTAAGTAGTTTATGGGAAAAAATCAAGACAGTCGAGTGTGCTTTTTTTACTTCCTTTTGTTTTTTGTTTCGTTTTCTATTGGCAAGTGATTATCTAGGAACTTTTCTAAATTTTCTAGTTTTTTCATCGTTTCTCCCGAACTATTGAGAAAAATGTTATAAAATGTTTTGTATATTCTCTCAAAAGGAATAATTTTGGTTCTATAACATTTTCAGATATTTCCAGTTGTTTCCGAGATATTTGGAATCATCTGAGAATAAAATTTTCAACACTTTTGTTCCATCTTCCAATCAACAAAAGGAAAAAATATTTCATGGTTCAGTGGAAGTCGATGATCTCCATCTATCGATAATCTTTTGTTTTTCAATATATCTTCATGGTACCCTATGGGTCGTTCAAATTTGTTTTTTCATATTTTTTACTTTATTTCCTGTACTATTGGGTTTACAGAAAAAATTTCGGGTAATAATTTGTAGGAAATGTTCCAATGGATAACTTTGCACTTCTGATAATTTTCGATTTTTTCATTTGTTTTCGATATATATTGAATTGAAAGGATCTCAAATTTTGATGTTTTGATTTTTATTTGTTTTCCCATTTTCCGATGGATGCACGAAAAAATGGTAAAATAATAATTTGTTGCGTCATCAAAGAGGCATACGGTGCATTTTTCAAATTTGGATTTAGTCTATTGGTTCAGGAGATATGTCGTTTTAAAGCGAACCGTGTGTTTCGGAAAATCTCCTTGATAAACCCACTTGGAATTTCCCGACCCTGCTCAATTTCAATAGGCTTCGTCTCTTCCTGATATAGTATTTTTTCACGAAGAATGAAATCGATCGGACCACTTTTGCGATTTGTAGAGTGGTCACAAGAAACTTCCGGTGAAAAATCGAAAAAACCCGGAAAAACCACCTTGGGGGTTTTCCGATTTCCTTCATATTTAATTGACATAATATAGTTTTGAGTACAATAAGATGGCAAAATTTCAAGTCGATATGTCAAAGGGTTCCGGAGATATATCGATTTTTGATTACCACAGAGTACAGACAGACAGACCACACACAAAAACCAAAGTTGCTCAAAATTCGATGAGGATCATTTTCTCCAAAGTAACTATACCTCTATCTCGCTTAGTTTCCGAGATAGCATTTTTGACAAGGCCGTAGTATACTCCACTATGTATAGTGTCGTATAATAATAATGAATAATATAAAAGATAGGGCGAGGTTCAATTCATTCTAGAATCCTGAAAGGGGTCTAGAATGTCTGTTCTTCCACCTTACCCAGCAAACAGATAGACATGTACGAGAAATAATAAGGAGTTAAAAGAGGAAAGAAAAAAAAACCGTTTGTATGTAATCATTGGTAAAAGACTTCACATATTCAAAACTATAGCAATTATTGACGACTTAGTAACCATTCGAGTAATCTGGATCTAAATGCACTAGCAGTGGAGTACTTAATTCTTGATGGTAGTTCATTATAAATTTTGGTAATACTGTAACTGTATGAGCGTTGAAAGTGAGTACTTTTATGTAGGGGTACTGTTAAGGTTCCTTTAGACCTGATATTGAGGTTATGAACATCTGTACGGAATTTCAGTTTCTCATGAAGATACGGCGGAGTTTTGTCGGTTATGATTTTTTTGAATAAATATGCAGAGTGCATATATCTTCTGTTTTTCATTTTCAGCCATTTTATGAGTTTGAATAGGTGACTGATGTGACCATACTTTCGTACCCCGAAGATCATCCTGATACACGAATTCTGAAGCTTTTGGATACGACTTCCGTCTTTTGTGCTGAGAGAGCGATCGTATAAGACATCACAATAGTTCAGATGTGATAAGACTAGAGCTTCACTTAAGATTATTTTGACTGGCCTCGTTAACAAGTGCCGTCTCTGCTAAATTAGCTTAAGTGCTGCGTAAGCCTTTCGAATACACTTCGAAATGTGACTGTTATAAGTTAAGTCTTGGTCAATAATGACACCCAAATTTTTAACAGTCTTCTGTAGTTCAATAGTTTCATTATTCATTAAAATGGGATATTCATTAGTATTGAGGTTACCAATTCGCAATCGATCATACTTTTTTCCAAATAGTATTGCAACTGATTTGTGTGGTTTCAGTGGGAGGCAATGATTTCTGGATTGCTCTTCATTGCTTTCATCTTGATATCGCTAATTCTTCTATGGGCCAAAAAAGATTCATAAAATAAAAATTTGAGAAATAGAATAAAATTGAAAAACTAACTTGAAAAATTTATCGTTTCTGAACGAAATAGATTTTTTTTACCAACTTTTGAATCATATTCAATTCAATATGAAATGATTTGTCAAAATTTAATACTCAATGTATTCAAATATTATATTATTCATGAATTTTTATAATTGTATAGTTTTAGGTACTATTGTTGACTATACTTCCTTATACCAGAACTTGATTCTGTCTGGAACTCACATTTTCAATTAATAAATAAATGAATAATATCTGAACTGATTGTGGGATATTCCGCGATTAATGACAGAGGAATTTGTTTACAGTTTTATTTACCAAAATTATTAGACAAACTTGTTACTGCCAAATTAACATGGTCTTGCAAAAACATTTTAATACCTCAGCAGCATGGTTTTTGTTCAGGGAGATCCACGGTAACCAATCTGCTGACCTACCAGGGTTTCCTGTTGGATGCCTTGGAGAGGGGCAAACAAGTTGACGCAATTTACACGGACTTCTCCAAGGCATTTGACAGAGTTGACCACAAAATGTTATTAGAGAAACTTCGTTCTTTTGGTTTTGCGGATAATATCGTGAAATGACTACGTAGTTTCCTCCACTGTCAAAGAGTTATAATCAATAACGATATTCTGGTCACGTCAGGTGTCCCTCAGGGCTCTCACTATGGACCCTTACTATTCAATCTTTTTATAAATGACATTCCCGATGTATTCAAAAGTGCAAGCTTCCTAGGTTTTGCTGATGACTTAAAAATGTTTGCATCATTAGAGATGTCCTAGACAGTCAAATTCTTCAAAATGACCTTGACAACCTTTATCTGTGGTGCGTCCATAACAATCTCGACCTAAATACCGATAAATGTCTTACAATATCGTTTTCCCGTCCACATAATGTTGCCCTATAAAATTACAATATTAACAATATATTCTTGATGAAAGTAACCGAGATTGAAGATCTTGGAATCATCTTTGATGAACGTCTCACCTTCAAGAGCCATATACTGAAAGTATCAGCATCCGCCAATAGAATGGTAGGTTTTCTATCGCGTAATACAAAAAATGTTTCATGCAACACATCGTATATTTTCTATCCAGTGTCCTTACCTGCATCCGCCCCGCCGTATCCACCAATACCACATCGATTCCCGCATCCCCGGCGAACTTGATCGCCTCCATCGCTATCCCGGCCGCGTCCTTGCCGTACCCTTTCTCGTACAGCTGCGCCATCTGGCGGCCAGCGTGTCGTTCGGGCGGGTGCAGCGCGTTGAGATGGCGCGTGTGCGTGCGCAGTTGCTCGACTGCGCCTGCGCGGAACGTGTCACACGCCGCTATCAGAACGCGCATGTCGTTCTCGATCAGCCAGAAGCAGATCTTGGCCAGGTTGGTCGACTTGCCCACGCCGTTCACCTAAACGGATTTTTTTTCGATGATAAACCTAGAATCTCAAGACTAAGAGATTCTAGGGAAATTTCGTGAATCGATTGTCAGCTGATGCAAGACAGACTGTTTCGACTTGCCATAAGTCTCATCAGTTGCACTGGCCAGCTGACAATCGATTCACGAAGGGTACCTCCATATATCAAACAAGTCGAAGCCCTGAGGGGGCAGAAGGACGATCTAGCCTTCATAGCCATCTAGTGGCTATGGCGAGTATCGCAAGGTATGATTGATGAATCTACCATACACCTTTGCACTTAAGCCACTAGATGGCTATGAAGGCTATATCGTCCTTCTGCCCCCTCAGGGCTTCGCCATGTTTGATATATGGAGGTACCCTTCGTGAATCGATTTTCAGCTGGCCAGTGCAACTGATGAGACTTACAGAATCTGACATGGATGTCTTTTCTGTAAGCATATAGACGTAGGGGTCTATATGCACGACTTAGTCGCAAGGTATGATTGATGAATCTACCTATACGCCGCCTTGTACTTAAGCCACTAGATGGCTATGAAGGCTAGATCGTCCTTCTGCCCACTCAGGGCTTCCACTTGTTTGATATATGGAGGTACCCTTCGTGAGTCGATTGTCAGCTGGCCAGTGCAACTGATGAGACTTATGGCAAGTCGAAACAGTCTGTCTTGCATCAGCTGACAATCGTTTCACGAAATTTCCCTAGAATCTCTTAGTCTTGGGATTCTAGGTTTATCACCATCTGTTAGTGGAACATTAAACCACTTTGAGAATTACAGGTGTTGCGATAGTCTACAGAATCTGACATGGATGTCTTTTCTGTAAGCATAATAGACGTAGGGGTCTATATGCACGACTTACTCGCAAGGTATGATTGATGAATCTACCTATACACCTTGCACCTAAGCCACTAGATGGCTATGAAGGCTAGATCGTCCTTCTGCCCCCTCAGGGCTTCGACTTGGATTTTTTTTATCTACTCACTGAATCGAAAGTAGGCGATTGCTCCCTCATTTGAGGAGACAAAGTTATCAAGTCTACTCCCACGGGAGGAAATAGTACTTATATTGTGCAACAAGTGGGAAAAGTTCAACTTTTCTAATAATTGTGAAAGTTTGTGGCACGAGCCTGAAGGGCGAGTGATGCAAACACACGAGTGAGAAAAGTTATTACCAACTCAAAATGTCAAACTAACCTAACCGAAATGTGATATTTACTACCAAAAATGTGATTCTACCTACCCAAAATGTGAGATTTAGCCACCCGATATGTGAGACTTACCTACCTGAATTATCATATTATTTTTTCTAGATGTTAGTGATATGTATACAAAATTCATAGATTCATGGAAAATGGTACTTTTATATACAGGCTGATTTTAAAATGAGTGCATATATTCAAGACATATATATGAGAGAGTCTAACAAAAATTACTAAAATATTTGATTTTTCCTAAGTCTTCACATTAACGAGAAATTTCATTTTGAAAATTAAACATAAAATGCTTCGAAATTCGAGTACGCCACTGGGAAGCCAGTGAAATCTGCGGAATCCTAGGGAATCCACAATTCGTCATTCACTAAAGTCAAAACAAGACAGTGATGCCAGATTGTTTCAGAGACGAATATCCTGATAAAAATTTGTCACAGAATGAACATGAATTGAAATAGGTTATGGAAACTAATAGAGGTGAATGTAATATGTACAGGAGCCTTATTTTTTAAAGTTTACTGAGAGAACTGTGGGGTGATTATCTCCATGGATCACGAGAGACGGAGAGAAACATGAGGGGAATGATAGAACGTCCCCCTTCCTTCAATTCGAAAATAAGGCCCCAGCGGGTAGATACAAAATTAGCAGACAATAAATAGGTACACAACATACACAAAGTTGAAAATCGACTCACCTAGTAGATTTTCTCATACCTGCTCGAACAGCAAAACTCCCGAGAGCAAACAAATACTAATATCGAGTCCATTCCATCCAATTATTTTATTTTTTATTTTACAAACCAGCCGACACAAACAAAACTATTATCATATGATCTGTCAACATCATTTCTCAAAACAGCAGTATCTGACTATCTGTGACCGTAGATTCCCTCTTTGCTGTGACCTTTGACAGTACTAACTAGGATTGTTCGCGTTCTATTACTATTTCACGAAGATTGTTAGGATATTACGATTTGTCATGAATCTATTACTATTTGCTATTAGCACCAAAATATGTTCCAATACTAAAAAATCTATTTCTGTGCTCAGCGGATAATTATGTTCCGTTCTATGTTCTATATTTATGTCAAAACTGTGATTAGTGCGATAGGATTTGACAAGAATGACATTCCGAATGTCAAATGTCAGATTTTTCGAGTCTATTACCTTTTGATACAAATCTGATACCTTTTTCCAAGGAAATCTATTACGAAAAAATCAGACCCAGGAACAACACTGACTAGTAAATGTAAAGTTTTGTTTCTGATTTCTGACAATTTGCTTGGAAAGTGACGATGCATTTCTCAAACATTGAGCTGAATGATATGGTTCTTATGTCGGGTCGTTATTGTGCGGGGCCCATGAGACTCCTCGAATGACACGAAATTGTAGCGATGCAAGGAGGTGGAAGGAAGGGTCTAAAGGATTTTTCAGTAAAAGAACTTCCAAGGGGAGAATCTTGGGTGAGTCCATTTTAAAGTTTTTGTATTATCTTTCTGAAATTCAAGACCAGGGTTAACTTCTTCTCCATGTACATTTTCTCGATTATACATTTTATTTAATATCTCCTAATTGTCATGTAGAGTGGCAACGTCGCTTCGTTCATCACGGTCGACTGCGGATCGCAAACGATAGTTGTGACAGAAGTAGAAATCTGGGCGGAAAAAGGGTATTTTGCTTTCTTAGTGTTTAAAATATATGCACTTATTTTAAAATCAGCCTGTATTGTAGTATTGTATTTTCATTATTTTATTCATTCATATATTTTATCATTGCCACACACAAAAAATGTTGAAATGACTCAGGACTAAAAGCAACAATATCAAAGACAAACTTGTAATTTATGGCCATGTGATGGAGCATTGAGTATATTAGGGTGTTTTCAAGATGAAACAAATTTTCCCTTTCTGATATTCCTAGAGTTGACAAGTTTAAAATTTCAGAGCACATCATCCATCTTTGGAAAATATGAAACTCACCCCACAAAAAGATATGACGAAAGGCCTTTTCTGCTTCCTGGCCTCGATGCAATCGCGCAGAATGTCCACCCTCCTCCTGGGACTGAGTATCTGGACCAGCGAATCGTTGAGGGTACTTTTGACGGTGGAGGCCACGCTTTCAAACGTCCCCAGAACTCTCCCTTCCAGCTTGACGGCGACCGACTCGCAAAGCTTCAAGGCTATGTCTGCGGCGACGTTTTTGGCTATCAGGTGGTCTTTCATCTTGTCCAGCACCGGTTCCATATCGGACTTGCTTTAAAACCACGGACACATTGACAACAAATTGAGATTTGATGAACATATTTTGTCACTGAGAAAAAAGCTAGCATCAGGTTGCTATGCTGTCAGAATTGTGTCAAATGAACTTGGTTGCTAGAAATACATATAGTACAAACTGTAGAAATATAGGTACATTTAAAAAGAAAGTAAAAAAAACTGCTCATTTCTGAGAAAAATGTTTAAAATTTATCAGTAAGTTATGTCCTTGACTTGAATTCTTTTCTTTGTTCATTGGTTGTTGTGTTTTTTTTTGTGATTTATTGTGATATCCTGATTTATTATGATTCATTATTCATTATGATATAATACTTTTATATGAAAATGAAAATCCTATCATTTTAGAAAATATAATAAACAGAGACTTGATGAAATTTGAAAAGTGGCTGCATTCAAAACTCTTATCAATAAATACTGATAAAACTGAATATATGATTTTCAACAAAAAAAAACAAAATATAAATTTAAATCTCAGAATTGAAAATGAATCTTTGGAACAAACTAATGAGAAAAAGTATCTTGGGATTTGGTTTGATGATAAATTAAAGTGGGAGAAACATATAAATGTTTTGATGAAAAAAATATCTCCTATTATTGGAGCCCTGAGAAGATGTCCCAAGCTGAATAAGAAAGTTGCGAATATAATTCTATATTCTCATATACTCAGTCATATTAACTATTCGATAAATGTTTGGGGATACTGTTCAAAAAACAATTTCAATAAAATATCTGCATTATATAAAAAGACATTGTAAGTACTGTATCGTTTACCATATGATACACCAACAAATCAATTATATAAAATAACTGAATCATTCTCATTAAAAGAAATGTTCAAAATTGAAAGACTGAAAATTACATACAATATTATAAATAAAAGATTGAAATATAATTTTATTTCAACACCAAACAATGAAATTCATAATTACCAAACTAGACAACATAGTTTTTTTCATCTTGATATGACTAATTCTTCTATAGGCCAAAAAAGATTCACCCATGCTGCTCTCTTGGAATATAACAAATTACCAGATAATATAAAAAATTGCAGAAATACAATAAAATTCAAACACCAACTAGAAAAATTTATCATTTCTGAACGAAATAGATGATTGTTTTTTTTTTTCAACTTTTGATTCATATTCAAATTGATTTTTGCTCACCAATATGAAATGATTTCTCAAAATTTAATACTTAATGTTTTCAAATATCATATTATTTATTAGTTTATCATAATTGTATAGTTTTAGGTATTATTGTTAACTATACTTCCTTATACCAGAGCTTGATTCTGACTGGAAGTAACATTTTCAATAAATAAATAAAATAAATAAAATAAAATGTCCACTTCTACCCATGTTTGTGTAGTAGTTTATAGATATTTATTACTTATTATTTTATAATTATGTTCTTCCTCATAACAGAACTTGTTCTGACTAGGAGATATGTTTGATAAATAAATAAAATGTAATAAAATAAGATAATCTAGTCATAATTTTAGTTTCATAGCATTGGCTCTTGTCAAATTTAGAAAGAGTTTTTGTGAAATGCTAATCCAATTAGTGTATTAGGTTGTGATTGAGATTTTCAGTTTGGTTGGTTCATTTATTTTCAAAAGGTTATTGCTTTTGTCACAAACCTTAGATTTTTTGACCCCACAAGGCCTCTGAAAATAGAGAACATTCCCCCTTTGGATGACTTCTTAGCAGTTTTTTGAGTTTCTATTTCTTCTTCTTCTTGTTCATCATAGTCATCATCTGAGGATTCCACCTCTAGATCTTTGATTATGCCTTTCATTTGTCCAACCATCTACAATAAATATTAGTTTATCAACAAATGAATTGAACACAAAAAAGTTTTTTTATGTGATATTCACCTCTGTATCAGGAGTGAAGTTACTCTTTGCATCTTCAGGTCTATCAGTAGTTCTTTCAAGTGATTCCAGATCTTTGCTGGAACCTTCTAGTTCCCATTTTCTGGGTTTTTTACCAGCTTTTTCTGATTGTGGGCTTTTTGGACTTTTTCTGAAATTTGTTGATAATTTGGAAATCCAAAAAGAATTATTCTAGGAATTATTAATCAAATGAATACTTAATGTTAAACTCAGTAGCTATGGAATATTGTATATTATGTCTAGGAATATCAATATAAAGCATTGAGAGATATAAAAAAGTAGGTATTGAAAATGTAGGTACATTCTTGAAAAAAAAAAGGTAGATAATGAACATACTTTGGCTCTGGTTTTTTCTTCATCATTTTTTTTGCTAACTTTGCTCTGTTGGCAGCCAAAATTTCCTCATTAATGAGACCATTTTCCTGAGCTTTGGGTGAGGATGGAGGAGATGCCAACATAACATCATCTAGAAGAATATAGTAATACCAAATTAACCAATAAATTAACAGCATATATACCTAGGTATTTATTCTAGTGATATTCTTTTCTTCTGAACTAACCAACACATTTCACTAGACCTGAAAGGAATCAATTAACATGTACCTGACATTGTACCTAAGCAAAGTTGTTGGCTCAAGTTTCGTTTAGCTGAAATCAGTTAGCGAAAAACTGTTGCCATGGCAACGATCGTCATGGTGAGGAGTAAACAAAAACCCGATTCCCGTGGTGAGGAAATGCGTGGTTGCCAAGTTATATTGGGTTTAGTTTGGCTGAAATCAGTTATGGAAAAACTATTGCCATGGCAACGATTGTCAAGGTAACGAGTAAAGAAAATATCCGATTTCCATGGTGAGGAAATGCGTGGTTGCCAATTTGTATCGGAGAATAATTATTGCTTCATTCATTAATTTCAAAAACACTCTTCAATGTAACCATTCTTCGCGTGCCGAGCTATTCGACAAAATCAAAAAGAAACAGAGACATTTTGGAATATTCAGCAACAGTCTTCAAACATACACGAACGATGCCTTGCTACCAAATCTAAACGATGTTGAAAAATATATGTTTTTCAAGAAGAAGGTTGATTTGAGTCGAGTTAGGTTAGATTGTTTGGAAAAAGTAGTGTCCTTTTTTATGCAGTCTTCAAACACACACGAACGATGCCTTGCTACCAAATCTGATCGATGTTGAAAAATATATTTTTTCTAAGAAGGTTCATTTAAGCCGAGTTAGGTCAGATTGTTTAGAAAAAGTAGTGTCCTTTCTTATGCGCTATTTGTTCCGCATTATTTTGTCGCTCGCTATTTTGTCTAGCTCTGTTCAATAACGAAGCCAATTTTTTCCTGACGTAATTTCCATATATGATCGTCAGAGAAGTATTAATTTGGGAATTGATCAACGACGAACAGTCTTCAAGAAATTGATATGAAGGGTATTCATTCGAATCAAGTTATTGTTTGAATACTAGCAGAAAAATACAGATACAAGATACAACTTGGCAACCACGCATTTCCTCACCTCTGGATTCGGATTTTTGTTTACTCGTTACCATGACGATCGTTGCCATGGCAATAGTTTTTCCATAACTGATTTCAGTCAAACAAAACCCGATACAACTTGGCAACCACGCATTTCCTCACCACGGGAATCGGGTTTTTGTTTACTCCTTACCATGACGATCGTTGCCATGGCAACAGTCTTTCCATAACAGATTTCAGCTATACTAAACCCGATACAACTTGGCAACCATGCATTTCCTCACCACGGGATTTTGTTTTCTGTTTACCTGTTACCATGACAACGGTTGCCATAGCAACAAATTTTCCATAACTGATTTCAGCTAAACGAAACTTGAACCAAGTTGTTTGCTAGAACACATTTTTACTGATTCAGATCAGTCCTAGTGAAACATTTCAGTTCAGATTGGAAGAATATCACTTTTGACAGAGATATTAACACACATAACTAATCTGCCAATCATTTACCCAACTGCAATTTTTCTCAATCACAATCAAAGGAAAAACTAATCATCTTATTTGACCTAACTTTCTAAACTCTCTTTTACATTCATTTGTTTCACCATACATCTAACCCTTACCATCAGCAAAGTTCACTTCTTTTTTCTTAGCAGTCTTAACAGGTTTTTCCTCTCCTTTTCTAGTGATCATTGAAGCAACAGTTTTCTTTGACTTGAAAGAATCCTCAAAACTCCTCATCTGTTTGGGTTGTTTTGCTTGATTTTTTGACCACTCTTCAGCTGCTCGTAAAGTATCATTATAGGCATCCATGAAGTTGAAATTCCGAAAAAATTCTCCATCTGTGAGCTCATTTTTATACTTGTCTCTGAATTCCAAATGTATGTCAGTCAAGAATTTATCCACATAAGAGAGTTGTAGTATTTTCTGGTAGGCTACCACAAATATCAAGTCAAATTCATTATCCAATTTATACTGTAGAGCCAAACCATTATGATCAAAGGAACTAACACCTGTTCTTTCCTGAAAATTGGTGGAAATCAGGTATGATCAGTCTGATAATATTGATGAAAGCTTATTATATGATGATTTGATAATCACTAAGATTTGTCTACAAATAGGAACATGTAAGAAAATCCCTCTCATTATTTTGCTTTCTACTCAGGGAACATATTTGAATATATTTCAAATAGAAATAGTAATCACCTGTAAAATAACATTTCTTATTAATGCATTCACAGAAGGTGTGAATATTTGATTTGTGTTTTGGAAGCACCATAATACAATACCTCCTTTACTGAAAATTGTAAAGAGATCCAACATATTTTTCAAATTACACCAAAAATATAACCTACAAGACTGTTTAACTGACGGCTGACAACTCTGACAAGAAGAGTGATAAGACCCGTGTACACGTCACGTTTACATGGTGCTGTTTACGTTCAATGCCATCACACGTCATCACCAGCGTGCAGCGATGTCAGATTTATTCAGGTCGACCAACGCAAACAACTTGAAAAGGCTGCTTCACAAAAACTTGGTTTCTTGTTCCGTGTGAAAATCTACTTTACACCTCAACAGCTTCTCATGATTAGAGTCCCTTGATGTAAATTGACGTATTTGTCATATATTCAGATGACAAATACGTTTAGTTTGCATCAAGGAACCCTATATACTCATGATATACAATGCACAGATAACTCCATTAGTTTAAGAATACTGTTCTCATGTATGGGATTCAGCACCCAAACATATACGCTGATACTACTGAAAGAAATTATTTATCGTTACAAACGGAGTGTTCCCTGAAAAATGAGTGATAGTAATGTGTTTTTGTATTCATCATTCAATAATTCGTATCGCAATCTTGTGTTGTTCTGGTGTTTCGTGGAAAATCGAAAATTTCAAACAATAGAGCAATGTCAGCTGACGTCACAACATGGCGCACTCGTCGTTTTTATCAGCTGATCGGGGGACATACAAAGTTGTGTGTGAATTTTGATTTTATTATTACTGACCCATCGTTGATTTTGTTGAACTTGTAGATATTATGCGAGAAGAATGTGTTCATTTTCTTCCAAAATGAGTATCTATTGAGGTATATTACGAGGTATATTTGGTATATTAGAACTGAACTCAAGTGAATCCAGTAATTTTAAATTGACAAATAAACCAATTTGAACTCTTTTTTGGACTCATTCACTTTTCTCACAGCATTCATGATGAATGAATCAACATACATGTCAATAAATAAATGCTCCAGGTATTGTATTTTAGTGGGAAATGTGCAAGAAAGTTACATGTACTCTTATGGAAAATGTGTATGCCTGTCCCCCCATCAGCTGTTCAATGGCCGACAATTTTACGTCATATGACGTCATTGACATCGCTCTATTGAATTTCAGAAATCATTTTTCACTTTTTTCACGCTGGTGAGTTTTTCTTCGATTTTTTCATTATGAGTGATAGTATAATCTGATAGGTGTTCTGAGCCGATACCACTCGATACATCTAGAAATCTCAGAGTAGCTACTCATTTGATTTATTTCCACTACATATGTGACCAATATTTTTAAAACAAAAATTGTTTGCCTGTATGTCACTGTGATAAATTATTTCTTGGTAATGGAAAGGGTTCGATCTCTTCACTACATATTGTATGTTAAGTTCTTCCATAATCACGAGATTTCTGGAAAAAATATATTTTCATCCTATGTAAAATTCTTCCATGTCGTTATTGATTTTCGAAAAAAATAGCACCTGTATACAAAATATCTCCCTTCTGCCCCGTTCAATTTTATTATCATCATTAGTCATAGATAAATCATTTTTTGTTCGGAAATTAATCGGTTGGCAGCATGATTCAACTTATTAGTCATTCATTCGGGACAAGACAGTCAGTGTTATATTAGAGAGGGGCCACACGAGCGTTTATGCAACGCACGTTAAAACGGACGTTATTTTGGAACGCGCGACCAATCTTGCGGCCACACGAGCGTTCAGTTACGAGCGTCAGTATTGGTATACATATGACAGTCATGGAAGATCTGCAGGATGTTGCCGCATTTCTGATTTTACACCTAGATCTACGTAAAAAAAAGCAGGCTAGGAAAAAACGTAAATGGTGGGTTCATCTCATAAACAGTGAAAGGTTCTTGAGTGGATCATTTTATACTCTCTATCCTCTCAAGCTGTAGTTATTTTATTCCGGTCCTTGTTCTCTTCATTAGAAGTATCCCAAAGCACTGGACGTTTTTGTACCTCATTTATGAACACTTCTACATCCATGTTTGATATAATGAATCAAAAACAAGTCCAAAACATACGATAACAACGTCTACGATAGTCTACGATGTCTACGATAGTCTACGATACGGACAACTCAACCGACAGCTGTTGCCAGATCACAAAAATACTGCCAGTTACGTATAATCGTCAGATAGACGCGCGTTAAATTGAATATCGTGTGGCTACGTATATCTGACCATGTGTTGAACAAGAACGCGCGCTGTGTCCACCAACGGGCGTACTAGAGGTGCTGAGCGTTGACAATGAATAACGCGCGACGAGTTGAGCGCGCGTTGGTGGTGTGACCGACGCATATCACGCTGGTGATATTCTACAACGTCCGCTACAACGCGCGTTACAACGTCCGTCATTTAAACGCTCGTGTGACCCCTCTCTTAGATGTCACCACGTTCGGTCGAATTTTGTGATCGACATCGAAAAATACGCGAAAGGAATAATTATTTATCGTTCCAAACTGAGTGTTCCCTGAAAACTGAGTGATCGTATTGATTCGTATATAGTGTTTTTGTATTCCCCATTGGATTCAATAATAAATAATATCGGGATCGTGTGGTGTTCTAGTGTTTCGTGTTGTTTCATCAAAGACTCACTTTTTTCACGCTGGTGAGTGTAGAGAAATTCTCTCAATTTCTTCTCATATTTCTCTGTATTCATTTAACTTTATTACCCTATACAGGGTAAGTCACGACGAGCTTTCATTAGAATCAGTCGGGAGAAATCCATGAAAATGTGCATTCTTATATTTTGGTATACGCTCTTTCCATTCAATATATGTTCGACAATGCAGAGTTGCCACTTCTACTAGAAAGTAGTAGCAACATTGACATTTCGAACGGAACACCCTGTATTTTATCGCATTTTACGATTTTCCCTGAAGAGCTGATTTCATCGATGTATCATACTTGGGGTCTATCGAGAATGATTACAGAGATATAGGGTGTTCAAAATCGATATTTTTCAACTTTAGGATTTTTTTGTGTCGAAAATATACATTATCGGTCAAAACGGCTCACATGTCTCTATCTCAACTTTTGTTTCACTATTAAATGTCGAAACAGATACAAGGTGGTTCAAGATCCAAAATTCTAATCACATGCATATTTTCATGGATTTCTCCCGACTGATCGTGACATACCCTGTATGTTTCGTACCGTTTGTTGTGTTTTCTCCGATCAAGGAATACTTTCTTCTGATTCTCGTGCTTCCTGTTCGAAACTGTATCTTTCAAGAATTTACCATCTTCAATAACTGTGATACAGAACGTATAATCTTGATTTTGGCAAAATCTTCATCTATGGTCAGGTCATAACTTTTGAACCACTGTGTATAATCGATTCATACATAGTAGGTATATTCAACTCATATTTCTCATCAAAACTAAATATGAATCGAATTCAGAATCCGGATCCGTCTTTATAGGCAATACAAAAAACTTTTTTCTTCAACAGCGCGCATCCAATTTGAAAAATAGAGTTTTTATCAAATTCGTTATTAAAAAAAATATAATTTTATTACAAAAAATAACCAGTCCTCAAATTTCAACCTAATTAGAGCCGAATTAGGCAAACTATCGATGGATTTCGTTCCATAGAACAATTTGTCAATTATTTCAGATATTTTCGAGTGCTCATTACATTTTCACACACACAAATCAATTAAGTATTTTACACTCTTGAATTTTTGTCCGTAGATTCATATTCCGAAATTATTTATTTTGGTATTTTCAGTAATTTTATATACATATATAACGTCTCCGGAGTTCTTTCATCTCATTTATTTTTATATCTATCCATTTTGATTATTTTGTATACAGGGTGTTCCTTAATGACATGCGAGCGATTCTTGAACCCATTTCAAGAATAAAACTTCATATGAACATATGTCGTAAAATTACTAACTTTTGAGATACAGGGTATCAACGTTGAACATATACATAGATTCTGTTTTGGTCCACCCTATATAGCTTTTCCTGATGGCAAAATTCATTCTGCTATGTGACGAAACGGTGCAAGAATTTGAAAATGTTACATACTGTGGTTAGCCAGTAATAGCTGTACTGAATGTAGTATTCAAGCTTAGCATTTACATCAAAATTCGAAGTTTGATCTCGTTTTTTCGTTTTTTCTCAGAAACGGAGCGTCCTGTCGTGTATCAACAGGAGGATCTTTTTTGTTCAAAATTTATTGAATTTTTATAGCATTTCATTAAATTTGGAAATATTCTTTCGTTGCTCACTTTCAAGTATAATATAATCTATATTCCCCTAACGGCGCCACTGGTAGAGAAAAGAAAAATTTTCATACATAAAAAAATGCACCTTGATGAATAAAAGATATGTATCGAATTTCATAATAATGACTGCAATATTATTCCAGCCATGATTGAAAAACTGATTTTTTTTCCAAAAATTTATCACACTGTATCTCGAAAGATAAGACTTTTAGGACATACGTTAGTGGGAAGTTTTTATTTTGAAATGCATTGAAGAATCACCCCCTTGAATATTAGCATGTCTTGAAAGAACACCCTGTATAAATATTTTACACTCTTGAATTTTCGTACCTACTCAGTTTTATATTCCAAAATTATTGATCTTAGTATTCTCAATAATAGCTCGTCAAACGAAATTCATACTTTTTCACCACGTACAAGCACAAGTACGTTGCCTGAACTCCGCTTCGCGTCGTTCGTGTCAACGGCAGTCGTGTGCGGGAATAAACAATCACTTTCCGCAATTGTTAGGAAAATACCTATTCCTCAACTTTGACAGCAGATTACCTTGAGATATTTCTCGAATTGTCTTATTATCCCTTTTACTTACAGAGTGATATCGAAAAATTAACTTTTAGGTTTCGCAGTCATAACTTTTTTCCTTCCCAACCGAGTTTTAAAATCTCTGGCTCATTTTGAAGATGAAACTTCAGATGAAGAGATATGATGATCAGAATTGACTCAAGATGAACATTGCACAGTGTGTCTCACTTTTAATGGATGCAGCCCTGTATCTTTCGTATTTGTTTAGTTAGGATTCTGAAATTTGCAAGAACGGTAGAAATAAACTGAAAGTACACACTATGATCAAGTGGAGTCAAGTGTGCAACTCGGCGTTTATAAACCCTCTCTGCAAAGGAGGTTGACGCATGGTGAGTTAGGTATATATAGTGTTCTTCATTGCAGAGAAAATTGTTGTTTATCTGCCTGTCTTTTCTACATTGAGATAGTTGATGAATTGATGAAATACAAAAATATATCGCGTTCCAGTTATGAATGTTGAAAACGATATCCAGACTTTTCATGATTCATATTCTATGTGGTCTCACGATTCAAATTTGAAATTGATACTTAGTTTTAGATCTGAGCAGCACATTGTTTGGCCTTCAAGGTCCTTAATATTACCCACGTAATTGAATATGTGGAAGATGCCTACTGGAAAAGTCACTATACGGAAAGAAAGCGAATATATGTAGCAATCTATAGTTACGGACGTTGAAAATATTATTCAGGTATGTCTCAGATTCAACTTCTATGTATTTCCTCTGATGATATTTTCTGATTCAAATGTACTTCGATCCAAATGTGATGTTTAGTTGCAGATCCAAGAAGCAGTATTTGATACTTGCTACTCAATCGGAGAAAACCATCCAGTGAATATGGACCGAACAGAAGATCCGCAAAGAGAACTGACCAGAGTATACATTACAGAATTCAGATCATTATATTCGTACGGAAGGCGATATATTGATTACCTTTACCAGATTCTCAAGCAGACAGATAGACAGATATTCAGCTTTATGTCTCTATGGAAACACGACAGGTACCCTTACGAGGGGAGAGTATCAACTCGGCGTTTATAAACCCTCTCTGCAAAGGAGGTAGACGCATGGTGGGTTAGGTATATACAGTGTTCTGCATTGCAGAGAAAATTGTTGTTTATCTGCCTGCCTCGTCTTCATTGAGATAGTTGATGAATTGTCGAATTATAAAAATATATCGCGTTTCAGTTACGAATGTTGAAGACAATATTCAATATTCTATGTAGGTTTCATGATTCAAATTTGAAATTGATCCTTGTAGTTTTAGATTCGAGCAGCACATCGTTTGGCCTTTAAGTTCCTCAATATAACCCACGTACGAATTGAAAATGTGGAAGATTCCTACTGGAAAAAACACTATTCGGAAAGAAAGCGGATACATATCCGTCCAGTTACGGACGTTGAATATATTATTCAGGTATGTCTCAGATTCAACATCCATGTAATTCATATAATGATATTCATTTTCTGATATGAATGTACTTCGATTGATATGCGATGTTGTGTTGCAGATCAGAGAAGCAGTATTTGATACTTGCCACTCAATCGGAGAAAACCATCTAGTCCATACGAACCGAACAGAAGATCCGCAAAGAGAACTGACCAGAGTATACTTATGGTGACTAGTTATGTTATATACTTGGTATATTGATCTTGGTATATCATGATTTGATACTCTGACTTGATGTGACATGGATGTGACATTTTTATAATATAATAATTATTACAACTCAAAGTCTTAGAATTTGTATCAATTGTATCCACAATTTGGTGACCCCGAAGTGATATGATGGAGCAGTTGAGCGAAGGCGAGATCATACGAATTTTAAGACATTTCAACATCCATGTTAGTGATTTGATGGAATTTCCGGATATGAAGGAAAAGCTGACAGAGTACATTAAAAAAACTTATAAGGACCAATTCCACGAAGCCGACTACAAAAGCATTCTTTCAGAGATTTCATCAAGAATCATACCAAATGATGTTTCGAATAGTCTTTTTATGAAGAAGATCGATAGACTTGAAGAATTGTACGAAATTCTGATCGTCAAATTTGATGAATAAAATGAAAAATATGATTTGTTGGAAGCATGCCTCGATATTTTGGAAAAGCATCGTGAAAGTTCAACATTTCCAAACAATACCATGCATCATCATCATCATCATCAATTAAATCAATTAACCTACCAACTTTCTGGAAACATAGGCCTGCATTATGGCTTTTAATGTTGCTGAATCGATTTTTGAAACTCACGGAATAACTTCACAGAGAAATAAATTTGGGAAAGTGATTTCAATGTTGGACTGCTGTACCTCACCTCTCACCCTGTAATAAATTATAATATTCCATTTGGTACAACATATTTGATCTGCCTCTGGAATTCAGCTCGCTCTGTTGGAAATTACGTAAGATACGCCAATGACCTCAATATAACCTAAAAAACAACAAATGTCAAAAATCTATTCTTCTTGCTTGCCATCAAGTTGGCTGTTTGCCGATTTTATCGTGCACTCGTGCAGGTTTTAGGTAAAATCTGGAATAGAGGACTCGTTACACTAGTCTCTAGCCTCATCTCTCATCTTTTTCGGGGGTTACCTTCTCTATGAATTCGGAATTAGTGCATGATCTAAGGTCCGTACTCCTCAATATGTCATTGTGTCCTGTGGAACAAATGTCAGCGTCAGGTCAGCAGCGTCAGCCGTCAGCTATCTGCCTACTGCCTATCTGTCAAATATGTTGTGCGCGCGGCTGAGTTTTGTTCAATCTGAGGTTTATTAATTAGGATCAAGCCGATCAAGTCCGACAATTTTATTGCTCAAAGTGATTGTTGATATGAATATTGAATAAACAGTTCAATAAGGCATGTTGGTATCGAGTAGTGAGTTGCGGATTCAATAATATCAGCTTTTACCGACTTGAAAAGGTCTGCTCCAATCTCTGATCCAGTATTTATAGTACCTAGTTGCTGTATTGCTATTCCGCAGTTCAGAGAGAGGTTTTTATTTTTGTATTCAATTCACAAAAGCCTTTTGTCAGTACGTGCAGACAAAATATCGATCATTCCTAAATTTTGAGGATTATGTAGGTGGAAATGATAGATAATTTTCTAAGTATATAGTGACGTAATGAACCAGTTGAAGATATGATACAAGAAAACAGTGAGATTTAGATAAATAAACTATGGATAACGATGTAAGGTTAGTATATTTGCCTGTTCAATTTTTATCTGTATTCAAATTGAGATAAAATCTTTTTTTTTTCATTGTATTTAGTATATTATACCTATAGGTACATAACTACTGTTTTACTCAATAGGTTTTCTATTTTGAATAATTATAATTATCTCTAGTTTGGTAGGTACTTATCTTCATTTTCAGTATTCAGGTAAAATTAGCCAATTAGAATGGTTAGGTACTAATTAAAGTACTCAATAGAAATAATAGTTATCAACTTGTCATTGTATGTATGACTGAAACACAATACTTACCATTACATACCCACCCTCCTACCTACCTGAAAACTCACCTATTATCTTGCCTTTGATCATGCAAGTGATTATACCTGGGTTTATACCTTATTCTTATACCCTTATGTAATAAATGTTCTAATGTTACTTGACTCCTTGATGATTGAATATTTTGAAGTAGTAGTTTTAGAAATACTTGAAAAATTATTAATGTAGGAATGGTAACTACTAGCATGAAGGGGGGATAACTCAGGGGGATAATTATGCCCTTTACTTCTTTATGACTTTGGCACCAAAGCAATGTCTTCATCCTTTTAAGTGGATATCCAATTGCTGAGCCAATTACCTATCACTAATATACCTACTTATTTCAGAGCCTATTTCTTATAGTTACTGTTGGGAACTGATGGTAATATTTACTATATTAATCTTGTAACTGTCAATACTACCAGGAAACCAATGATTTTTGATTTTTTGATAATTACTTGCAGGTCCTGACTGTTTATTATCTCTCTCTAGATAGATATTTTCTCAGGTATTTCATTCAACCTAATACTCTTGATTACCTACCTTCCTTAATACACACTCATGATTTTACATGATGATATAAACAAGTAGAGATAGGTCAGGTCTGTGGGCCCATAAAATAGTAAAAGAATCACCATTCCACATCTATTTCCAGATATATTTGGAAAAATTCTCAAATACAGTAAGGTTAAACTCAAGGTTAAACTTTTTGTAACAATATTAACTCAAATATTACATAAGGTTCATTATTTTATTCAACAGATATTTTTCACTTCAGTGTCTGAATAATAGGAAATTCTTGAAATCCTTGGTGAAATTGGGGGTATCTTCTCAGAATATTTCACTCTAGAAAATATCAAAAACTATCATGCCCATTATATTCATATCCATTTCATATTATACATCAACAAAGTTATCAAAATATTTTTGGCATGGGTAGATGGAATACCAATATCCAAAACATATACAGGGTGTCATTTGAAAAACAGAAGTTGCTAAGTGTTGCTATAACTTTCTATTAATCCAAAAATATAATAAATCATGCTACATTGCATGTCACATGAATTTGGTTATTGATATAACCCAGACTATAACCAGACTCTTGGATCCATTGGTATATTTCCATAAATATTATGATATGACTGGATTTACCAGTTGTAATTTCACTAGGTACTCAGATTTGAACTTGAATTGCTATTTTTTTGTATCATTTGGATGGTTTTAATCATGGTTGGCATGAATTGATCCATATGAACTAAATCAGTGATTCAATTCGTGAATTAATTCCATTGACTTTTTTTTGAAGAAGTCATAAATCCATTCAAATTTTTAAAAATCAGACGAATTGCACTATTACCAGTATTACCTTTGATTTTAACTAGTTTAAACTGAAAAATTCGATCGTATTTTGGCAAGACTTTGTTATTTCAAGCATGACAGAAATTTTTACTAACAGATATATACAGTATCAAGTATCATCCATAAAGTCCATAACATATGAGAACTGGTTTATTATCACAGCATCGAATTTTTTTCTCTCAGCGATCCATTATGCATATCCGATAACTTGAAAATCGATTTTGACACATGTCACGTGATGACTGGTATTGTGATAAATAAAAATAATACTATAAAGCGACGAAAAGTGGGGTTAGATAACAAAATATCCATAAACATTTTTTATTAAGTTGCTATTCCACATTCAGTTACGAGCAATTTTTGGAGGAGAATTGAAAATAGCTATTTTTATTTTTTTAAATAACTTAATCTTCCCATCTAACCCCACTTTTTGCCATCGTAATTTTTTGAATTTACCGCCATACCAGTGATCAAGTGACGTGTCAAATAGTCAGACATGCATAATAGATCCCCGAGAAAAAATGTTTCGATATTCTACCAATAAACTTTTTCTCCATGTGTTACGAACTTTTTGGATGATACTGGATCTATATGTATCTATTATTTTGTATTCTATCATCACTTTAAATTTTCTTTTGAAAAAATGACATGTTATATTATGATGTTATTCAACAAGATTTCTGAAGGGAATAAAAACATAGTTTTTTTGTTTCTTTTTTTCTATTTCGCTTTGGGTAAATGAAATTTGTTTTTTTTTTCAAATGAATTAATTCAAAAAAGTCTGACTTGATTCAAAAAGTCGGACTTTGATGACTTTTTTATAAAAGCCTAGATTATGTATCCAACCCTGGTTGTAATTGAAATATTTGTGATTTTGCATATCAGATTACTCATAAGAATATCATATCCGGGAATATTCAACACCCTAATGTTTAATAATTTTTATGGCATTCAAAAAATTCAGTAAAATGTTTGATGGTGATGTTTGATGATACTTTTTGAGATATTTTCTGAACTTATATTGGCTAGTTCACATGTTTGATAAAATAATTCTCTAGTTGTTTTTCTAGTCCTCAATAAAAATACCAAAATTTGCAAAGATTCCTGAGAATAAGAAAAATTTCTGAAAATTGCAAAAACTCCTGAAAATTGCAAAAATTGCAAAAATTCCTGAAAATTGTAAAAATTGCAAAAATTCCTAAAAATTGCAAAAATTGCAGAAATTGCAAAAATCGCAAAAATGCCTGAAAATTGCAAAAATTCCTGAAAATTGCAAAAATTGCAGAAATTGCAAAAATCGCAAAAATTGCAAAAATTCCTGAAAATTGCAGAAATAGCAAAAAATTGCAAAAATTTCTGAAAATTATAAAAATTTCTGAAAATTGCAAAAATTCCTGAAAATTGCAGAAATTGCAAAAATTGCAAAAATTCCCCGAAATCAGAAAAATTTCTGAAAATTGCAAAAATTCCTGAAAATTGCAAAAATCGCAAAAATGCCTGGAAATTGCAAAAATAGAAAAAATTGCAAAAATTCCTGAAAATTGCAAAAATTGCAAAAATTACTGAAAATTGCAGAAATTGCGAAAATTCCTGAAAAATTCCTGAAAATTGCAGAAATAGCATAAAATTGCAAAAATTTCTGAAAATTAAAAAAAAATTCTGAAAATTGCAAAAATTCCTGAAAATTGAAGAAATTGCAGAAATTGCAAAAATTACTGAAAATTGCAAAAATTTCAAAAATTCCTGAAAATTGTAAAAATTCCTGAAAAATGCAAAAATTGCAAAAATTCCGGAAAATTGTGAAAATTCCTGAAAATTGTGAAAATTCCTGAAGATTGCAAAAATTGCGAAAATTCCTGAAAATTGCAAAAATTGCAGAAATTGCAAAAATCGCAAAAATGCCTGTAAATTGCAAAAATTGCAAAAATTCCTGAAAATTGGAAAAATTCCTGAGAATTGTAAAAATTTCTGAAATTTGCAAAAATTTCTGAAAATTGCAAAAATCGCAAAAATGCTTGAAAATTGCAAAAATAGCAAAAATTCCTGAAAATTGCAAAAATTCCTAAAAATTGCTAAAATGCAAAAATTGCAGAAATTGCAAAAATTCCTGAAAATTGGAAAAATTCCTGAAAATTGGAAAAATTCCTGAAAATTAAAAAAATTTCTGAAAATTGCAAAAATTCCTGAAAATTGGAAAAATTCCTGAAAATTGCAGAAATAGCAAAAATTGCAAAAATTCCCCGAAATCAGAAAAATATCTGAAAATTGCAAAAATTCCTGAAAATTGCAAAAATCGCAAATATTCCTGAAAATTGTAAAAATTGCAAAAATCGCAAAAATTCCTGAAAATTGCAAGAATTCCTAAAATTGCAAAAATCCCTGAAAATTGGAAAAATTCCTGAAAATTCCTGAAAATTGGAAAAATTCCTGAAAATTAAAAAAATTTCTGAAAATTGCAAAAATTCCTGAAAATTGCAGAAATTGCAGAAATAGCAAAAATTGCAAAAATTCCCCGAAATCAGAAAAATTTCAGAAAATTGCAAAAAATCCTGAAAATTGCAAAAATCGCAAATATTCCTGAAAATTGTGAAAATTGTAAAAATCGCCAAAATTCCTGAAAATTGCAAAAATCGCAAAAATGCCTGAAAATTGCAAAAATAGCAAAAATTGCAAAAATTCCTGAAAATTGCAAAAATTGCAAAAATTACTGAAAATTGTAAAAATTCCTGAAAAATGCAAAAATTGTGAAAATTCCGGAAAATTGTGAAAATTCCTGAAAATTGCAAAAATTCCTGAAAATTGTGAAAATTCCTGAAAATTGCAAAAATCGCAAAAATTCCTGAAAATTGCAAAAATTGCAGAAATTGCAAAAATTGCAGAAATTGCAAAAATCGCAAAAATGCCTGGAAATTGCAAAAATTCCTGAAAATTTGAAAAATTCCTGAGAATTGAAAAAATTTCTGAAATTTGCAAAAATTCCTGAAAATTGAAAAAATTCCTGAAAATTGCAAAAATTGCAAAAATTACTGAAAATTGCAGAAATTGCAAAAATTACTGAAAATTGCAAAAATTTCAAAAATTCCTGAAAATTGTTAAAATTCCTGAAAAATGCAAAAATTGCAAAAATGCTTGAAAATTGCAAAAATAGCAAAAATTCCTGAAAATTGCAAAAATTCCTAAAATTGCAAAAATCCCTGAAAATTGGAAAAATTCCTGAAAATTAAAAAAAATTCTGAAAATTGCAAAAATTCCTGAAAATTGCAGAAATTGCAGAAATAGCAAAAATTGCAAAAATTCCCCGAAATCAGAAAAATTTCAGAAAATTGCAAAAAATCCTGAAAATTG